AGGGAGGCGCGCGACTACGTAGTAGAGAGCGATGTACATGGGGGGGGGGTTCTTAGCGCAGAACTCAGCAGAAAGGGCGGCGCGGTAGCGAGTGTCACTAGTGCGGAGGTGCGTAATGAGGTCAGCGACAGTGGGAAAGGCAGAGAGGTCAGGAAAGAGGTAGGGAAGCATGAGACGGCTCAGTGCAGCAGTGGCAGGGGAGGAGTAGCGCGCAACTACAGCTTCGTACAAGGTCTGAGCACTCTTGTACTGACTGAAGTGCGCACGCTCAGAGGTAGGGAGGTGGCGACGCACAGCAAGACGTGCAGCAGCATCGCGGGTGGCCCACTTAGAGCGGACAGCGGGATCAGCATCAGCAGCAGGAGCAGGAGAGGCGCCAGAGGTGAGATCAAAGAGAGAAAGGTCGTCAGCCCTGTCGCACTGTAAGAACAGCTGCAGGTCGTCTAACCAGACCTCAAAATCAATGGCGCCACCCTCAGCGTCAAAAGCTAGGACACTAGGGGTAGCCATGGCGACGACAGCAACGCAGTGCAAGCAGCAGGGAAAGAGCTCGCAGTGTCAGTGGGACTGTGCTCACCAGGCAGGGCAGGTCGTGTAGGTATGCAGAAAGGCGGCTCGGGTGCTGGGCGGCTCGGCTGCTGGGCGGCTCGGGCGCAGGGCAGCTCGGCTCCCGGGCTGCTCGGCGGCTGGGCGGCGCGGGTGCAGGGCGGCTCGGGTCCCGGGCGGCTCGGCGGCAGGGCGGCTCGGGTCCCGGGCGGCTCGGCTCACGGGCGGTTCGGCTGCTGAGGCGGCTCGGCCAGGAGATGCAGGGGCGGGGCCGTCAGGTGCAGCGGCGGGTTGACCGGTGCTGTGGCGGGCCGGCAGGTGCAGCGGCGGGCCGGCAGGTGCAGGCGGCGGGCCGGCAGGTGGAGTGGCGGGCCGGCAGGTGCAGCGGCGGGCCGGCAGGTGCAGGCGGCGGGCCGTAGGGTGCAGTGGCGGGCCGGCAGGTGCAGCAGCGAGGCCGGCAGGTGCAGCGGCGAGGCCGTCAGAGGCGGCAGGCCGCTGGGTGCAGCGGCGGGCCGGCAGGTGCAGTGGCGGGCCGGCAGGAGAGGCGGCGGAGCCGCGTCAGGGGAGGCGGCAGGGCCGCGTCAGGGGAGGCGGCGGAGCCGCGTCAGGGGAGGCGGCGGTGCCGCGTCAAGGGAGGCGGGGGAGCCGCGTCAGGGGAGGCGGCAGGGCCGCGTCAGGGGAGGCGGCGGGGCCGCGTCAGACAGGCGGCGGGGCCGCGTCAGGAGAGGCGGCGGAGCCGCGTCAGGGGAGGCGGCGGGGCCGCGTTCAGGAGAGGTGGCGGGGCCGCGTATGAGGGACAGCGGGGCCGCGAGGGAAAAGGCGACCCGAGGGGGTCGCTAAAAAAGGGCGCGCCTCGGGGCGCGCTTCGGTGGGCCCTAAAAAACCGGTCCTAAGGTAGGACCCGCTCTATACCATGTGGAGAAAAGAAAACAGGAATGAAATGACTAAGGAAAGATTGGGTACAAATACAACCCTAGGAACCCTGTACCCCATATGTGCTACCCCACTATAGCCTACAGCAACTATGTCATATAAATCTGACAATGCGAAGCAGTTGCCGCGCGAGGGGATGGCGGCCTGGGCGACCTGTGGCGAGCTATAAGGACGCGGTAAAAGTAGACGATCGATCGTCAGTCGCGATCGATGTGCGGATCGGTTACTCTATTTACTACGTTGTAACTATGCTACAGTACGCTTTTTGGCCCAACTTTTTGGACAGTGTGTGAATGCGACTGATCACAAATCGCGCGAGATCTATCAAATTTCAGTGGCGATCGTTACAACGTCGCGATCGCCACGTTTCGCCAATCGATCTGGCCAATCGATTGCAGGGATTGATTCGTGCAGACGATCCTGCGATATTTGCACTTACCGCGTCCTAACAAGATTTGCGTGAGTATACCTGGTATCTTCTTGGGCGGCGAAATCAGGGCGATAGATGCGCGAGAGCTGTAAATTTCGCAGGCTCAGGTAACCTGCTTCAACTCGGTTGGGTTGGGTCTGGTCGACCAGGTCGACCCGGGTCTGGAAGACCCGACCCGACCTGGTTGGGTCGACCTTGTCGGCTAGACCCGCGACGCAGCCTTCCTAGAAATGAGGGGTCGGGGGCCGGTCGACCCAACCCATGTGGGTCGCAACACGTTGTTAGCTGAGAAGGATTGCGCGGGATATAGCTCACTGTAACCTATAACAAATTTCTCAAACCTCAGCGCGACGCGGCTGAAAATAAACCTTCCAGGGGTGTAATCTTTCGAAATACGGCTTACATGTCGACACGATGGTTTGGAGCACGGAAGTCTCCAAGCTTGGTGGGCATGGTGAATCTGTGGCTGCGCAGTTAGGACGCGTCACCTCTCCCGATTTTGCACGATCGATCCTGCGCAGGATTGAATGTTTACGGATGGTTAAAAACTACTGAAATGTAACAACTAGGTTTTAACTGCGGTGGGCGATCGGTTTTTTACGATAGATCGTGCAAAATCGAGAGAGGTAACGCGTCCTTACTAGAGGGGGGGGGGGACTCGGCTCTGGTATTATACCGAAGTTGTTGAAATCTTGCACGCAACATAAAGTTTTACACATTTGCAATCTGCACTGGACAAAGTGATTTACAGAGAAATTTGTAAACACCATTCATTTTCAATTTCTTTCAAGCTCAACTAGTCATATCTGCATATCAGGCCCCTAGATTCGTTTTGAGGTAGTCTGACGCCTCAGAGTACACCCCTCTTCCTAGTCTGGCTGTCAGAGTTACCTATTTTTTTTAGTCTGAAATTCAGACAAGCACAACTTTTTTTGTCTGAACTGTCAGAGTTACTTCAAATTTTAAGATGTTCATGCAGTTTCATAACAGCATAGTTATAGTAGCATTGAAGCTGATTACAGCATACCAACGCAATTGTGCGGCCAGAAATGGGGCACTCTGATTGGTCATTTTTCAAGAGTTAGCACTGAGCAGTCAGGGTCGAGGTGTGGGCATCAGACAATGGCCTCATGCAAGTGCCAAGTGTGGCAAGCTCACAATCAGCTGACTTGGCAGCAGGCACGGTATCACTCGGCACTTTTCTGTGCTGGGCGCGCTGGCAGCAGCAACTGTGTACACCGTATGTGCGCGGAATATTTTCTCCCACAGTTGTAGCTTCCAATTTGGACTTGGTTTGGCAAGGGGAAATGATGTGCGGTTCTGCTGAAGTACGAGACTGATGTGTGACAAGGCTTTCGTTTGGACCAATTAGCTTTTCGCCATGTACGATTCGCTAAAATCGTTCTGGCCATGCTATCTAGTTTCACAATTTTAGGGTTTTTATAAGCCCTCGATAAAGTTGACTCTCGTGATAGCGTCGACAAAGTAGTGTATTCTGGTGCCCCTTCTCTAGCAGTTTTATCCTGAGGAAATCGTTAGTGCTGGCCCGTACACACGTGGGTGTATCAGATCGAAGTTTCGAGGTAGTTTCGTTCCGATAACCTTTCATTCAGGCTGGCGGAAACCCCTGTATAACTGGTTTCAGAGTGGACCCCCGATACAAGTCTGAGGCTCAGCCTGCACTACTAGTATGACTACTCTGAAATTTCAGACTAGTCAGTTAAAAAAACTCTGAAAAATCAGACAGGGTGCATAAAAACTTTCTTTGAGTTCAGACTAGGTACAAAAAAAGTGTCTGAACGGACTCTGAATCAAACTCCGAAGTCTGATATCTAGGGCCCTGCTGCATATATTCATACTTGATGAGGCGGTTTTAACAGAGTAGATATCCTTGTGCCCAACTCCAACATCCATGCTAGATTTATCTTCCTCCTGTCAACATGGCAATTAATGCTCTTTACTATGACTTGGTTTTTTCAGCAGTGAGCCCAATATTTTTTAAGCATCTCACGTCTGGCGCCACGGTTCCATGTGCATCTCTGGTCTTGTACCATCTGCTACGCCTACGCGTCTTGGCCGAGGAGCACTCAGCCAAACAAGAAGCTACACTATACCGTTTCTACGTATATTTAAATGCACCCATCAAGAGAACCGTCAAATGCGCACGGGTGTACTCCAGCAGAATACTGTACGTGCTGTCCGCCACGCCTTTGAGGAGTGCTTCTGTATCGGGGGGAAACGAGATGCCTGCAATCTCCCCGGAAATGTTGATCTCCTGTGCTCGGGTGAACCCGCTGCTCGTGTCGAAGACATGCACAATGTCCGCTGGATCAGCCATGGCCATGAATGTAGGTGGAAGGGACGAGTGGTGGTGGTGGGGGAAGCAGGTCAGGGGGAAAGGGGGGTGGGGAGAGAGGAGCGGGTTGAGGGGTGTAGAGGATTTTGAGGTGATGTGTCATGTGCAATCATGTGGCGAGGAGAGAAAGGAGGGAGGGAGGGAGCAGGGTGTCATGCAACATGGGAACGAGCATGTGGTGCTGAAAAAGAGAAGCTGCTTGTACTAAAGACATGCACCAAGTGTGCACGCTCAGCCAAGGCCATCAACTTGGGTGGTGGAGGGAGGGAGAGGCAGGGAGTGACACGTCAAATGGGGATACGCATGCCACATGAAACAGGCCGTTCTCTGTGGACCAAGATTCTTCCATTGCCGTTCTCTCCCCCCCTGCCTCCCTCCCCCCCTCCCTCCCCCCCTCTCCCTTTACCCCCTTCTTCCACCACACACACTCACCTGCCATCGTTGGTGAATCTGAGAGACCGAATGGCCCTCAGTCACCCCTTGACCGAATGGCCCTCAGTCACCCCTTGACCGAATGGCCCTCAGTCACCCCTTGACCGAATGGCCCTCAGTCACCCCTTGAGCGTGAACAGGGAAATGCCCTCGGTCCCACACAGCACGTGGTGTCCTGGTCGCCTGTGGCAAAGTGGTTGCCTCCCGAGTGCCAGGCTGTCCACGTGGCCCTGCATACGCGCTACAACCTGGACCAACCAGGTTTAGAGGCAGGCATGGGGATGGGGATGTGGGCGAATGGGGATGTGGGCGAATGGGGAGTGGGGGATAGGGATGTGGGCGAATGGGGATGTGGGGGATGGGGATGTGGGGGATGGGGATGTGGGGGATGTGAATGTGGGGGATGGGGATGTGGGGGATGGGGGGATGTGGGGGATGGATGGGGATGGGGTTTGTGCGGGATGTGGGGGATGTGGGGGAAAGGGGGATGTGGATGTGGGGGATGTGGGGGATGTGGGGGCGGTGGCACGTGAGACAGGATTGAGGCAAGGAGGTAAAAAACTGGACAGGGGCTCAGCACAGAGGCGACTTCATCTTGAAGGTGCGGCAAAGCGGACTGAACTGAGCAAGGACGAGCAGAGGTGGAGTGAGCGAGACAGAGGCAAAGGTAAGGAGCGGGGCGGGAAAGAAGAGCAGGGAGTGCGAGGGCGGGAGGAACAAACCTTGCCTGAGGTGAGGTGGAGTAACTACGCGTCAGGGTCCTCCCCCCGCACAAGCATGCTGTCTGTCCGGTGCCACTGCCGTGAACAAGGCAAGGCACCCATGGTCGCGTGTAGAGAAGCAAACGGATGGCGGCTCACCTTGCCTGAGGTGAGGTGGAGTAACAACGCCACTGAGGTGAGGTGGAGTAACAACGCCACTGAGGTGAGGTGGAGTAACAACGCCACTGAGGTGAGGTGGAGTAACAACGCCACTGAGGTGAGGTGGAGTAACAACGCCAGTGAGGTGAGGTGGAGTAACAACGCCACTGAGGTGAGGTGGAGTAACAACGCCACTGAGGTGAGGTGGAGTAACAACGCCACTGAGGTGAGGTGGAGTAACAACGCCACTGAGGTGAGGTGGAGTAACAACCCCACTGAGGTGAGGTGGAGCAACAACGCCACTGAGGTGAGGTGGAGTAACAACGCCACTGAGGTGAGGTGGAGTAACAACGCCACTGAGGTGAGGTGGAGTAACAACGCCACTGACACCTCGGGGTCCGGCAATCCCCACCACTGACACCAGCGTGCTGTCCGGTGCCACTGCCGTGTGCTGGTGGGTGTGAGGGAGGACGAGGTGGAGAATGAGAGGTGGGAGGCGACGCGAGAGGTACGAGAGATGAGATAGGTTGGCTTAGTGCTCCACTGTGGGCGAGGGAGAGAGGAGAGGAGAGAGAGGAGAGAGGAGAGAGGGGTGAGGGGGAGAGAAATACAGAAGGAAAAGCTTCACATTAGAGCCTCACATTAACTGACCAACCAAGTGCCATCCCAAGTGCCAACGTTCAATCAAACCAAGAGACCCCACCATCCCCGTCAGGAAATTCAATCAAACCAGGAGACCCCACCATCCCCGTCAGGAAAGTCCAGGACATCCCCGAGCAAGAAAAGCCCATCCCCACACCAATCACAAAGGCCGTAAATAGCCCTTCCCCATGGCCCGCCTCTCCTCTCACCTGTTAGAGCTGAAAATTTTAACAGCGTTCGTAATGGCACTCTCATCCCGGGATACCCACCCTGTTAACGCCACTCTCCTGCTTCGGTTACTTCTGCTGCTGCTTCTGCCAGCACCAGCGGAGCCTGCAGCAGACGGCACGGCTCCCCTGTAAATCGCCCGCGCGCAGAGGGCCCCAGCTCCACTCCGCTCCCCCCACCCGCCCAGCCTGCTGCACTCCCCGCGCCTCCCGCGCCTCCTGTGCCTCCTGCGCCCCCTGCGCCCCGCGCGCCTGCTGTGGCCGCGTGGGCGTGAGAGGGGGCGTGACGCCTGGCGACAAGGGGGTTTCCCAGGTCCATGACGTGATGGTGGTGGTGGTGCAGTGCAGCGAGTGCACGTCATGCGCTCACGATTTTTGAGGCGCCTCAAAAATCGTCTTTTGAGGCGCCTCAAGAAACGCCTGGCGACAAGGGGGTTTCCCAGGTCCATGACGTGGTGGTGGTGGTGGTGGTGGTGGTGGTGCAGCGCAGCGAGTGCACGTCATGCGCTCACGAGGCCCACACCACACGAGGTGCGCAGCTGAAAGTGCACGATGGGGGACTTGACTGCACGCGTGATGTACGCGAACCCGTAGAGCGTGATGCCCGTGGTTACCTGCTGCACTTCCTCGGGGTGGACAGGCAAGAGAGGACAGAGGGAGAGAAGCGGGGTCGGTGGTAGAGTGTTAGTACGCAAACTAGTACATGACACAGGCCCCGTCGTCACCTGCTGCAATTCCTAGCTCTTACACTGCTGAAGCATGAGCGCTCACCATATCCACAACATTTAATGATACGTTGAGGTTCTTGTGGCTCTTGTATTGCTGCAGCCGCATCGCGCGGTACTTCTCCCGACTCACGTGCGACTCACGTGCAGCCACTCCCACGGGATCCCCTGAATGTCCCGCCCCCGCCGCACCTGCCGCGCGCTCACGTCCTCGGGACCTTGCACCTGGCGTCGGGGGAAGCAGGGCCCGACAGAAGAAAGGCGGGTGAAAACGGAATGGCGCGACGACGGGGAATGGCGCGACGACGGGGAATGGCGCGACGACGGGGAATGGCGCGACCTGCCCTAATCCAAATCAGTCTGGCAACGAAACAACATTTGTTATAGTCGCACGCGAAGGCTGCTGATTATAATCACACCTGCCAATGCGTGGTCGCTGAATAAATGCCAGAGCCTCGCTGAGCGCCTCGTCGGCGCCTTGTGAATCCCAAGTCGTCGCTGTCGAGAACGCTCTCCTCCTCGTCGTCGTGGTGGGGGAGCAGCTGCTGTGACGGCGCTGATGTGTACGACCATTGCCGGCATCTGTGTTCTCGTGTTGTTCCATGTCCAACGGCAACCATCGACGAGAGGCCGACGGAGAATGCAGCATAGAGAAACAAAAGGTACCGAGGTGAGGAGGCCACACGGAGTTGTGCAGGCCAAGAGTGCCTTGGTTGGGTTGAGCGACAAGGCGACGAGTGAAAGAGGCTGTGCGACGAACGCCAGGGAGTTCCTACGTCCATAATTTGCTGTTTGACGACCACGGCGACTTTTGTTCAAAGCTATTTGGATGACGATTTCCGTGTGTGCGTAATACTGTACGGTGCAATGGTCGTCAATCTAAGCAGCTGGTTAGCGTCCAAATGCTTCATAAACAGTATACAGCGATGTGGATGCAAAACTCTCTGTCTATAGCGAGAAATACTCGTTATAGATCTTCATGTGCACAATCTCCCATCAAGTGCCACGTCCACACCGCCTTGTAGCCGAGGATTTCCCGCAATCTGAAGCTCTCATGCGAAAAAACATTTGTGCGAGGTAACCACTCGTTGACCACTCTGTTTTCGTGCATCTCACACACTCGCTCCTAAACCCCGCAACATCCCTCCACACCTTGACATCTTCTCTCGCTCGCCATTCCCACTCACAAACCCTCTCCCCTCACCTCCAGCAATCTTCGCATCTCCACAAATCCTTCCAAACTTCGTACTCCATCTCTTCAGGTCAGTGCAGAATCAGCTATCGAGTCGTGACGCTCGACGATCGAGCGAAATCACTCATTTCGCAGGGTCGAAGCATACGGCCTTGCGCGATAGAAGCGCGCGTAAGGTCGAATTTCTTAGTCGATCGGTCTCCTCGAGTCGGCGCCTGGGCTTGTGAGTCCACTGGGCGTGGGCGACAGTGGGACCGGTCTGCCCCCCCCACCATGGCGTTTCCCCCGCCAGTCGCCGTTATTTCGTCACATCTCTCCGCGTCTTTAACTGTGGCTCTTCCGGCTCCTATTCCCAAAAATCGTCCATGTTTCCGCGACTCACTCCCCTCTGCTGCCGCCGCGTCGCCGTCACGCCTGGTACACCATAGTACCGCGTCGCCGTTATCGCCGCTTTTAACAGCCGCCACTTCTTATCGCGGACACGGCCAACATTCCTCCACCGCTGCCACTACCGCCACCGCCGCCGTTGCAGACGGAGACGCGATCGCTCCCACGTTTTCCGGCGCGTCCGGCGCCGTGATCCCCGCAGTTGAAGCCGCCGGGGCGAGCGCCTTCGCGGCAGTTTCGCCGTTGAGTCCTGGATCGCATGATCGTCAGAGCGGCTCGACTAGCGACGGTACCGCTGCGGCTGCTTCTGCGACTGCGCTATTGTTTCGGTCGCGTAAACCGTCGCTGCTGCGACCCAATGCCACGAATCGGCTGGAATGCGCGACAACTCGCGACTCGTCGACTGCCTTCGCGCAGAATGTCGGTCCAGGGGCGAAAAGGGTCGCCCGTGTTACCACGCAGACCGCGGGGGCGATTTCCAGCGTCCTCCGCCTGGCGCCCTCCGCCGACGCAATTCGCGGAGGAAAAGGAGACGACAGCGGGAGGAGCGGAGACGCGCAGAGGCGCAAAAGCGGGCAGGCAGAGCAGCGACGGAGGGATGGGTTATCCCGGGCGGAAGATGAGGGGAGTTTAACGGACGAGGAGGAGGAAGAGGGGCATCGGCGGAGGGTGCGTCTTGGGAAGGAGCGGCGGCTGGGGCAGCCGTGGAACTCGGGGATTTCCCCCGCCGGCCAGCGCGCGTTCCGCCGGCTGCTGCTCGGCGCGGACGGGGAGCGGGGGAAGGCGGAACGGGTGCTCAGCGCATCTGCGGAAGCGGAGGCGGAGAGGCAGCAGGGGAGGGCGGGGAATTTCGGGAGAGTGGACCGGTGGTCGCGACGAGCGCAAGGGGGGGCGGGCGATGGGCGCGCGGACGGTCCCGGATGCGATGATGGCGGACGCGCGCTGGAGCTCCGCGGAAAGGGCGGGGAAATGGCGGAGAAGGGGGGAGGGGAATCGTCGGGGGAGATATCCGCGAGTGATATAATGACGATTTTGAAGGGGTTGGGGAACAAGGGGCGGTGGCGGGATGCGCTTGCGGTTTTTCACTGGGCGCGCGGGTGCGGAAAGATTGGCGGAAGCTGCGCGGAGGGGGAAGAGGCGTGGCGGGAGCGCGGGAATCCTATGGTGTCGCTGGTGCTGCGCATTCTGAGCCGATGCGACCGCCCGAATGTGAGTGTAACGAGGGAGGTGACCAGCCGAATGTGATTGCAACGAAAGATGCGACCGGGAGCGCGCCGTACGTTAACGCGTACATCGAATGATAAGCGCGCTCTCGCTCCCCCTTCCCCTCCCCCTCCCCCTCCCCCTCCCCTTCTGTTCGCCGATCCCTCCACTGCCCTTCAGCCCACCCCCCCCTCCCCTCTCCCTCCCTCTCCCCGCGCAGGAGGCGGACGATTTGTTCCGCGCGCTCGTGGCGGACGGTTGCGCGCTCGACGTGTATGCATACACGGCCATGATGAGCGCGCTCTCGCGCGCGGGGCGCTTCAACGACGCGATCGCGCTCTTCCACTCGATGCGCGCCGACGCGGGCGTGGCGCCCTCTATAGTCACATTCAACGTCGTTCTCGCGGCGTACGCGCGCAAGCGCGGGTGTTTTCACCACATGGCGTCCCTGCTGCAGGAGATCCGGACCGTTGGATTGACGCCCGATGAGTATACGTATAACACGATGATCTCGGCGTGTGCTGATGCGATTGTGAATGAGGATGCGGGGGATGTGCCTTGTGTTGCTCCTGCACTGACGGGACCGGCGGCGGGAACAGCAGCAGCAGCGGCAGGAACAGTGACGGCAGCAGTAGCAACGGCAACAGCTGCTGTAACGGCTATAGCTAGGCCAGCAGCAGGAGCAGCAGCGGTAGAAGCAGGAGCAGGAGCAGGATCAGTAGTGGTAATACAGGCGGGAGGGAAGGGAGTGTTACTAGCACAGGAAGGGTTACCAGCAGCAGGAGCAGCAGCAGCAGCGGATAGCATCAGTGACAGTAGCGAGAGTGACGCTGGCTACAGTACCAGTCACTACACGACAAACGACAGCTACAGTTCCAGCAGCAGCAGCTACAGTGTCAGCAGCAGTGCCGCCCAGTATATCCAAGAAGCAGAGCGAATCTTCGCGGAGATGCGGGCGGCAGGGCTGAAACCGACACGTGTCACGTACAACGCGCTGCTAGACGTGTACGGGAAGGCAGGCCACGTGGCACTCGCCCATTCGGTGCTGGAGTCCATGCTGGAGGCGGGCGTGCGGCCGAATCTGGTGACTTATAATGAGATGATCAGCGCGTGCGCGCGCAAGGGGCTATGGCGGGAGGCGCGCGGGATTGTGGATTCCATGCTGCGCGGAGGCGAGGCGGAAGGGGGGGAGGCGGAGGGGGAGGCGGAGGGGGAAGGGGGGAGGGGAGCGGAGGCGAAGGGGAAAGGTAAAAGGGAGGGGAAAGTGATGGTTGGGGCTGATAAGATAGAGGGAGGATCGGTGGCGGAAGGGAGAGGGAACAAGGTGGGGGAGGACGGAGGGGGCGATAGAGCAGGGGTAAGGGTTGGGGGATCAGAGCAAGAAGCTTCAAGGAAGAAGGACAGCAAGGAAGACCTCATTCTCCCTCCCAAACCGGATGTTTTTTCCTACACTGCCCTGATTGCAGCGTACGGGAAGGGCGGGCAGGTTGAAGAAGTGAGGGAAACTTATCAGACCATGCTGGAGCAGGGCTGTTTCCCGAACCTTTTCACCTTCAACATCCTGCTGGATATTTACGGGAAGAACAAGCTGTTTGCTGACGTGGCATGGGTCATGGATGAGCTGGCAACGAGCGGGATCAAGCCCGACGTGGTGACGTGGAACACCCTGATTCGTTGCTACGGTCAGTCGCAGATGCTGCCGAAAGTCGAAGCTACAGTAGAGGCGATGCGGAGATCCGGCTGCCGCCCAAATCGGCGCACTTACAACGGTCTGATCGACGCGTTTGGACGGTGCGGATCGGCCGCTGACGCAGCAGCGGTCTTCGAAGCGATGAAGTGTGCTGGGCACACGCCAAACACAGCCACCTATATCGCTCTCCTAGCCGCCCAGTCCCGAGAAGGCTTGTGGGAAGAAGCCGAAAACACAATCGAGACTATGAGACGAACCGGATACGCTCCCGATGCTCTCGCATATTCTTGTCTTATTCACGCGTATGCTACAGCCGGGGATGCCAGCCGGCTGCTAGATGCAGTCTCCCGGCTGGAAGCTACCGGGAAGATTCCCAGGTCTACCTCCCCCAGGTGCCCCTGGGAGGTGCACAAGTCGCTGGTTTTGGCGTTTTGCAAGTGTGGGTGTGTGGGGGAGGCGGAGGGGGCATTAGAGAGGATGAGGGGGATGGGGCATGTGCCCGATCTGGTGGTGTGGAATGCGGTGCTGGGGATGTACGGGCGGTTGGGGAGGGTGGAGAGGGCGGAGAGGGTGAGGGGGGAGATGAGGCGAGAGGGAGTGGGAGGGGACGTGGTGACTCATAATGTGATGATGAGTGTGTATGGGCGGGAGGGCATGAGTGAGAGTGTGGAGCGGGAATTTGAAGGCATGAAGACAAGAGGTGTTTCTCCGGATGCTGTGTCGTTCTCCTCGGTGGTTCTCACCCTCTGGTGAGTGCTTCTTTTTTTTTCGAGGTGACTTTTTTCAAGCCGACTCAAAAGTCGTCTCATTCTCCTCGGTGGTTCTCTCCCTCTGGTGAGTGCTTTTATTTTTTCGGTATGGTGAGTGCTGTATTGGGTACAGTTAGTGCTACATTCAGCAGGGCATAATGTGATCATGAGTGTGTATGGGAGGGAGGGCATGAGTGAGAGCGTGGAGCTCCGGAGTCCGGACATACTCCAGAGGGTGGAGCGTGGAGCGTGGAGTTTGAGGGGATGAAGGCCAGAGGGGTTGCTCCGGACGCTGTCTCATACTCCTCTGTGCTCCTCACTCTCTGGTGAGTGCTGTGTTGGTCGGTATGATGAGTGCTGTGTTGTTCGGTAGCTGTGGTGTGTGGTTGGTGTTGAGTGAGAGTGTGGAGCGCGAGTTTGAAAGCATGAAGGCCAGGGGAGTTGCTCCGGACGCTGTCTCATGCTCCTCTGTGCTCCTCACTCTCTGGTGAACTAAGTATCACTGGTAGTTTGTTGTGGTGCTAAGTTAACGTAATTAGCTATGGCAATTCGCTCAGGCAGCAGTCACTCCCTACGTGGCTGAGTGTGAGGCTAGTGCTCTCTCTTTCCCCCGCTCCACCGTTCACCCCATTGCCTGGTGCCTCTTGGATTCTCAATGCCATTGTGTTTTTGAGAATTCTCAAAAACTCCCTATGAGGCTAGCGCTCTCTCTTTCCCCCGCTCCACCGTTCACCCCATTGCCTGGTTTCTCTTGGATTCGCACTGCCATTGTGTTTTTGAGAATTCTCAAAAACTCCCTGCGAGGCTAGCGCTCTCTCTTTCCCCCGCTCCACCGTTCACCCCAATGCCTGGTGCCTCTTGGATTCTCAATGCCATTGTGTTTTCCCTCGCAGCAAGGTGGGGAGAGTGGAGACGGGGAGTCCTTACGTGGCAGGGTGCGAGGCAGCCGGCTCTCTCCCCTTTGCCGCTCAACTCAATGCCATTGTGTTTTCCCTCGCGGCAAGGTGGCGAGAGTGGAGGCAGCACGCCGTTACGTGGCAGGGTGCGAGGCAGGGTAGGGTGTGAAGCAGGCGGCTCTCTCCCCTTCGCTGCTCAACTCAATGGCCCTCTCTTCTGTGCTTTGGCCTCCAATCCTCTTGCTTCCCCTCACAGCACGCCGTTACGTGGCAGGGTGTGCGAGGCAGCCGGCTCTCTCCCCCTCTCCCCTTCGCTGCTCAACTCAATGGCCCTCTCTTCTGTGCTTTGGCCTCCAATCCTCTTGCTTCCCCTCACAGCACGCCGTTACGTGGCAGGGTGTGCGAGGCAGCCGGCTCTCTCCCCCTCTCCCCTTCGCTGCTCAACTCAATGGCCCTCTCTTCTGTGCTTTGGCCTCCAATCCTCTTGCTTCCCCTCACAGCACGCCGTTACGTGGCAGGGTGTGCGAGGCAGCCGGCTCTCTCCCCCTCTCCCCTTCGCTGCTCAACTCAATGGCCCTCTCTTTTGTGCTCTGGCTCCCACTCCTCTTGCTCCCCCTCGCAGCAAGGTGGGAAGAGTGGAGGCGGGGAGTGGTTACGTGGCAGAATGCGAAGCAGTTGCCCTCTCTCTCTCCCCTGCTGCTTTTAACACCCTTTGCCTTGAACACCACCTTTGCTTTGCTTTGTTTCTCTTTGACTGAAACCCCCACCGGCAGCAGGGTGGGAAGAGTGGAAGCAGCATCTCGCTACGTGGCAGATTGGGAAGCAGCTGCCCTCTCGCTCTCCCCTGCGGTGCTCAACTCAATGCCTCTTTTGTCTGTGACTCTGCTTCCCCATACCCATGTGTTCCCGTCGCAGCAAGGTGGGAAGAGTGGAAGCAGCATCTCGCTACGTGGCAGAGTGTGAAGCAGCTGCCCTCTCGCTCTCCCCTGCTGCGCTCAACGCCTTTGCCTCGGGCTGCATTTCTGCTGGGCGGCCCACTGATGCTGTTAGGGCGATGGAGAGTGCTGAAAGAAGGGCCGGCAGGTGAGCCGTTTCTGTGAGGGAAGGAAGGTCATGGATGCAGAAACTCACACTCAGGGGCACTGGCCGCTGTGAACAAGGGGCGAAGGTCATAGATGCAGAAACTAGGGATGAGCAAGGGGCGAACACGAACATGTTCGCCCTTGTGCTCATGTCTAGCAGAAACTCACACTCAGGGGCACTGGCCGCTGTGAACGTCTTTGCTTCGGGCTGCATTTTTGCTGGACGGCCCACTGATGCTGTCAGAGCGATGGAAGCAGCAGAAAGGAGAGCCGGCAGGTGAGCAGCAAGCAAGGGTGGGAAGGTGTGAGAGACAGAAACTCAGGGCACTGGCAGCGCTGAACGCCTTTGGCGTCGAGCTCTCTGGCTGCATTTCTGCTGGGCGGCCCACTCACGCCGTGAGGGCGATGGAAGCAGCCGAAAGACGTGCTGGCAGGTGAGCAAGTGAGCGGGTGAGCCAGTGTGAGAGTGCCTCTCTCACGAGAGTGACACACGAGAGTGACACACGAAAGTGGGAGATAGGGAGTGGGTGGTGTGTGTGCTTCGGGCTGCCTGGCTGCTGGGCGGGCCACTGACGCCGTCAGGGTGATGGAAGCAGCAGAAAGACGGGCTGGCAGGTGAGCAAGCGAGCAGGTGAGAGATTGAAGAGCCCTCACGTCCTGTTCGGGCTGGCAGGTTAGCAGGTGAGCGGGTGAGCGGGTGAGAGATTGAGTGCCACGAACAGTGGATGGTGTATGCCACGAACAGGACTGCAGGAAGGAGTTCGAGAATGGATGGTGTATGCCATGGTCTGCGCATGTATGTATGAGTGGATGGTGTATGCCATGGTCTGCGCATGTATGTATGAGTGGATGGTGTATGCCATGCTCTGCGCATGTATGTATGAGTGGATGGTGTATGCCATGCTCTGCGCATGTATGTATGAGTGGATGGTGTATGCCATGCTCTGCGCATGTATGTATGAGTGGATGGTGTATGCCATGGTCTGCGCATGTATGTATGAGTGGATGGTGTATGCCATGGTCTGCGCATGTATGTATGAGTGGATGGTGTATGCCATGGTCTGCGCATGTATGTATGAGTGGATGGTGTATGCCATGGTCTGCGCATGTATGTATGAGTGGATGGTGTATGCCATGGTTGCCACTGCTGCGCGCACATGCTGCCACTGCTGGCCGCATATGCTGCCACTGCTGCCCCCACATGCTGTCACTGCTGCCCCCACATGCAAGCGCTCCAGATGGTCACTGCTGCCGCTGCTGGGACCGCTTCCACACTCACTCCCTTGTTTTTGAGTTGACTCAAAAGCAGGCAAGGTGTTGTTTTGCTCTCTCGCCCAGATTTAAGCAAAACAACACCTTGAGTCGACTCAAAAGACACTCCAGATGGCCCTTGCTGCTGCCGCTCACTCCCTTGTTTCCCTTTTCCATCCACCCATTCCTCTCTCTTCGCACCCTCAATCCCATGCAGGCTTGAGCGTGACTCTTATGCCCTTGGGATGCAAGCACTCCAGATGGCTGCTGCTGCTGCTGATACTGCCGCTGTGTTTGCCACTGCCTCTTACTCTCCTTCTCTCCCACCTGCGCCCTCAATCCCATGCAGGCTTGCCCCTGACTCGTATGCACTCTGGATGCAAGCACTCCAGATGGCTGCTGCTGCTGCTGCTGCTGATACTGCCGCTGTGGTTGCCACTGCCTCTCACTCTCCTTCTCTCCCACCTGCGCCCTCAATCCCATGCAGGCTTGACCGTGACTCGTATGCACTCTGGATGCAAGCACTGCAGATGGCTGCTGCTGCTGCTCCTGCCATTGCCACTCCTGCTGCTCCTGCCCCTCCTGCTGTCACTCACTCATTCCACTCTCTTCAATCTCTCCACTCTCTCCATGCATCCCATGCAGGCTTGACCGTGACTCGTATGCCCTCTGGATGCAAGCGCTCCAGATGGCCGCGGCTGCTGCTGCCAACAGTCCCAAGAGCAGTAGCAGCAGCAACGGCAGCAGCAAGAGCAGCAGTGGTAACAACCGGAGGAGCAACAGCAGCAGCAGCAGCAGCAGCGGGAGCAGTGACAGCAAGAACAGGAGCAACAGCAAGAGCAGGAGCACCTCTTCTGATGCAGCAGCTGCAATCAGCCCATCTGGTGAGGCAGAGGATACAGGGGACAAAGCAACGGCAGGGGATATGGCACGGGCAACAGCAGGAGGAGCGGCAGGGGGTGAGCAGGTGTCTGTGTCCCCTCAGGATCACTACAGCTCGCAACTGGCTGTGCTGGCTGCACGGATGGAAGCAATGGAGATGAGAGGAGGAGGAGCAGGGGGAGCTGGGAAGTATGGTTTCAGCAGCGGGAAGAGCAGCAGGAGGGGTAGCAGGGGCGGTGGCAGATAGGGATGCGGATCGCAACAGCAGTCAGCTGGCAGTGCTGGCTGCACAGATGGAGGCGATGGAGATGAGAGGAAGAGGGGCGGGGGGGGCTGGGAAGTATGGCAGTGGTAAGAGCAGCAGGAGGAGAAGCGGGAAACAAGGATTCTAATCAATCCGTTCGGGACGAGATGATGTGTGGAGCTGGATTTGCACACGACTTGTGAGGCGCCTCAAAAGGATTCTAGTCGATCCTTTTTGGACGAGGTGATGATGTGGAGAGCTGGATTTGGAGAAAGTGCAAAGGTGGATGGGCTGATGGTATATGTAGAATCGGTGGCAAGGAGAACAGAAAATCAGTTTGAGGCGCCTCAAAGCTGGGCTGCTGGTATATGTAGAGTTGGTGACAAGGAGAACAAAATGTCATCACAATACTCATGTGGGTATTGAGTAATCAGTAGTGTATTTGAGTATCAACTGGTGTACCAGTAATTGTTTTCATGAGGGTTATGCACAGGAAAGAAAAGAACAAGTTTTGCCTTTAAGCACAGCTACAGACATAACAGTATTTTTATCTCTTTCAGAGCACACTTTGAATAGTTGCTCAATCCAGCTAGTTTTACTTCTTTCTTATGTATTGTACATAGAGTACAAATATACATTGAATTATTACATGGTACCCAACTCCCAGCACATACACCAATATTCCTAGACTTGCTTGTGATAAAGCATGAGGACAGACACACATATTCAGCATTTCTGCAGGCAAGAACTGGGCACGTGGGAACTCAGATCCGTATCACAAGTCACTCCGGAAACACCTCCACCTTTTCTACTCTTTGACGCCTTGCAAGCAACGTGTATTATACAGTAACACGGCACTCCCTAGGCTGGGGGCAGCAGCTGCTCTTCTATCTCCTCTAAAGAGCGACCCGCTGTTTCGACAAGAGACGTGGCGGTGAAGAGTGCACCCGCGAAGCATACGCAAGCGAAGAATGAGAAGAGGGTGGTTTGGCCGAAGCGAACCATGAGAGGCAGGAAGGAGAAACCGACCATGAAATTGAAGACCTGGAGAGAAAACAACGGGATAAGGACGGGAAGGGAGGAGCACATAATGGGGCATGTATGAAGGGTGCCTAGCAAGAATGAGAAGAGGGTTGTTGGGCCGAAGCAAACCATGAGAGGCAGGAAGGGGAAACCATCCATGAAGTTTAAGACCTGGAGATGAAGGGAACAGAGGGGAGATAAATTCACTTTTAAGAAGCCTCAAAAGCATTACCAGTCTGTAAAGATGAAACATGCCCCATCACATGCCTGGTGCATGCATAGTGCCATATACTACACACCATTTCCCACGCTTAATTCCGCATGCATCATGCACCATCCACACACCCAATGCACAAGTTTTGAGTCGACTCAAAACTCGACTCATAGTACCATATACTACACACCATTCACCACGCGGAATTCCGCATGCATCATGCACCATCCACTCACCCAGTGTACACACATGGCAAAGGCCATGCCCTTGGCTCGGATGTGGTTCGGCAGCATCTCAGGCAGCATCAGGCCCGGCACAGGTCCGGCTCCCATGGTGAAGCAGGCTACGTAGCTGTTTGGGGAAGAGGAAGAGGGTTGGAGGAGGGAGAGGGAGGGGAGGGTCACAAGCGGTGCCACATGGCTTACGTGAGCCTATTTTTGAGGCGACTCAAAAATACGTGATAAAAGTTTTATTTTGAGACGTCTCAAAATACAAGTTTTATCAAAGAGAGGGGAGGGTCAGTAAGCGGTGCCACATGGTTTACTCCACAACCCTTTCTGATTGCGGTGTTTGATTGCCGTACCCCATCCTTTCAGGCATAGCACGGCAATCAAACACCATTCCTGGCATTTTTACAATAAGCCAACCAGTCAACCACTCTCAGCCGCACTACGGGATAGGGATACTCACACGAGGGTGGCAGTGAGCGTGATGAGCGGCGCCACGGGCGCCATCCAGAATAGCACCTGCGCTGCTGCTTGCACCGCCATGCACAGCTGCACTCAACCGCACTCAACCGTACTTAATTGCAGAAAAAACTCACACGAGGGTGGCAGTGAGAGTGATGAGCGGTGCCATGGGGCCCATCCAGGGTAACACCTGCGCTGCTGCTTGCACCGCCATGCAAAGACCCTGGTGATGAGTTGAGAGACAAGAAAAGGCAGACCAAGGGAGAGAGGAGATAAAACGGGGGCATTGAGTGATGAACGGAGCCATGGGCTTTGAGGCGCCTCAAAAGTGATGAACGGAGCCATGGGCGCCATCCACGGTAGCACCTGCGCTGCTGCTTGGACCAGACCCTGATGGGGAAGAGGAGAGTGGAGAAAATAGATGAATGCAGGGGTGGAGGGTGAAAAGAAGAGGGCATTATGATGCAACGGATAATGTGGCCTTTTTGCTTCTACCCTTATGTAATTGCCGTAGCACTTGCTTTTTGATAGCAGTCGGTCGGAGGAGAGGGTGATACACACTCACCATGCCAATGAAGCTCCCTGTGATGAGCGCCTTCCTCCCAACACGGTCGATGAGAGCAGAGCACACCAGAGATGCTGAAGCTCAGGGGGGGGGGGGGGGGGGGGAACGGGGCAAGAGAAGAAGAAAATGTGGATGAGGAACCAAGGGCTAACTATTGCACCCGATTGGATGCCGGCTGTCTTGACGAGGCGTGAGAAGAAGAAGCTCAACCGGCATGGGAACCAAGGGCGGGACCACCCTGTTGTTCTTTCAGCTACATACATGCGGAGAGTCAACAATCACTCACCAACTAAGTTCAGTGTGCCCATGGCAACGCTAGCCAGGGCGCCGGACTGAATGCCGGCCGACTTGAAGAGGTGCGAGGAGGAAGTAGGGAGAGATGAGGTGTGATTGGAGGTGTGAGAGCTCACCAACTAGGTTCAGAGTGCCCATGGCAACGCTTGCCATGGCGCCGGACTGAATGCCGGCCGACTTGAAGAGGTGCGAGGAAAAGAAGAATACGGCATTGATGCCGCTGAGTTGCTGTAGAGCAAATAGTGTTGCTCCGATGGTGACGACTGCAGGAAAAGGAGCAGGAGAAGAAGAAGACAAGGTGTCAGCAGGGAGGAAAAGGTGAGAGGAGAAGAAGAATACGGCGTTGATTCCGCTGAGTTGCTTTAGGGTGAAAAGTGTTGCTCCAAGTTGACCACTGGGGAATGGGGATGGGTGACAAGGAAAGAAGACAAAGAACGTAAGAGGGAGGGAGGCGTGAGAGGAGAAAACGAGTACAGCGTTGTTGGCACTGAGTAGCTGCAGGGCGGAGAGGGCAGCTCATATGGTGACCACGGGAGAAAAAGAGGGATGACACAGGGTTACAAGGGGGGTGAGACACGGTAGAGAGGAGGAGAGAGGCATGAAAGGAGGCGACACACGACTCCCCTACTCACCACGCACATATTGCTTGGAGAATAGCCCTTCATGGCTCACATTAGAAGGGCAGCATCACGCAACAATCACCCATCACCAATCCCTATTCGTGTCAAAACACCAGTACACTACTTACCCCGCACGTATCGCTTGGAGAAGAGGCTTTGCCAAGTCACCTTCTCAACCGCTCCCCACTCCTTCACCAGACCTTCCTCGTCCCCTTTCCCCGCCACAGCCACCCCCTTCCCCTTCTCCAGCACTACATACCCCGGATGCTGCTGCTCTCCTTTCCCCTCCTTCTTTTCCCCCTTAGCCTCGCCCTCCCACCCCACACCGTGCCCCCTGCTGCCTCTTCCCCCAAAGGAATGATGCAGATCGTCCATGGTTTCTCCCAGCTTCGCTTCTCCCAGCAGCTGGGTTACTGCTGCTGCCGCTTCTGACCACTTGCCATGCTGCAGGCGGGGGCAGAGGGGTAGGGAAGGTGGGGTAGTGGGGTCGGGAGGGATAGAGAGAGATGAGAGGGGGTGACTGCCTGGGCCTAAGGAGTGATGCAGATCGTCCAGGGCGGGTTTCACCTTTGCTTCTCCCAACAACTGCGCCACCGCTGCTGCTGCCTCCCCCGACTTGCCGTGCTGAGGTTGATAGGTGGGGGGAGATGAGAGGGGGTGACTGCCTGGGCCAAAGGAGTGATGCAGCAGATCGTCCGTGGTCTCTTTCACCTTCGCTTCTCCTAATAGCTGGGTTACTGCTTCTGCTGCTGCTGACCACTTGCCATGCTGCAAGGGGAGAAGGGGCAGGGAGTAAGAGCAGGGCAGTGGAGTGATGCAGCAGATCGTCCGTGGTCTCTTTCACCTTCGCCTCTCCTAATAGCTGGGTTACTGCTGCTGCGGCTTCTGACCACTTGCCATGCTGGGGGGAGTGGCAGGGCAGCGGAGTGGGAGAGAGTGTGGGAGTTCACCTGGGATTGTTCACCTGGGATTGTTCACCTGGGATTGTTCACCTGGGATTGTTCACCTGGGATTGTTCACCTGGGATTGTTCACCTGGGATTGTTCACCTGGGATTGTTCACCTGGGATTGTTCACCTGGGATTGTTCACCTGGGATTGTTCACCTGGGATTGTTCACCTGGGATTGTTCACCTGGGATTGTTCACCTGGGATTGTTCACCTGGGATTGTTCACCTGGGATTGTTCACCTGGGATTGTTCACCTGGGATTGTTCACCTGGGATTGTTCACCTGGGATTGTTCACCTCGGATTGTTCACCTGGGATTGTTCACCTGGGATTGTTCACCTGGGATTGTTCACCTGGGATTGTTCACCTGGGATTGTTCACCTGGGATTGTTCACCTGGGATTGTTCACCTGGGATTGTTCACCTGGGATTGTTCACCTGGGATTGTTCACCTGGGATTGTTCACCTGGGATTGTTCACCTGGGATTGTTCACCTGGGATTGTTCACCTGGGATTGTTCACCTGGGATTGTTCACCTGGGATTGTTCACCTGGGATTGTTCACCTGGGATTGTTCACCTGGGATTGTTCACCTGGGATTGTTCACCTGGGATTGTTCACCTGGGATTGTTCACCTGGGATTGTTCACCTGGGATTGTTCACCTGGGATTGTTCACCTGGGATTGTTCACCTGGGATTGTTCACCTGGGATTGTTCACCTGGGATTGTTCACCTGGGATTGTTCACCTGGGATTGTTCACCTGGGATTGTTCACCTGGGATTGTTCACCTGGGATTGTTCACCTGGGATTGTTCACCTGGGATTGTTCACCTGGGATTGTTCACCTGGGATTGTTCACCTGGGATTGTTCACCTGGGATTGTTCACCTCGGATTGTTCACCTCGGATTGTTCACCTGGGATTGTTCACCTGGGATTGTTCACCTGGGATTGTTCACCTGGGATTGTTCACCTGGGATTGCTAACACTGGCACTTGCCTGCTGTCAATGCTGCACCTGCCACCATACCACCTGTCAACTCCCATCTGACCCCTCCTCACCTGCGCCAGCCACCGGGGGCTGTCCACCAGGAATGCACACGCCATGCAGAACAGCGCTGCTGGCAACCTGGCACTGACAGTGATGCGACACCTAATGCCATACCGCCACACCTCCCTGCCCCATCTTCTCACCTGCGCCAGCCACCGGGGGCTGTCCACCAGGAATGCACACGCCATGCAGAACAGCGCTGCTGGCAACCTGGCACTGACAGTGATGCGACACCTAATGCCATACCGCCACACCTCCCTGCCCCATCTTCTCACCTGCGCCAGCCACCGGGGGCTGTCCACCAGGAATGCACACGCCATGCAGAACAGCGCTGCTGGCAACCTGGCACTGACAGTGATGCGACACCTAATGCCATACCGCCACACCTCCCTGCCCCATCTTCTCACCTGCGCCAGCCACCGGGGGCTGTCCACCAGGAATTCACACGCCATGCAGAACAGCGCTGCGGGCACTGCAGCAATCCAAAAGCACATGCGCCACCTGGGCAAGGGGAGAAGCGAGGAGAGGAGGTGAAGCGAGGAGAGGAGGTGAAGCGAGGAGAGGAGGTGACGCGAGGAGAGGAGGTGAAGCGAGGAGAGGAGGTGACGCGAGGAGAGGAGGTGAAGCGAGGAGAGGAGGTGAAGCGAGGAGAGGAGGTGAAGCGAGGAGAGGAGGTGACGCGAGGAGAGGAGGTGACGCGAGGAGAGGAGGTGACGCGAGGAGAGGAGGTGAAGCGAGGAGAGGAGGTGAAGCGAGGAGAGGAGGTGACACAAACGACGTCCAAGTGATAACATGGTCAACTCAGAAACACATGCGCCATGAGGTGCAAGAGGAGAGCAGACGCGGCGGGCAATTAGAGCAGCAAGCGGGGTGCAAGAAGTGGCAAGCAACATATGGGTGAGAAAATAGGTGTCTCACGATGAGGCGGGCAGGAGAGCGAGGTGACTTTTGAGTCGACTCAAAAGCAAAGTGACTTTTGAGTCGACTCAAAAGCAAAGTGACTTTTGAGTCGACTCAAAAGCAACATATGGGTGGAAAAATAGGTGTCTCACGATGAGGCGGGCAGGAGAGCGGCAGCAAGCAGGGCGGCAAGGATTCCGGTGCACGTGAGGACTTGGGGGATGGCACCAAACGTGCCCCTCTGCTGCGGTGGGGAGATCTGCAGAGAGAAGAGAAGACAGGGGAAAAAGCGGGAGAGGAACGGAGAGAGACTGGGTTTTAGGCGCCTCAGGGGAGAAGTGTGAGTGCGAGCATTGCCGGGATGCCGTGCACGTGAGGACTTGGAGGGTGTTTTTGAGAATTCCCAAAGGTGTTTTTTATCATTCTCAAAAACACCCTCAGGGGAGAAGTGTGACTGCGAGCGAGCATTGCCAGGAACCCGTGCACGTGAGGACTTGGGGGATGACGCCGAAAGTGCGGTGGAGAGATCTGAATGAAGAGATTAAGAAAAAGCGGGAGAGAAAAATTGAAAATGTTGGGCGCCTAATACAAGTATGGGTGCAAGCAGGGCAGCGAGAATGCTGGTGCACGTGAGGACTTGGGGGATGGCGCCCAATGTACTCCTCTGCTGGATCTGAGGAATGGCTATGCAACGTGCCTCTTTGTTGAAAATGCACAAGAGATATCATATCTACACCTAAACATGAACTAACAAAGAGCCATGATGGGGATGGCCATGCCTAGTCCAAAGCCCAGCAGGAACCAAACTTCACAGACATACATGTTATGCGTGCGCGCTACACACACACCTCGGGAATGTAGAGAGCCATGATGGGAATGGCCATGCCTAGCCCAAAGCCCAGCAGGAAGCGGCCGGTGACGACGAGCGAGAGAGATGATGCCATGGCACTGTTGGGTTGGGTCACACAGACACAACATTGAATCAAATAAAAGAAGAGTCAAAATGTCTCATCAGAAAATACCGGGTAAAAAAACGCATAGAAGTCGTAAACCCCAACAATAATTTAAATATGGTATCTAAGAAACACACCCACCAGAGAATGGATCCAATCAGGATGGGAACGCTGCAAAGCTGGAACCCCTTTTTCCTGCCCGCACTGTCAGCCACCGTGCTGCTGGTTGAACAACCCAGGAACGCTCCGAGTAGAAACACGCTCACAACCGAAGCTGCACAAGGCATGGCAAGGAATGCAGGAGAAAGACACCCATTTATTGTACCGGTACGTGCTAAATAAGTCGCACCTCACACGCCCTCCTGGTCGCAACACAGTCACAACTGAAGCTGCTGAGGAAAGAAACTCAAATGCTGGTTACACATAAACAAATTGGAATATAGTGCAAGCACCATAAAAGTGTGGAAGCTATTATATTTTGTAAAAACATTACCTTTGGCGAGAGCATTCTCAGCGAAGAGCAGCTCGACAGCCATGGATTCCAATGGTCCATTCACCACTCTGCTCATTGTACATGGAGGGTAGATAACAGGCAATACCCCACACAAAGGGGATTATAATGGAATATTGTGAATCTGCACGCTTTGTGTAGAAGCGTAGGAAAGAACCTCATTTTCTGAAGAGAAAGTGTTACTTACGACATGTGGTAACCGAACAGGAACGCAATTATTGACGAAGTGAGCACATGCGGCAACACCCCTCGCCACGCCAGCGCCTTTCGCGGCGCTGCCCCTCCCACAGCCTTCCGTCGTCCTCGGTGCTCCTTCCTGCTTGGTAACCCTGCCAATAATTATTAGCAAGGGATGTGAGAATGGCATGCCTGTCGCGCACCGAATTCGAGTCGAACCAGATCACATATCCAATCGAATGATTTATCTAAAAACTTCTCGAAACGAAGCAAAAATCAGAGCCACGCGCCATCACCTTGCGACAGCAACGGTCGCCCAAGATCGCTCTCCGTCGCACCCGGTTCCATCGTCTCCGTCGCCTCTTCGCCTCGCTCCTCGTCGCGCTCCTCGCGTCTCTCGCGACCTTCCTCGGCAGTCTCGGAAACCAAACCCGCGCGAGGCTTGCTGCTTCTAGCCTCGCGGCTCCTAGTCCCCTTGCTGCTCCCTGCCGCAGCAGCACCGGATGAGGCGCGATCCGCGCGATGACCTTCGCGATCCGTGCCGCCCCCCTCTCCCCCGGCGGGATTTGACGACGACGACAGCTTGCGACGCGGCGACGGCGATCGTTGGCCTGCGCGAAGAACGGCGTCGCAGACAAGAAGGTGAGACGATCTCAGGATTCGCGAACAGAGAGCAAAGCGTTTTGAAACACTTCAGATATACTTCGTCGGTTGACGTGAAGGCTGATTTAGAGAATTTTAATGGCACAACCGTCATCACCTTTCGCGTCGTTCGAACCAAAAGCCGCAGCGGTCACCACAGCTCCCCTTCTTGTTTTTCCAGTGAATCCACGCGGCAAAATAGAACCTCCTCTTATGCCCTGAGATACACGACAACATGCACAAACAATCCCAATGGAGCAGCGGGTGAGGTTCTGACTACATCACAGTGCATTTAAATTGGAATCAGCTCGCGCGCCAGATTTAGCGCATCGCGGGTTTGGCGGGACAGATTTAGCGCATCGCGGGTTCTGCGCGCCAGAACAGGATCACGACCGCACTCCTACTAGTATCCGCGCTACCAGCGCCGACGCAGAAAACTGCCGTCCTTGTTCGGGACGCCCGCCGTCCGTGGCGAAAGAGAGTTTGCTTTGAGATTGAGAGGTACCTGGCTTCTGAACTCGTTTGGCAACCCCGTCAGTCCCCTGCCGCCGTAGGCCGTGGCCGACGCTGAGGACGGCGGCGCGAACAGGACCGACGCTGGGACGTGGAGAGTGCGACGGCCGAATGCGGCCTCCGGATTGGTTGTCGGAATGGCAGGCGCCGCGCCGGAGTGTATGGAACCGCTCCCAAGTGAGCGAAGGGTGTTGACGGCGGGTTGCGGCATGCGATCCAAGCTCACGTTTCCCAGCGCCAACGAACCTGTCACACAATGAAATACCAAATCCATGTATTTTCTGTCAATTAGTAATATATATAAAAAAAATCGCCGATGAACCTGTTCCTCGATTGAAAGGAGGACCTTTCACGCCCATAGCACAAACGCGGGGGACTCTGTTACGAAATGGTATTTCGTGACAAGAAAGATAAAGAGAGGAATAAAACGGCGCAAAGGAGACTCCGTGCAACTGCCGCGTTCGCTAACGGTTAGACTCCGTGACGGACCTATATTGATAATTTCAGCTGGCCCTGGGAGCTTACTACGAGAAGCCAGCAAAGCGCGGCGAACGCCCAGATCCAGATCGGGCTGACCCAAGCTCAACGTGGGATTCGACATCATCATCATCGTACGTCGACTGACTCAACTCTGCTCAGTGCTGATCGACGTCTAAATGCACTACCTATCTGTCACCAGTCCGACGGGAAGGAACGTTTCTGTTCTTCCAGAAGTACACGAAATTTGGAAACAGATACCAGAACGGTCTATTCCGGGGAGAGAAATGGGTTGGTCGGGTCAAATAGCATATAATCGTTGTCTAAAAGGCTAATAATCCCACCTCGTACTAGAAGTGATTCTACTCGCAGCGTGACGGTCCACTTAGAAAGCACGCTCCGACTGTCGGTCCTGACTTCTGGGAGGGGCTTCACAGATCCTTGGTGGATCCGCAAGGCGTGTAGTCGCCAGCAGCAAACCGGCCAAGGTTATTGTCCCTTGTGCGGGACGGAGAGAGTGCGCGACTCCAGCTTGGAAAGGATAAGGTCGAGGAAGCAGGGATGGTGGATGTTGGTGTTACAGCATTGCGACATGGAGGGGAGAACAAGCTACGGGTTTCGAGATAGTGAATGGGGTGAGAGAATTTCTCCAGTGGCCAATCGGGTGATTCCTTCTCTCTCGGGGGGCCTCGATTTACTCGAGTGGCCACGAAATAGGGTGATAATTACTCGAGTGGCCACGCCAGGGGATTCCTGCTCGCTTTGTTTTCACCGGCGAATTACCCTATGGGGATTTGTAGCCCCGAAATTCCTTATTCGTGCGAGTGGTATTCCTAGGTAGTGTTCCGTTCTATTCCGCAACTTAAAATTTCGCCAGGCTCACGGACGCGAAAGTGGCCCGCCCACTGTACAAGAAACTGACCAACAGTACATTGACCGGTCAGTTTCGGCCAAATGCGCGACCAATGAGCGCGCGAACCATCTAATTCCGAACGAGTCAGCGATCGAGCATATAACTTCTCGATCATATAATCCTATAGACCCGAAGCGAACAGCCACACCCCTAACGCACGCGCATGATTCGTAAAAAACATGCGCGGTGCATATGTTGCCATTGAGCGTCCAATCAGGGGCCATCATTGAATTCCCCATCATATACCGAAATGATCGGCCATCAATTCGCGATAAACTAAATTACCGCGCGTGATTGGTTTGTTTTAATCTCAGGATATGCTTTGCCATTGAGCGTCCAATTATCCCCGTCCAAATGAAATGGCAACCATACATAAAATAGGACCGCGCACTAACAAATACTAGTGCGCATATGATTTGTCCAAGTTTGTGTGCTTAGGGTGCATATAAAACATACTCTTAAATCCCATACAGCCATATAGTAAATTGTGTTTAATGAACGCGTTCAAATATGATCGGCAATCCGTAAATCTTGCGCCTGATTAGACGCGCAGTGGCAACAAATGCACCACTATATCTCCTGACCAATCGAGCGCGGTCGTTTTGCTGTGTCGGTTCGTTTCGGGTGAAATGCAGTATATGATCGCGAAGTCATATACTCGATCGCTGATTGGATGTTAATTAGATGGACCGCGCGCTCATTGGTCGCGCATTTGGCCGAAACTGACCGGTCAATGTACTGTTGGTCAGTTTCTTGTACAGTGGGCGGGCCACTTTCGCGTCCGTGAGCCTGGCGAAATTTTAAGTTGCGGAACAGAACGGAACACTACCTAGGAATACCACTCGCACGAATAAGGAATTTCGGGGCTACAAATCCCCATAGGGTAATTCGCCAGTGAAAACAAAGCGAGCAGGAATCCCCTGGCGTGGCCACTCGAGTAATTATCACCCAATTTCGTGGCCACTCGAGTAAATCGAGGCCCCCCGAGAGAGAATGAATCGTCCGATTGGCCACTGGAGAAATTCTCTCGAATGGGGTCGTTCGGAAAGGGGGCTGGGGAGGAGAGGGGCGAATTTGCTAGCGAAGGATGGCGAGGCGACAGCCGCACAGACTACGGCAAGAGGGGGTTTGGGTGTGGGAGAGGAGGGAGGTAAGGCAAGGGCGAATGTCGCACTATATTCCAGGTCCATACTTTCAGATTTCTCTCAAATTTAGCTCCAGGTTCACTCGAAAAGTACCACTTTCTAAAATTTCGCTCACGCGAGGCCCAAAGTATGTTCAAAACTGGTCCTGCGGGGCGAAGTTCTCGACACGTGTCCAATTTCGCTTAGAAAAGTTTTTCGACGGGGCAAAAAATAATAAAACCCCTCGGGAACTAGGGCACATTTGCGGGAGGGATCAACCCTAAACACCAAGCGGGTCCCCGTGTTTAGGGTTGATCCCTCCCGAACGTGTGTCCTGGTTCCCCTAGGGGTTTTATGTTTTTTTGCCCCCGTCAGAAATTGCAAATACGAAATAGGACACGTGTCGAAAAGTTTGCCCCGCAGGACCAGTTTTGAACATAATTTGGGCCTCGCGTGAGCAAACTTCTAGAAAACTGTACTTTTAAAGTGAACTTGGGACTAAATTTGAGAGATTTTTGAAACTATGGAGCTGGGATATACTCTCCCCAGGAAGAATTCTCTTGAGTTTACCGTACACGTGTCGTAGACGTGCTGCATGTGCGGCATGTCGGACCAATCGAACGGCACATGAGGAGTGTCACGAAGGGTCGCGACACCTGGAGAAATTTGCGGCTCGTCCAGGCGCTCCAAGTCGAGGGTGTGAGCGCTTGCCTGCTATTGGATGGTGCAGTACGACGAGAGTTTTCCGCAAGGGAAGCAGGCATGGCGGTGGCTTCTGTTCGCGACAACGACATTGGTGAGGCGACTTCGTTATGAGTATTTGCAAATAGCTTCTTACGAGTATCTTTATTCTTGGCTAAGTTCTCTTTCTCTTGATTTACTATCGTAAGCCTTGTCACACCTCAACAAAGTCCTTGATATTCGCTGGTGTATAATTATCCACGTGTCAACTTTCAATCGGAGAGTTTGATTTGGCCTCAATGTTAGAACCCAGCCACGTGCAACATTAGTTCCAGTCTGGCAGGTAGAATGTCCACGTTGGAGAAGTTTCACCTTGGAGGTAACTGCCAGATCAGAGAACTTTCGCCCGTCCAATGAAGCAAGGGGGGGAAAGGGGATCAGGGAGGATGGGGTGGGGATCAAAATTTGGCGCTTCCTTCCATCGGGGAAGGACAGTCGCGCACCCTCTCACCGCACACCAGCGCAAGCCAAAGACCCAGGTAACATAACCTCGTTAAGCGAAAGAGTGCAAAGTCTCACCGAATCGCCCACCACACCTTGCTCTTGCATTCGTCTTGTTCGAGAACCGCAGTAGCAGGGTTGCGACCAGATTTCCCAGGTTGCGTTTAGAACTTTAAAAGATCAATTGCGAAGTCTCGCGAATATGCGTTTTACTTCCCGAATTCGCCCGTACGATCTCACCCCTTCCAGCCCCTTCTAGCCCCATCCGCCAAATTCCAGAACATTCCCCGTCGACTTTGGCAAAGCAGCTCTTCCCTGTTGATGAGCTTAGGTATAAATAGCTCTTTTGGCAGAAATTGAAGTATCAAAAGCTGCTTTCACAAGCTTCTCAGCAAACTGCCTACTACTCTTGACGACTTTTCTTCTTGATCCTCATTCTGCCATCTTGTTTCATTATACGACTGCTCAAAGTCATCATTCCTGAGTTACCTAAATCGCCATGGATCCGAACTCCTTCACCCACAAGACCAACGAAATCCTCGTCGCGGCGCGCGAGCTCGCCGAGTCCAACGGCCACGCGGAAATCACGCCAGCGCACGTGGCGCTCGCGCTTCTGCAGGACGAAGACGGCGTTTTCCGCCACGCCGTCGCGCATTCCAGCGTCATCAACTACAACGCGACCGCGCCCGGCCATTCCCCGAGGGGCGATGGCGACACGATTCAAGCCTTCCAACGGGCCATCAAACGCCTTCTGCAGAAAATCCCCTCGCAGCAACCTCCGCCAGATGAAATCCACGCGAACCCCTCGCTCGTGAAGGCGCTTCGAAAGGCGCAGCAGATTCAAAAGAAGGCGGGAGACTCGCATCTGGCCGTCGATTCTCTCGTGCTCGCGTTGATGGAAGATTCGCAAATCTCTGAGGCAATGAAGGACGCGGGAGTGAATGCGGGGAAGGTGCAAGCGGCGCTGGCGCAGGCGCGCGGTGAGCGGAAGGTGGAGAGCGCTACGGCGGAGGGAACTTTCCAAGCGCTGAAGAAATTCGGGCGGGACTTGGTCGAGGTTGCGGCGAAACTCGACCCCGTGATCGGCCGCGACGACGAAATCCGGCGAGTCGTGCGAATTCTTTCGCGAAGGACGAAGAACAACCCCGTGCTGATCGGCGAGCCCGGCGTCGGCAAAACCGCCGTCGCGGAGGGACTCGCGCAGCGCATCGCGCGCGGCGATGTGCCAAGCAACCTGCAGAACGTGCGGCTCGTCGCGCTCGACATGGGCGCGCTGGTCGCGGGGGCGAAATACCGCGGAGAGTTCGAGGAGCGCGTTAAAGCCGTCCTTAAAGAGGTGGAGGAAGGCGAAGGCCGGATCATTCTTTTCATCGACGAGATGCATTTGATCCTCGGCGCGGGCCGCACGGAGGGCGCCATGGACGCAGCGAATCTCTTCAAGCCCATGCTCGCGCGCGGGCAGCTGCGCTGCATCGGCGCGACGACGCTCGAGGAGTACCGAAAGTACATCGAAAAGGACGCGGCGTTCGAGAGGCGATTCCAGCAAGTGCTTGTAGCGGAGCCGTCTGTAGCGGATACGATCAGCATTCTCCGCGGGCTGCGCGAGCGCTACGAGGGGCACCACGGCGTGCGCATCCAGGACCGCGCGCTCGTCGTCGCGGCGCAGCTCAGCGGAAGGTACATCACGGGAAGGCGCCTTCCCGACAAGGCGATCGACCTCGTCGACGAAGCGTGCGCGAACGTTCGGGTTACCCTAGACAGCCAGCCGGAGGAGATCGATGCGCTTGAGTGGAAGCGCATCCAGCTGGAAGTGGAGCTACACGCGCTGGAGAAGGAAAAGGACAAGGCGAGCGCGGTGCGCGCGGGGGAGGTGCGCGCGCAGCTTGGCGAGCTGCGCGACAAGCTGCAGCCGCTGCAGATGCGGTACCGGCGGGAGAAGGAGCGCGTCGACGAGCTGCGGCGGCTGCAGCGGAAGCGCGAGGAGGTGCTCGTAGCGGTGCAGGAGGCCGAGGCGCGCATGGACCTCGCACGCGTCGCGGATCTGAAGTACGGAGCGCTCACCGAGCTCGACGCCGCCATCGCGCGCTACGAGAAGGAGGCGGAGGCCGCCGCGGCCGCGCTGGGAGCCGACGCGGCAGGCCCGGGGAAACCGATGCTAACGGAAACCGTCGGTCCGGATCAAATCGCGGAGGTTGTGAGCCGCTGGACTGGTATCCCGGTTACCAGACTTGGGCAGAACGATCGCGAACGGCTGTTACACCTGGCGCAGCGGTTACACGAGCGCGTGGTGGGGCAGGACGAGGCGGTCCAAGCCGTCGCCGAGGCTGTGCTTCGGTCCCGAGCCGGGCTCAGCAGGCCCGGGCAGCCCACCGGTTCGTTCCTGTTCCTCGGGCCAACCGGCGTGGGAAAAACCGAGCTGGCGAAAGCTCTCGCCGAGCAGCTATTTGACGACGAAAACCAGCTGGTTCGCATCGACATGAGCGAATACATGGAGCAACACAGCGTCGCGAGGCTGATCGGTGCTCCCCCGGGCTACGTGGGGCACGAGGAGGGGGGTCAGCTTACGGAAGCAGTGCGGAGGCGTCCGTATTCTGTCGTTTTGTTTGATGAGGTGGAGAAAGCGCATACGTCGGTTTGGAACACGCTTCTGCAAGTTATGGACGATGGGCGGCTGACTGACGGAAGAGGCCGCACCGTTGATTTCAGCAACACGGTGATCATCATGACTTCGAATTTGGGAGCGCAGCATTTGTTGGCGGGGCTATCCGGAGAGGTTGGGATGGACGAGGCTAAGAAGGAGGTTCTGGCGGAGGTTCGGAAGCACTTCCGCCCGGAGCTGCTGAACAGGCTCGACGAAATGGTGGTGTTCGAGCCGATGTCGCTCCCGGAGCTGAGGAAGATCGCGCGGCTGCAGATGCGCCAGGTGGCGGCCAGGCTGGCAGACCGGGGGATTGCCCTCGGGGTTTCAGATGGCGCCCTGGATGTTGTCTTGAAGGAGGCTTATGATCCGGTGTATGGGGCGCGGCCGCTGAGGAGATGGCTGGAGCGGAAGGTGGTAACTCAGCTGTCTAAGATGCTGGTGGAAGGGAAGATAGACGATAACTGCACTGTGTTTATCGACGCTCAGGGCGGTGCTGGTGATGGTGTGGGGGAGAATGGGATTGCGGATGAGGTGGCGATAAGCGGGTTGGTGTATCGGGTGGAAAAGACTGGGGGGATTGCGGCTGAGAAGGCCAAGGGGAGGCTTGGGGAGTTTTTGGTGAAGCCTGTGGATGGTGATGGTGGGGGGAAGAGGGCTAAGGTTGATGATGAGGATGACGATGTGGATGATATGGAGGACTGAAGAAGGGAGACTGGTGGAGATGGTAAGGCTGGAAGTTATGATGTGAGGTGATGCTGTAGATTACCCATGGTGAAGTAAAGGACGGAAATTATGATGTGAGATGCAGGTTGGCAGCAGTAATGCAGACTGCCGAAGCTGGTGATGAGGGGAAGAGTGAGAGCTAAGGTTGGTGATGCATGGAGCGGATGAGATGGAGGGTTGAAGGAGATACCGTATGTCAAAGATGAAAATTACTACTGTAGGATGAGGTGGTGCAAGTCACCTGGGGTGGTTTTAGCATATATCAGTGCATCTTTACATGGGTGTTCCAGTAAGGTTGATTTTTGAAGATTTTGTTATGCAAGTTTCATTATAAGAAAGAGACATCAATAACGTCTCATATCAACTTACACCCAGCAGCACTCCTCCATACCAAATCACTAAGTACTACCAGCATTTACAGTCGGTCGTGTACCGTGTGTCCACAGCACATATACACTCAATTGTACACCATGTATTTGGGTGTAGCACTGAACTTCTGGTACCCCTTGATGACCTTGTTGACCGCCTCCAGGAAATCCTTCTCAGTCACTGTCTTGCGCCGCGCCCTGATGGCATACATGCCCGCCTCCGTGCACACACTGCGGATGTCGGCTCCTGCATGAAGGAAAGGGAAAGTAAGGGAGACAGTACAAGGACAAGCACACATGAAGAGGGTTTCTCAGTCACTGTCTTGCGCCGCGCCCTGATGGCATACATGCCCGCCTCCGTGCACACACTGCGGATGTTAGCACCTGAGGGGGGTTGAGCACATACACAGATACACAGATGATAGACACGTGATCATGTACCCGTGTGCATCATGCCCTCATGGCATACATGCCCGCCTTCATGCACACACTGCAGATGTCGGCTCCTGGGGAGGGGTGAGGGGGTGGGGGGAGGAGGGCAAATTGGTGAGCAAGGAGAAGGTGAGCAAGCATGTGATGTCTTGCGCCGCGCCCTGATGGCATACATGCCTGCCTCCGTGCACACACTGCGGATATCGGCTCCTGAAGCATGGGGGAAGAGGAGCGATAGCGAGAGGAAAGGCAAACATGCACGACACATAAATGCCAGTAGCTGTTGACTCGCGCCGCACCCTGATGGCATACTTGCCGGCGTCCATGCACATACAACGGATGTTAGCTCTTGGCATGGGGGAAAGGAGGCGGGGGGGTGGGGTTGGGGGGGTTGGTTGGGGGGAGCATATACATGCACACACATGTACACAGACACATGGGTGGACACATGATTATGCACCACTAAATGTCGAGCCCTGATGGGCATACATGCCTGCTTCCAAGCACACACCGTGGCTGCCACCTTGAACCGAATGTCCCGTTCACTGTTCATTCGTGGTGCGCATGTGCAGCTTGAAAGTGCGAGACGTGAGGGGCGTGAGAAGCAACCAGCAGTGGAGTTGGGGCCAGAAAAGGGCAAGCACCTCGAACCAAATGTCCCGTTCACAGTTCATCGTGCGCGTGGAGCATGAAAATGTGCGTGCAGTGCATTGGAAAGTGTGCGAGGTCCCAAGACGAGAGACATGAGAGACACGAGAGGAACCCAACAGCGGAGTTGGGGCACAGCCGGGCAAGTATCTCAAACTGGATATCCTGCGCGCAGTTCATTATTAGTGTATGCGTGGGACATGCGGGACATGAGGGACATGAGAGATACAACAAGAACGTACCGGTGGAGTTGGGGCACAGCCGGGCCAGTAGCTCGAATCGAATATCACGTTCACAGTTCATGGTGCGGGTGTGGATCTTGAAGATGTGCGTTCGCCCCTCCAGGTCAGGCAGCCCGAATTCCACTTTGCGATCGAGACGACCCGGGCGCAAGAGAGCGGGATCAAGGGTGTCGGGCCTGAGGGTGGGGAGTAAGAGGGGTTAAAAAAAGAGAGATGAGAAGAGCGGGTGAGAGGTGAGCGTGTGGATCTTAAAAATGTGCGTTCGCCCCTCCAGGTCCAGCAGCCCTAATTCCACTTTGCGATCGAGACGACCCGGGCGCAAGAGAGCAGGATCAAGGGTGTCGGGCCTGCGGGTGGGGAGTGATAGGGGGATTGGGGCGGGAGGGTTATAGGTGAGAATGTGTGCACTCCTGAGACGACCCGGGCGCAGCAGAGCAGGGTCAAGGGTGCCGGGCCAGGAAGGAGGGGGTGGGAGGGGAAAGAGTGTGCATTACAGGGAGAACGGTGAGGGTTGGACGACAAGGCATGCAGAGGGGAGAAAAGGGGTGAGTGTGACCCTCCAGATCAGGCAGCCCAAACTCCCCCTTGCGGTCGAGACGACCCCGGCAGAGGAGAGCGGGATCAAGGGTATTTGGCCTAAGAGAGGGGAGAGAATGTGGGTAACAGCGAGGGAGACGATGGGAGAGAGTTCAAGTGAGGGCGCCCCCCTCCGCAACCGGCAATTTGAACTCCACCTTGCGCTCCAGACGCCCGGAATGCAGGAGAGCAGGACGAAGAGAGACAGGCCTGGGGAAGGCTTGAGGAGAGGGATTGGGGAGAAGAGAGAGACGAGCGGAGAGGGATTGGGGAGAAGAGAGAGACGAGCGGAGAGGGATTGGGGAGAAGAGAGCGACGAGCGGAGAGGGATTGGGGAGAAGAGAGAGATGAGCGGAGAGGGATTGGGGAGAAGAGAGAGACGAGCGGAGAGGGTTCGAAGTGTGGGCGCGTTAATAAGATGTGGTTGCGCCCCTCCAAAGTCAGGCGGCACAAACTCCGCCTTGCTTTTGGGGAGGGTAGAGGAACGAGGGGCAGTGGCAGAAACATAGGGAAGGGAAGTTGGACGGATGGTTCACTAACTTTTGAGGCGCCTCAGAAGTTGGACGGATGGTTCGCTAACTTTTGAGGCGCCTCAGAAGTTGGACGGATGGTTCGCTAACTTTTGAGGCGCCTCAGAAGTTGGACGGATGGCTCGCTAACTCCACCTAGGTGCACTGCACCTCATAGTCGCCTCGTTGTCACCTCATTGCCGCCTCGTTGCCGCCTCGTTGCCGCCTCGTTGTCGCCTCGTTGCCGCCTCGTTGCCGCCTCGTTGTCGCCTCGTTGTCCCCTCGTTGCCGCCTCGTTGTCGCCTCGTTGTCGCCTCGTTATCACCTCGCTCGTTGACCTTACCACTCCCTCATTGTGAGAGTGGAAAAACAAATACCACCATCCCTGCTACTGGCGCCTCACAAGCGCGCTCTGGCAGCATACCTGTTGGTAGCCACGAGCACCTTGATGTTCCCGCGAGCATCAAATCCATCCAGCTGAATCACAATCTCCAGCATCGTGCGCTGCACCTCTCCTTGTCACCTCGTCGTCACTTTGCTGTCTCATTACGAGGAGGAGGAAGGCAGACCACCCCCCGTGAGCAGCACACACACCACACCTGTTGGTAGCCATGAGCACTTTGATGTTCCCGCGTGCGTCGAATCCATCCAGCTGATTCACAATCTCCAGCATCGTGCGCTGCACCTCGTTGTCGCCTCCTTGACCCCACCTGGCCCCTCGTCGACAGCGGAGCAATGCAAGTCACCAATCCTGCTGGTGGCAGCACACATGTTCACACCTGAGCACACCTCTACACACCTGTTGGTAGCCATGAGCACTTTGATGTTCCCGCGAGCATCGAACCCATCCAGCTGATTCACAATCTCCAGCATCGTGCGCTGCACCTCGTTGTCGCCGCCCGCCCCGTCGTCAAACCGCGCCCCTCCGATGGCGTCCACTTCATCGAAGAAGATGATGCACGCCTTCTTGGAGCGTGCCATCTGGGAGTGCAGACAAAGGTGACAGGATGAGATGATGGCAAGGAGGGAGTTAGAATCTGCACCCTGTTGTCGCCGCCCGGCCCGTCGTCAAACCGCGCCCCTCCGATGGCGTCCACTTTATCAAAGAAGATAATGCACGCCTGCTTGGAGCGAGCCATCTGTGAGGGAAGGAGGTACAGGGAAGATATAAACAGGTGACGGGGAAGGAAGATGGGTAAGGGAGCGCGCCCCTCCGATGGCGTCCACTTCGTCAAAGAAGATGATGCACGCCTTCTTGGAACGTGCCATCTGGATGGAAGGGACGGACAGAGAGGATACAGGATACAGGGAGGGTATAGGGCAGGCAGGTAGGGGTGGGGGTTCAGGGCAGTGAATTGTGCTCCACCTCGTCAAAGAAGATGATGCACGCCTTCTTGGAACGAGCCATCTAAAGGGAAAAGAGGGGAGACAAGGGGAGACGGGATGAGGTGGCATGGAGGATATAGACAGGTAAAAGGGGGGGGGTTCTGCCCTCCGATGGCGTCCACTTCATCGAAGAAGATGATGCACGCCTTCTTGGAGCGTGCCATCTGGGAGGCCAGGCAAAGGTGACAGGATGGGATGACGGCAAGGAGGGAGTTAGAATCTGCACCTCGTTGTCTCCACCCGCCCCATCGTCGAACCGAGCCTCCAATAGCGCCTACTTCATTGAAGAAGATTATGCACGCCTTCTTGGAGCGAGCCATCTGTGAGGGAAGGAGGTACAGGGATGGTGGAAAGCAAGAGACACGAGGAAATCAGGGGAAGCAACGAAAGGACCACTGCACAGCACCGCAATGTGCCATACAGCACCGCACAGAACGGCACTTCAATCCAATCAGCAGCCACATATCAACCTTATGGCATGTCACCAAAGTGGTGTTCTCACCCGCACCAGCTCTCACCCGCACCAGCTCTCACCTGGAACAGCGCTCACCTGGAACAGCACTCACCTGGAACAGCACTCACCTGGAACAGCACTCACCTGGAACAGCACTCACCTGGAACAGCTCTCACCTGGAACAGCTCTCAAATGGAACAGCTCTCAAATGGAACAGCTCTCAAATGGAACAGCTCTCACCTGGAACAGCTCTCACCTGGAACAGCTCTCAAATGGAACAGCTCTCACCTGGAACAGCTCTCACCTGGAACAGCTCTCGGACCATCCTGGCCCCCTCGCCCACGTATTTCTGCACCAGCTCGCTGCCTATAACGCGGATGAAGCAGGCATCCGTGCGGTTGGCCACAGCACGGGCCAGCAGCGTCTTGCCGGTGCCGGGCGGACCGTAGCACAGCACGCCCTTGGGGGGGTCGATTCCCAGCTTCACAAACTTCTCCGGGTGAAGCATAGGCAGCTCCACCACCTGAGAGTGTGAGAGTGTATGTGATGTGATGTATGAGTGAGTGAGACTGTGTCAGGGAGGGCGCACCGTAGCACAGCACGCCCTTGGGGGGGTCAATTCCTAGCTTTATGAAATTCTCAGGATGAAGCACGGGGAGCTCCACCACCTGGAAGATTGTAGGGAAAAGGGGAAAGGACGGAAATAAGGGAGATTGGGATTGAGACGTAGCACAGCACGCCCTTGGGAGGGTCGATTCCTAGATTTACAAACTTCTCAGGATGCAGCATAGGGAGCTCCACCACCTGAGAGTGTGAGAGTGTATGTGATGTGATGTATGAGTGAGTGAGACTGTGTCAGGGAGGGCGGGCCGTAGCACAGCACGCCCTTGGGGGGGTCAATTCCTAGCTTTACGAAATTCTCAGGATGAAGCACGGGGAGCTCCACCACCTGGAAGATTGTAGGGAAAAGGGGAAAGGACGGAAATAAGGGAGATTGGGATTGAGACGTAGCACGGCACGCCCTTGGGAGGGTCGATTCCTAGATTTACAAACTTCTCAGGATGCAGCATAGGGAGCTCCACCACCTGAGAGTGTGAGAGTGTATGTGATGTGATGTATGAGTGAGTGAGACTGTGTCAGGGAGGGCGGGCCGTAGCACAGCACGCCCTTGGGAGGGTCGATTCCCAGCTTCACAAACTTCTCAGGATGAAGCATGGTGAGCTCCACCACCTGGAAGATTGTAGGGAAAAGGGGAAAGGACGGGAATAAGGGAGATTGGGATTGAGACGTAGCAGAGCACGCCCTTGGGAGGGTCGATGCCCAGCTTCACAAACTTCTCAGGGTGAAGCATGGGCAGTTCCACCACCTGAGAGTGTAGGTGAGTGTAAGAGTAATGAGTGTGCGTGAGTGGCTGTAAGAGAGACCGGGCCGTAGCACAGCACGCCCTTGGGAGGAATGCACAGCTTCACAAACTTTTGAGGATGCAGGATGGGGAGTTCCGCCCCCTCCCTCTCTCCCACGCACCTCTCGCATCTTCTCAATCTGCTCCTTGCAACCGCCCACATCCCCGTATGTCGGTTTCTCTTCCACCGTCATCATCGTCACACTCTACCTCGATACCAACTCAAAGACAGTCATACCCTCTCCCGCACCCACGCACCTCGCATCTTCTCAATCTGCTCCTTGCAACCGCCCACGTCCCCGTAGGCCACATCCAGTTTCTCCTCCACTGTCATCATCGTCACACTCTACCTCAATACCAACTCAAAGAGAGTCATACCCTCTCCCGCACCCACGCACCTCGCATCTTCTCGATCTGCTCCTTGCATCCACCCACATCCCCATATGTCACATCCGGTTTCTCCTCCACTGTCATCATCGTCACACCCTCCCCCATGCACTCTTCCTTTCATGTTCAACTCACACTTACACACTATACCTCTCCCACGCACCTCTCGCATCTTCTCAATCTGCTCCTTGCACCCGCCCACGTCCCCGTAGGTCACATCCGGCTTCTCCTCCACCGTCATCATCGTCACACTCGGGTCGATCTTGGGCGGCAGGGGGATCTGGATTTGATACTTGTTGCGATCCACTCTGAAACACAAGATGATTGAACATGGATACAGGAAATCAAGAGCAGGGAAACGACAATCAAGAAACGAGAAACTGGGTCTGGTCTTCATGGTGATTTGTATCCAATTATGGTGCGAACATCTCAGGAGAAAACTGACCGAGCTGACTTTTCAGTCAACTCAAAAGTCTGATTCGTATCCAATTCTGGTGCGAACATCTCAGGAGAAAACCATCAGCATAGGCCCGAATCTAGATGGCATGGTGGTTGGCACGCGCGGCATTGGCAGATGGCATAAAATGGCATGGCATGGACGGTAGGGATGGGATAGAACAGCATGCACGCACTCACCCCACTCGCACTCACCCCACTTTCATGCACGCACTCACCCCACTCGCACTCACCCCACTTTCATGCACGCACTCACCCCACTCGCACTCACCCCACTTTCATGCACGCACTCACCCCACTCTCATGCCCTCCTCAATGTCGGTCGGTGACACGCGGTCCCCCAGCCCCACCACGAACTGCACACACACACAGCAAGCACGCACACAGAGGATACAGTCAAGTTCACAATGAGGCTCTGATGCTGAAAGAAATGTCTTCCTAAGCGCCTCAAGATTCGGCGGCCCCCAAGCCCCACCATGAACTGCACAAACACAGCAAGCGCATACAGGGAGACGAGTACGCCGCCGATGCGATGAATGTAGTACAGATGGATGGAGCAACAGAGAATACAAATACACAAACGAGAAACACCACACTAACAGACCAGATTAACAGCCAAGTCAATAACGAGGCTGCATCACACAAGAGAAATACAGACATGGGAAATGGAGTAATGGAGATTGAAACAATGCCAGTCCACAGACGTGCGTGTGCATGGGTTGGGGAGGGGGACAGGAAGTGCGGGGGGGGTACGGACACAGGAAAGGAGGCATACTTGGGGAGTCCTGGCATACAGGGGGAGGGGCGCACCTTGGCGATCTGCTTCACGTTGATGACGTATTTGGCGTCGTCCGTGTTGGGGTTGATGATCTTGGTGCAGCGCGCCACCTGGCAGGGCGAGAGGGGATAGGGGGAAGGAGGAAGATGAGAGGAGAAGAGAGAGAAACGGAGAGAGGGAAAAGAAGAGAGGAGAATGAAAAGGGCGCTGGTTGAACAACGAGATCGAGGAAGAAGCGAGCTGGGTTTGAGTCAGGCGTGCTCAGTCAGTCAGGCGTGCTCAGTCAGTCAGGCGTGCTCAGTCAGTCAGGCGTAATCAGTCAGACGTGATCAGTCAGGCACACTCATTCAGTCAATTGTGGTCAGTCAGTCAGGCGAGCTCAGTCAGTCGTAAAAAAGGCAAGCCTAACGGGTGTGCTTGCCTGCAGCGGCTGCTCCTCCTGCATCATCTGCTTGTCCGACACTAGATCCCACTGGCTCGGTGCAGCCAGACGTCAGGTGCCTTGTACGTCGACTCAATAATGGTTCAGATAAAGCAGGAAGTGTGTGGGTGCGTGGGGGTGGGTGTGCTTGCCTGCAGCGGCTGCTCCTCCTGCATCATCTGCTTGTCCGACACCAAATCCCACTGGCTTGGTGCTGCCAATCCAGTATCCGACTCCTTGATCCCTGCAATGGAAACATCACAGACATTCAGGCGACACCATGGGACATAAAGCGGCATCAGGCGATGTCAAGTGACACAGAACGACATCCGACGAGATCATGTGGCGACAGATAGCATCGACTTACAGGAGGCGAAATCAGGTGACATCAAGTACAAAACCGGAGAACAAAGATAGAGCAACGAATTTGGATGTCCAGCTTCCTTGTCAAACAGATTAAAAGGAATTCTAGGTATAATCTGGTCAATAGGATGACAATTCCCGAGAAAGAGCTGGAGCTAACGTGCTTGATGCATTAGAAACATAAATTCACACTCTAAACGTGACGAATTCGTCTCTTGAACCTATCAGGCAGCTTTTTCTCCGTGTCGACCGCTGCAAGGACGATACGAAATTCGCTCAACTCGTAACGAAGGTTGACAGCTGATGGACAACTGACGGACAACTGACGGACCGCAGATGGACAACTGACGGACAGCTGACGGACAACTGACGGACAACTGACGGACCGCAGATGGACCGTTACCAGCGAGACGACTTTGAGAGGTCGTTGACCGTTACGACAAATAAACTCATCGTCAGCAACATAATCAAACACTCAAGTGCCTAGACTTACCGCATAGGTCGTTGACCTTCTTGGCCATGTCCTTGATATCCTTCTCAACCTTTTTGATAGACGTCGAGTACGGGCCAAGACCCTATATGTTGAAATAAATCGGGGAAAAGGAAAGAGGAAACAATCGAAACTATTCATGGGTGGAAGCTTGGATGTCAGACGACTGAATTACGTAACGATCTGGACACACGAATCGGGTCCAAACATCTGCAGAGAATCTGAACGGCAATGAAGCCTCCGCAAATAGTCTCCTATCCTAAGGTCCCTGCGAAACGCACATAGGACTTTAAAAAAACGATATCGTCTTTGGAGACGTCGAATCGTACTCATCTAAAACGTATGCGAACGGACATATGTCTTCAGCAGAGCGATATCGTCCTCATCGATACGTCTAATGGTACTAATCTAAAACGCATGCCAACGCACATATGTCTTTAAAAGAGCGATATCGTCCTCATCGAGGGCCGGCGGGTTCTTCTCGTCGAGATCCGGATCGATTTCCGGCATGATGGCCGCTCACGCGCTCGCACGGAAAGAAAAGGCTCTTGCGATATTAGAAGACGGCCTACCCGACGGCCGAGTTTAGGAAGCAAGGATTCGAGCCTTGAGATCTAAGCGGGATAGCGAGTCGGCGACCCAATAAAAACAGATTGTTGGCCGAGCCTTGGGAACTCACCACGTCCTTATGACTCGTGTGTTGGGAGGAGGGAAGGGAATCCAGGCTTCGTCTGTTGAGTGCCGCACTTAAAATACAGTGCGTACTTTACTGTATCTATCCCCGATCATAACATGTTATTGCGCAGATTTGAAGCTCTTTGTCACAGACAATCTCTTGTTGCTCCATTCTATTACTGGTAGCCTCAGAATTCAGACTTGAACGAAAAATACCGTTGCTCTTTGTGAGTCACCACAATAGCCGAGAACAACCACGTATCATATACCGAGCTCGTCTATTTACACTAAACACCAGAACCAAAAAGGTACTAAGAGTATTAGGGTACATTCCGCTGTGGACACTGTCCCAATCGATGTCGAGTGTACCGCTCCGAACCGAACTAAACCAGAGACGCAAAAATTTCGAAACTAGGGTGCAATTTGGTGTAATACGATGCAGTGCGGTAGAAACGATTGAGACACTTTTGATTGGGACATGTCAGCGCGGAATGTACCCTTAGAATGGCAATGGCCAGCCTTCCACCGACGTAAGCTTTTTGTACGCCAATTGAAGCTTCTGTGTGATGGGCCCAATACAGCTACCGCTGTCTACTCTGCATCCGCTGCTATCTAGATTGTTTCCGATTGGGCGATTGTCCAGAAGCACACAGGGTGTAAGCTCGCCCATTGTCCCTGTTGTGAATATCTGGAGATGGGACCAGGCCCATCAGAAAAAGGGGGGTTTTCTTTAGCTTGGCAAGGAAAGTAGAAGCAAGCAGTGGCTTGTGTGCACACAAGAACATAACGTAGCCTTGAACAAACAATCTCACCTCGTCAGCAGCGTGCAACTGGGCCGTGGTGATGTTGCACTCTTGAATTGGAATGCCTTCCTGCCTCGCCAGCTCAATTACCTGCCACAGCATGAAGCATGAACAGAAGGTGGGTGACTGGATGATGGCTTGATGTGTCCTGACATGTATGGTGCACAATACATGTCAACCTCCTGGCAAGCAGGTGTCAGCGTCGGGTGGTATGCAAGCCCCTCAACAAGTTTCTTCCTTCTGTCAGACTGAAGAACCTTCTTCCTCCCTCACTTTCCTTCCTCCCTTATTCCCCCTATTTCCCCTTCCGTTTCTCCCCTTCCCTATTTCCCATACTTCCCTTCCTCCCCTATTTCCCCCCAACCCCACCCACGTAGTACCATGGCTCGGGTGATCCCGGGCAAGCAGCTGTCAGCAAGGGGAGTCAAGATGAAGAGCTCCCTTATTCCTCCCTCACTTTCCTTCCTCCCTTATTCCCCCTATTTCCCCTTCCGTTTCTCCCCTTCCCTATTCCCCATACTTCCCTTCCTCCCCTAGTTCCCCCCAACCCCACCCACGTAGTACCATGGCTCGGGTGATCCCGAGCAAGCAGCTGTCAGCAAGGGGAGTCAAGATGAAGAGCTCCCTTATTCCTCCCTCACTTTCCTTCCTCCCTTATTCCCCCTATTTCCCCTTCCGTTTCTCCCCTTCCCTATTCCCCATACTTCCCTTCCTCCCCTTGTTCCCCCCAACCCCACCCACGTAGTACCGTGGCTCGGGTGATGCCGGGCAAGCAGCTGTCAGCAAGGGGAGTCAAGATGAAGAGCTCCCTTATTCCTCCTTCACTATCCTTCCTCCCTTATTCCCCCCATCTCCTCTTCTCTATTCCCCCTTCTCCCCTTCAATATTCCCCATTCTTCCCTTCCTCCCCTATTTACCCCCAGCCCTCCCCATGCAGTACCGTGGCACGGGTGATCCCTGGTAGGCAGCTGTCGGCATGAGGAGTTAAAATGCGCCCCCTCTTCACCATGAACTGGCATATATGCATGGCAGGGACGGGGGGAAGAAGAGGGAGCGGAGGCGGATGAAAACATGGTGAGGGGAGTCAAGATGCGCCCCCTCTTCACCATGAACTGACACATACAGAGGCAGGAACAGCGGGAAGAGGGGGAGCAGATTCAAGATGCGCTCTTTCTTCACCATGAACTGACACTTGCAAGTGGGTACAAGGTGGGTAGCGAGATGGGGGGGATCTGGAAGAGCAGAGTCGGCCGAGGAAGGAGAGGGGGGAGAGAAATGGGGAGGGACAGCAACCCCAACACACGAAATCCCAAACAAAGATGACTATTTACACACTACGTTGGCAGCATATGGATTGCCTAACAAACTCGGGTAGAAAGCATAAACCTTTTGATGTGGTGCAGCATGCATACAATGTTGGTCGCGTTGGTTTCACTGACGTATCCATGCACGTCCAGCATCACTGCATCATCGGCCCCTGCGTTGTTCCCCTCGATCTGCAGGCACAAGCCACGTTTCATCAGGATCAAATCTTAAGAAAAGATGGCTCAACAATAGTGAAATAATATAGCCCGGATATTTGGGTCAAAGAATAGGTTTCCATGCTGAAGAGGGGATGCTTATTTCTATGACGAGACAAGAGGAGAGGAATATGAGTTACAACTCATTCGCATCAGTTTCAAGAATTTGTAAAAACATTGTCATGTTGCAAAATACAGCTATACTGGTCAATCACCTTAGCGAGGATGTTATTGATGAGGTTGTTGTGATGGATGTGCGAATCCACACACTGCTTGCAGGGAGGGACGAACGGATGGTTAATGATGGGTGGGTGAATACCAGAATTTGGAAAAGGAGGGATGGAGGTCAATGAGAAGAGCAAGTCAGGTCAATGAGAAGGGGGGAGTGCAGCAGGGACATCTAAAAAACAGGTCGATGGTTACTTTGAGTGGAAGAGGGGCGGAGGCGAGGGGGATGGACTCTCAGGGAAAAAGAGGGGAAACAGGAGCAGAAGAGGCAAAACAGGAGCGAAAGAGGGAGGGGAATATCTCACTTGTGGTGAGTTTCTTCGAGTCGAGGCAGTGACAAGCTTTATGCCCCGTGCGTTGTCATACACTGGGGGCTTCCACTCCGCTAGTACTGCGGAGGGTGGGTCGAATTCAGGGTAATGATTGCTGTGTGTGTGAAAGATATGAGGTACGAGTGTGGTGACAAGCTTTATGCCCCGTGCGTTGTCATACACTGGGGGCTTCCACTCCGCTAGTACTGCGGAGGGTGGGTCGAATTCAGGGTAATGATTTCTGTGTGTGTGAAAGATATGAGGTACGAGTGTGGTGACAAGCTTTATGCCCCGTGCGTTGTCATACACTGGGGGCTTCCCACTCTGCGAGAACTGAGTGGGCATGGAGGGAGTGGGAATGAGTGGGGGAGAGAATTAGAAGCACCTGTGCAGTGACAAGCGCGATGCCCCGTGCGTTGTCATACACTGGAGGCTTCCACTCCACAAGTGGGGTGGAAGTGGGAGAGGGAACAGGGAGTGAGAGCGGGGAGCAGGGAGTGAGGGGGAGCAGGGAGTGAGAGCGGGGAGCAGGAGAATGAGAAGTGGATGCAGTGATGAGCTTGATGCCCTGTGCGCGTTGTCATAAACAGGAGGCTTCCACACCGCCAGGACTGATAAGGAAAGGTAAGGCGGGGTAATACAGGGGAGAGAATGTACTGGGGGAGGGAGGGTGAGAGGCACATTGGACCAGGTCGCTCACTAGGACCAGGTCGCTCACTAGGACCAGGTCGCTCACTCGGACCAGGTCGCTCACTAGGACCAAGGCGCGCACCTGGACCAAGTCGCGCGCGTGGACCAAGGCGCGCGCGTGGACGAAGGCACGTGCGTGGACCAAGGCGCGCGCGTTGGTACAGGCGCGCGCGCTGGTCCAGGTGCGAGCGTTGGTCCAGGCTTAGGGTTTCGGGTTTGTCCAGGCGCGCGCGTTGGTCCGGGGGTGCGCGTTGGTCCGGGGGCGCGCGTTGGTCCGGGGGCACGCGTTGGTCCGGGGGCGTGCGTTGGTCCGGGCGCACGCGTTGGTCCGGGAGCGCGCGTTGGTCCGGGCGCGCGCGTTGGTCCGGGGGCGCGCGTTGGTCCTGGAGCGCGCGTTGGTCCGGGGGCGCGCGTTGGTCCGGGCGCGCGCGTTGGTCCGGGCGCGCGCGTTGGTACGGGCGCGCGCTTTGGTACGGGCGCGCGCATTGGTCCGGCGGCGTGCGTTGGTCCGGGCGCGCGCGTTGGTCCGAGCGCGCGCGTTAATCCGGGCGCGCGCGTTGGTCCGGGCGCGCGCGTTGGTCCAGGGGCGCGCGTTGGTCTGGGCGCGCGCGTTGATCCAGGGGCGCGCGTAGTTCCAGGGGCGCGCGTTGGTCCAGGGGCGCGCGTTGGTCCAGGCGCGCACGTTGGTCCAGGGGCGCGCGTTGGTCCAGGGGCGCGTGTTGGTCCAGGCGCGCGCATTGTTCCAGGCGCGCGCGTTGAACCAAGTCGCGCGCGAGGACCAAGGCGCGTGCGTGGACCAATTCGCTCTCTTGGACAAAGCGCGCACTTGGACCAATCACTCACCAATCAAAGTGCAGCCATAAAGATTGAACTGAGGGCTCATTCCTGATGTAACCTGGATACAGGGCAGACAGCCACACACACGGACACAGAGACACACACACAGACACACACACACGGACACACACACGGAGACACACACACACAAACACTCACGGACACACACACGGACACACACACGGAGACACACACACACACACACCCACACACACACACACACACACACGCACGCACGCACGCACGCAAGCACACACCGATTAAAATGGTTTCTCTTCACCGTCCTTCCCTCCTTGTTCATCTCCTTCATCTCCTCCCTTGAATCATGAGTGTTAGTGACATGATAAAAGTAGTTTTTGAGACGTCTCAGAATCCATTCCTCCTTGTTCATCTCCTTCAATCCCTTCATCTCCATCTCTTCCCCTAAGTATTGAGTGTGAGCGTGAGTCGCCTTTGACTTGAACTCACACCTTCTTCCTCTGTGTGACCATTGACCCTCTGTACCCACGTCCCGCTATTTGTCCCTTACCTTCTTCCCACGAGTAAGTGTGAGTCGAACATGGGCGTAGTCCCTCATGCCGTTCGCAGCAAGGGTAGATACCAGCGCATGCACCACATGTTCCCGCGTTGGCACGTTTGCAAATGCCATAGCCTTGGAAGAGTCAAAGAGACTGTCGATTTCGTGGGGGGTGGGAGTGAGGGGAATACGCAGCAGAGTCATATCTTTTGTTTCAGGCTGGTAAAATAGAAGGCCATTCTAATAAAGAAAATTACATACTTGGGTTGGGTGGGCAGGGGGAGAGGCTGAGCACAGCACATGGGGAAGCAGTTGAAATAGCCTTGCAGTAAGAGTCCAGAGTTATACAGGATCTTCTTTTGAGTCGACTCTAAAGAAGCAGTTGACATAGCCTTGCAGCAAGAGTCCAGAGTTAAACAGAATCTTGTGATGGTCCAGATGCTCTTGCAGCAAGTCTGATGGAGCCCCAGGTTGGAACCATGTCTTTACGTGGCAGCGAAACTTTTGAGTTGACTCAAGAGTCATACACCCACTCTCTGGTCCAGATGCCTGTACAGCTTGAATATGCGCCCATCATACACTCTTAGCCTTTTTCTACACGAGATTGGAGAGGAGGAAACGGAGAAAGAGAGCGTGCGAAGGGAAACAGCAGTGGACACTCTCTCACCGGTCGAGGTGCTCTTGCAGCTTGAATATGCGACCATCATACACCCTCAGCCCCTCCCACACGGCGTCTCCCCCCTGCACTGCAGAGTCCAGCACGTGAATCTGCCATCCGTGCAGAGGACAGGGCACACAGAGGACAGAGGTGTCAGAGAAAGGAGACTCTGATTAGATCAACTCAGACGTCACTCTCTCAGCGCCTCCCCTCCCACACACACGGCATCCCCTCCCTGCACGGCAGAGTCTAGCACATGCACCTGCCATCCGTTTAGAGGGGAGGTTGGATAAGCAGCAGGCGACAACTGTTAGCCGGCTCAAAAGCCACTCCCTCAGCGCCACCCCTCCCACCCGGCGTCCCCTCCCTGCACAGCAGAGTCTAGCACGTGGAAGCGCCATGCGTCCATACAACAGGAACAGGGCAACAAGCAGACAGCATAAGGAGACTAGGTCAACTTTTGAGACGCCTCATAAGTAGAGCAGACAACATAAGGAGACTAGGTCAACTCCGAGTCAACTAAAAAGTCAGACTCTCAGCCCCTCCCCTCACTCACCGCATCCCCTCCCTGCACCTCCCTGCACCTCCCTGCACCTCATCTATGGTACAGACGCAGTGCAACCCTACCTTGACGTCTACCAGCCCCTCCTCCCCCACCCACCCACACCAGCAGCCTCTTGTTGGCCGGCACAGGGAGAGGCGGCGAGGGGAGAGGCGATGCACTTGTAGCCCATATGCCCCTTACCTTATTCACTCTACATGCATCATATGCCCCTTACCTTATTCACTCTACATGCATCATATGCCCCTTACCTTATTCACTCTACATGCATCATATGCCCCTTACCTTATTCACTCTACATGCATCATATGCCCCTTACCTTATTCACTCTACATGCATCATAGCACAGGAATCTACCTTGGCGTCCCGCCTCGGCACCAGCCCCTCCTCCCCCACCCACACCAGCAGCTGCTGGTTTGCCGGCACAGGGAGAGAGGGCGAGGGGAGAGGGCCCTTGCAACCCATATGGTTACGATGTAGCTCAACCAACCTACCTTGGCGTCTCGTCTGGTTACCAGCCCCTCCTCCCCCACCCACACCAGCAGCTTCTCGTTAGCCGGCACAGGGAGAGGCGGCGAGGGGAGGGGTGAGGCGGAGATAGAGGAGGAGATGGTGGTGGGAGTGGTGGTGGAGGAGTTGGCAGTGGTGGTGAGCGGTACGAGGGCTTTGGAGAGGAGCAAGGAGTAGAACGGCCGACAGTCCTCCAGGAGAGAATAGTGGGCCATTGGGAAGGGCTGAGAGGAGGGGGTAGGGAGAGGACAGAGAGCGGGAACACAAACGGAAGTGGGAACAGAATGGTATGAGTGGGTGCAGTGTGGTGTGGGCATCTTAGGCTATAGAGCAGGAGGGGCAAAGCCAGTGGGATTGAATTGACTCAGGAAACACCATAAAAGCATGATTGTAAATTGAAGTAACATGACATGCACTGAAGTGAAGTTTAGGTCACCTTGGGGTAAAGAGCAGGGGGAGCGAAACCAGTGGAGGCATGTGGGGTGGTATACCACCACCACGGAGCCCACTCCTTGTTCTTCTATTTTTGAGACATCTCAAAAGTCGTCTACTTACATGAGGTGGTATACCACCACCACGGAGCCCACTCCTTGTTCTTCTATGACCGAGGAGAAGAATTGCATGAGTGAAGAGCAGCGTAGGTCACCTTGGGGTAGAGAGCAGGAGGGGCGAAACCAGTGGAGGCATACGCGGTGGTATACCACCAAGGCGCCCACAACTTCGTTCCTCTGTGAGACTATCAGAATTCGCAGAACCACCCAGGTGAAGAAATTTGTAGGTCACCTTAGGGTAGAGAGCAGGGGGAGCGAAACCAGTGGAGGCGTGTGTGGTGGTATACCACCATGGAGCCCACACTCCGTCCTCTGGCCGTTTCCCTGCAGGCCAGCTAGGGAAGGAAGCACAGAGAGAGGGAAGTGATGGCATGACGAGTGGTGTGTTTACCGTGCAGTGTGGTGGTGGTATACGACCATGGGGCCCACACCCTGTACTCGGGCCGTTTCCCTGCAGGCCAGCTAGGGAAGGAAGCACAGAGAGAGAGAATAGGGAACGACCATGGACATACGTGGTGCATTAGTGTATCGCCATAGGGTGTGCTGGTGGTACAGTGGTGGTATACCACCAAGGCGCCCACACCCCATCCTCTGGGCGCTTGCCTGCAGGCCAGCTGAGGAAGGCAGCACAGAGAGAGAGGGAAGTGCATTGCTCTGCCACCAAGTAGTGTGACGGTGGCATGAGTGGTGGTATACCACCAAGGCGCCCACACCCCATCCTCTGGGCGCTTGCCTGCAGGCCAGCTGAGGAAGGCAGCACAGAGAGAGAGGGAAGTGCATTGCTCTGCCACCAAGTAGTGTGACGGTGGCATGAGTGGTGGTATACCACCAAGGCGCCCACACCCCATCCTCTGGGCGCTTGCCTGCAGGCCAGCTGAGGAAGGCAGCACAGAGAGAGAGGGAAGTGCATTGCTCTGCCACCAAGTAGTGTGACGGTGGCATGAGTGGTGGTATACCACCAAGGCGCCCACACCCCATCCTCTGGGCGCTTGCCTGCAGGCCAGCTGAGGAAGGCAGCACAGAGAGAGAGGGAAGTGCATTGCTCTGCCACCAAGTAGTGTGACGGTGGCATGAGTGGTGGTATACCACCAAGGCGCCCACACCCCATCCTCTGGGCGCTTGCCTGCAGGCCAGCTGAGGAAGGCAGCACAGAGAGAGAGGGAAGTGCATTGCTCTGCCACCAAGTAGTGTGACGGTGGCATGAGTGGTGGTATACCACCAAGGCGCCCACACCCCATCCTCTGGGCGCTTGCCTGCAGGCCAGCTGAGGAAGGCAGCACAGAGAGAGAGGGAAGTGCATTGCTCTGCCACCAAGTAGTGTGACGGTGGCATGAGTGGTGGTATACCACCAAGGCGCCCACACCCCATCCTCTGGGCGCTTGCCTGCAGGCCAGCTGAGGAAGGCAGCACAGAGAGAGAGGGAAGTGCATTGCTCTGCCACCAAGTAGTGTGACGGTGGCATGAGTGGTGGTATACCACCAAGGCGCCCACACCCCATCCTCTGGGCGCTTGCCTGCAGGCCAGCTGAGGAAGGCAGCACAGAGAGAGAGGGAAGTGCATTGCTCTGCCACCAAGTAGTGTGACGGTGGCATGAGTGGTGGTATACCACCAAGGCGCCCACACCCCATCCTCTGGGCGCTTGCCTGCAGGCCAGCTGAGGAAGGCAGCACAGAGAGAGAGGGAAGTGCATTGCTCTGCCACCAAGTAGTGTGACGGTGGCATGAGTGGTGGTATACCACCAAGGCGCCCACACCCCATCCTCTGGGCGCTTGCCTGCAGGCCAGCTGAGGAAGGCAGCACAGAGAGAGAGGGAAGTGCATTGCTCTGCCACCAAGTAGTGTGACGGTGGCATGAGTGGTGGTATACCACCAAGGCGCCCACACCCCATCCTCTGGGCGCTTGCCTGCAGGCCAGCTGAGGAAGGCAGCACAGAGAGAGAGGGAAGTGCATTGCTCTGCCACCAAGTAGTGTGACGGTGGCATGAGTGGTGGTATACCACCAAGGCGCCCACACCCCATCCTCTGGGCGCTTGCCTGCAGGCCAGCTGAGGAAGGCAGCACAGAGAGAGAGGGAAGTGCATTGCTCTGCCACCAAGTAGTGTGACGGTGGCATGAGTGGTGGTATACCACCAAGGCGCCCACACCCCATCCTCTGGGCGCTTGCCTGCAGGCCAGCTGAGGAAGGCAGCACAGAGAGAGAGGGAAGTGCATTGCTCTGCCACCAAGTAGTGTGACGGTGGCATGAGTGGTGGTATACCACCAAGGCGCCCACACCCCATCCTCTGGGCGCTTGCCTGCAGGCCAGCTGAGGAAGGCAGCACAGAGAGAGAGGGAAGTGCATTGCTCTGCCACCAAGTAGTGTGACGGTGGCATGAGTGGTGGTATACCACCAAGGCGCCCACACCCCATCCTCTGGGCGCTTGCCTGCAGGCCAGCTGAGGAAGGCAGCACAGAGAGAGAGGGAAGTGCATTGCTCTGCCACCAAGTAGTGTGACGGTGGCATGAGTGGTGGTATACCACCAAGGCGCCCACACCCTGTCCTCTGGGCGTTTCCCTGCAGGCCAGCTAGGGAAGGAAGGAAGGGGAGTGGTGGGGATGGGGTTATACGGAGCACAATAACATAACACCCATTCATACTTACCTAAGAGATGCTGGTAGAGAAATTGACCAGAATGCCTAAGAGAATGCCTAAGAGACTGCCTAAGAGACTGCCTAAGAGACTGCCTAAGAGACTGCCTAAGAGACTGCCTAAGAGACTGCCTGAGAGATTGCAGTACAAACTTACGAGAGCATTTCCGGATAGAAGGGGATGTCTAGCGCTTGGCAGAGCGCCCTGAGAACGCCCTGTTCATCAATTGGGGGAGGAGGGGGTGGAGGGGGGGGTGGGGAGGGAGGATGCAGGGAGCAGGGAGGCAAAAGGGTGAAGACAGCATGTGCAGGTCCGGAAGGAGCTCGAAAGCATGGGATGTCTAGCGCTTGGCAGAGAGCCATGAGAACGCCCTGTTGATTGTGGTGGGGCATGCAGGCGGAAGGGAGGGGGGGGAGAGAGTGGACACAACATGTGCAGGTCCGGAAGGAGCTCGAAAGCAAGGGATGTCTAGCGCTTGGCAGAGAGCCATGAGAACGCCCTGTTGATTGAACTCTACCTGTGAGTGGGATTGCAGTCTCTACCTGTGAGTGGGATTGCAGTCTCTACCTGTGAGTGGGATTGCAGTCTCTACCTGTGGGTCAGCTCGAAGCCTAGAGGCATCCGTCCACCAGGGGCGGATTAGATGGCGAGGAGGTGGGGGAGAGCCGTCTCAGAGAGAGAAGGGGGGGATGCCTTGCAGTCAACCTGGGATTTGGAGTGCAGCCTAGTGGCGTCCACCTCAGGTGGGGGTCGGCCCATGTGGGAGAGCGAGGGGTGGATGGTGAGTGAGGAGGTCGAGGAGAGCCGTCTCAGAGAGAGGAGGGGAGATCTCTGATAGGAATGATAGCAATGGTGTCTATCTGTGCAATTGCAGGGTACCTGGGGGTTGGACTGCAATCGTGTAGCGTCCACCACGGGTGGGGGTCGGTCCATGTGAGAGAGCGCAGAGTGGATGGCGAGGAGGTGGGGGAGAGCCGTCTCAGAGAGAGAAGGGGGGGAGACCTCTCCGAAAGAGGGCTGGCGGGGGGGTGGGGAACGGGGAGAGGGGAGGGGCAGAAAGGAGAACGACATGCAGCACCTGTTACCAAGGAACATAGGAAGCAACAGTAACAGGAGGTGGGGAAGAGCTGTCTCGGAGAGGGATGGGGGAGAGACCTCACCAAAAGAGGGCAGGCAAGGCAAGGGGGTGGAGTTGGAGGAAAGGAAGAAAGGAGAGAAATGCAGTGATGGTGAAGGTAGGAGGTAGGTAGCATAGGAGAGCAACAGCGTCAACGAGAATGGAGAAAAGAAATGAGAGTTGGAAAGTGCGCCTCAGCTGTGCGCCTCACAATGAGTAGCATGGGGCCGCGGATGAGAACGACATGCTTCCTTAGGCACCTCACAAAACGTCATTTGAGAGCCTCACAAAGACTTTTGAGGTGCCTATACAATAGAGCGCGCGCCTCACAATCAGCAGCATGCGGCCACGGATGAGAACGACATGCTTTAAGGTGCCTCAGGTCCCGCCTTTCGACGCGCCTTAAAATGAGTGGGTGAGTAAGTGAGTGCAAGAGTGAGTGCGCGCCTCACAATGAGCAGCATAGGATCGCGGATGAGAATGACATGCCGCCCGCGTGACAGTAGCGAAGCCTGAAGCTCCTCTCGGCACTGCTTTGCCATGTGCTGCCAGCGGGGAGGAAAGAGGAGTGAACGAGAAGCATGGATGACATGCGTGCATGGTAGACTGAGAGCGAATGACAACAGTGAAGCCTGGAGCTTCTTCTTGCACTGCTTTGCCATGCGTGCTGACAGCAGAGTGGGGAGGTGTGAGTGGGCGGGGGAGTAAACGAGAAGCGTGGTTGACACACATGCTGGTACACTGAGAGCGAATGACAACAGTGAAGCCTGGAGCCATTCGCGGCACTGCTTTGCCATGTGCTGATAACATAGTGGGGAGTAATTTCAAGGTAGAGAACGTGTGATGAAACATTGATACGCACAGAGGGCGAAGGAGGACATTGAACTACTTGGGAAAAAGGATATTCAGTAAAACACACCTTAACAAAACGAAGAGGTTTGGATCTTTGAGGGCCGTACACCACTTCGTCAACCACCCTCTTGCCGTTAGAATCCTGCCATGGGGCGAGGAGTGGGAGCAGATGCAAGAAGCAAACTCTGGGCGCGGGCCTAATGAAGAGGCTTGGAGCCTCGAGGGCCGTACACAATTGATCAACCACCCTCTTGCCATTAGAATCCTGCCACGTGGCGAGGAGTGGGAGCAGATGCAAGAAGCAAACACAGGTGATCACAGCCTTGCATCAATGCATCTGCTGGCGTGGGCCCATTTGTTCATGGGTGCTTTTAATATTTTCCAAAAACACCCTCCAGCTGCAGGGCGCATTCAACCGGTTGGAGAAGCACAGTTGTAACCCTATGTATGTTTGAGGCGCTTCCAGGTTAAGCGCAGCCGTTTCTGCCTGTACAGCCGTACAGCCCCCTTCTTCTCTCACCATGCTATCCAGTACCAGGTGCATGTACGGCCGGGGAGCACCCGTGACTACCAGAGCTGCCTTTCACGCTCTATCTGTTGCCATGTGATATCCAGCCACCGTCGCACCATGCTCCATGCTCTCCCATTTTCCTCTCATCTCACCATGCTATCCAGCACCAGGTGCCTGTACGGCCGGGGAGCACGAGACAGTGGTTTCCAAGATGATGATTTGTAACATGCTATCCGTACCGCAAAGCACACACTCGTATCTCACCACGCCGTACCGCACAGCACCATCTCACCATGCTATCCAGCACCAGCTGCCTGTATGGCCGGGGAGCACCGGTGACTGTCAGGAAGTCGGCATAGAGAGGCTCGTCCACCACAACCGTGTCTGGGCGCTGCAGGAAGTGGAGGAACGGAAGGGGGAAAGGATTGGGAGGTGTGAGCGAGGAAGTCGTATCCTAAAGTGACTCCCAGGATACGGAGGCTCGTCCAGCACCTCTGTGCCGGGCGCTGCAGGAAGAGGAAGGTTAGGGGGGTGATTGGGGGGCAAATGGAAGGGTCACGAAGTTCATACACTCGGCATATTAAAACCCGTCCACCACCTCCGTGTCTGGGCACTGGGTTGTTTTTGAGACGTCTCAAAAACAACCTCGCTGCACGTGGCATATTAAGGCTCGTCCACCACCTCCGTGTCTGGGCGCTGGGTGAGGGAAAGGGGGAGAGGATTGGAGAGGTGTGAGCACGCTATCTGGTTTGGGACTGTCGTGGGTTGGTAGAGGGACGGCGCGAGAGTGCTGGCGGCTGAGAAGTTTTAAACGTGCGTAAGACCGCCATAGTATGGCTTAAAGTAATCCTAAACCGAGATCAGCCATGCAGAGAGAAGAGTCGGATCAATTCGTGCCCGAGCGAAGGAGTACATGAGGCTTGTGCTGAGTGACCGCGGTCCCCGTTACAAGGTGCAAACGTGCTTACACTATAACGATACATACACCCGGCGGACTACTAGACTACGATCAGCCGTGCCTGAGCGAAGGAGTACATGAGGCTTGTGCTGAGCGACCGCGGTCCCGACCAGAGGTTGATCACCCAATCCGCGTCCGACACGTCACAAGGCGACGCCATCTGCGGCGCGCCAGCGTGTTCCGGGAGCGTTTCCGATGTCATTCGGGCTGTAAGTCGGTTCGCGTTCGACGAGTGCAATATAATTTAAATCCCGTAGCGCTCCGAACGTCGTAGCAGGCCCGTTACTTAGTGTCAAGTCTTATAGTAGCCAGATTCTTGGGACGTTGGGAAATTGGTCTCAAAATTTCCTCTCTATCTAATGGTAATTCAGTTCACCAGTTTCACGGAATGCGAAGATGCGACTTCTGAGGCATCTCGAGTTTCGTTAGGTGCGTTCGCGACCATTAGTAACAAAGGGACCTTGTCGTGCCAGCTCTTTTTTTGAACGAACTGAGTCTCGCGAAGGCAGGAATTTTGCTGTCAGCGTCAATCGATAGACTCCTTTTGCCTATAACGAGGGAGCGTTCGAACAATAACCATCTTTACACTGACCACCTGAAAAGTGTAGTTGTGACGGCTTTGCCGAACTTGCCTATCACAGTCGCAGAGATTCTTGTCATCGTTTCTCGGTGCTTTGCGAAAGCTCAGCAAGCACCGTCGATCTGACACCAGCCAACAGATTCTTGCCACATCTGCAGGTGAAAGTTCTCGAGACGCCCATTGTGACATTCCCGAACCGCACTTCAGCCCAATGTGGAATTCGCGAGGCCAATTTGCCTGATTCCAGTAACTTCTAGGTTTGATTTGAAAGAGTGCCAACCTCCATTCTACAACTTTCTGGCAGCTTCTGCAAGCTCCAGTCATTCCATCCAGCACGAACGCTTTCGACTCCCTTTTCTCCCAATTCCTACATATAAGGGTGGACTGGCAATTACGGTTTCATCAAATCAATACAGCGACTAAGCTCTCAACTCTCTCTCAGCAGTCACGCTCTCGCGCCTCTCAAGACTCAGCAATTATTAGCTCTCTGAAACTTTCTGGACTTGACTCAGCCAAGGATTCTCTCCGCTCTTTGTTCCTATCATCACAGTACCTGAACGTTTCCTCATATCTCAGTCATGGCGAAAGGCGAAGGCCCTGCGATTGGCATCGACCTCGGCACCACCTACAGCTGCGTGGGCGTGTGGCAGCACGATCGCGTTGAGATCATCGCCAACGACCAAGGCAACCGCACCACCCCGTCCTACGTGGCATTTACGGACACGGAGCGCCTGATTGGCGACGCGGCGAAGAACCAAGTGTCCATGAATCCCGTCAACACCGTTTTCGGTATGTCCCCATGCTAAATCATCCACCGTTTCCGACACTCCGCTTCCTCTACCCCTACGTCCGCACTGAATCATAGCATACCTTGAATGTGCCTGAAACACGCTCATTCGTCATGTCTGCTGATTTATCACTTCTTTCTCTTCACTCGTCTCGCTTACAGATGCGAAGCGTCTCATCGGAAGGCGGTTCTCCGACGCGCCCGTGCAGAACGACATCAAGCTGTGGCCGTTCAAGGTGATCGCAGGCGCGGGAGAGAAGCCGATGATCCAAGTCGAGTACAAGGGCGAGACCAAGCAGTTCGCCGCAGAGGAGATCTCGTCCATGGTGTTGACGAAAATGAAGGAGATCGCAGAGGCATACCTCGGGACTTCCGTGAAGAACGCGGTGGTGACGGTTCCGGCGTATTTCAATGATTCGCAGCGCCAAGCGACGAAAGATGCGGGTGTGATCGCTGGGCTGAACGTGATGCGAATTATCAACGAGCCTACTGCAGCTGCTATCGCGTACGGGCTCGATAAGAAGAACAGCAGCTCGTCGGAAAAGAACGTGCTAATCTTCGACCTCGGCGGAGGTACTTTCGACGTGTCGCTTCTTTCGATCGAGGACGGCATTTTCGAGGTGAAGGCGACGGCTGGCGACACGCATTTGGGTGGTGAAGATTTTGACAACCGCATGGTGCACCACTTCGTCCAGGAATTTAAGCGGAAGTACAAGAAGGACCTCAGTAACAACCCGCGGTCTCTTCGCCGCCTTCGCACGGCCTGCGAGCGCGCCAAGCGAACCCTCTCCTCTACCGCGCAAACCACCATCGAGATCGACTCGCTCTACGAGGGAATCGACTTCTACACCACCATCACCCGCGCGCGCTTCGAGGAACTCAACATGGACATGTTCCGCAAGTGCATGGATCCAGTGGAAAAGTGCCTCAAGGACGCGAAAATATCCAAGGCGCAGATCCACGACGTGGTGCTCGTCGGCGGGTCTACGCGCATCCCCAAGGTGCAGCAGCTACTGCAGGAGTATTTCAACGGGAAGGAGCTCTGCAAGAGCATCAACCCCGACGAGGCCGTGGCGTACGGCGCGGCGGTTCAGGCGGCGATTCTGAGCGGCGAGGGGAACGAGAAGGTGCAGGATCTGCTGCTGCTCGACGTGACGCCGCTCTCGCTTGGATTGGAGACGGCCGGAGGGGTGATGACGGTGCTGATTCCGAGGAACACCACGATTCCGACGAAGAAGGAGCAGGTGTTTTCGACGTTTTCGGATAACCAGCCGGGCGTGCTTATCCAGGTGTACGAAGGCGAACGCGCTCGGACTAAGGATAACAACCTGCTCGGGAAATTCGACCTCTCGGGCATTCCGCCGGCGCCACGTGGCGTGCCGCAGATCACCGTGACGTTCGACATTGACGCGAATGGCATTCTGAACGTGAGCGCGGAGGACAAGACTACTGGGCAGAAGAATAAGATAACGATTACGAATGACAAGGGGCGACTGAGCAAGGAGGAAATCGAGCGGATGGTGGAGGAAGCAGAGAAGTACAAGGATGATGACGAGCAGCACAAGAAGCGGGTTGAGGCGAAAAACGCGCTCGAGAATTACTCGTACGGCATGCGTAACACCGTTCGCGATGACAAGATGGGGGGGAAGCTGTCGCCCGAAGATAAGAAGGCGATCGAGAAGGCAGTGGACGAGACGATTGATTGGCTGGATAAGAACCAGCTCGCCGACGTGGACGAATTTGAGGATAAGCAAAAGGAGCTCGAAGGGATTTGTAACCCGATCATCGCGAAAATGTACCAGGCAGGAGCAGGACCCGTGCCAGGGGCGGGAGGGATGGGGGACGTGCCAATGGGAGGTGGTTTTTCCAGCGAAGGGGACGGGCCGAAGATTGAGGAGGTTGACTGAGATGAGAAAAGGTGGAGACTCAATCTGAGCATGCCACACCCTTCAGTTGAATATTAGTGCTTCAAATATTTGTAAAATGTTAAATGTGTTTTTGCAATATGTCCTAGTAATATTAAATATTCCAAAGGTATACAGGAGTACATTGGCATGGCTCAAACCGTGAACTTGCATCTAGTCAACCATTGGCGTATCTATTACTCCACAGAAGTGTCCCTGCACAAACAAAAAGGATGGTAGTCAGTGCTTACGTTCAAGAGGTGCCTAGGTTTGCTCCCACCCTTCTCCACACTCACCAATGCACACCTTCACGTCCCCTGTGTGGTGCTACTCACATTTGTGCAAACAGCGAAGCAAATTGGCTTAAAAGAGCTTCTGCTGACCTGTTCCAATGCATTCCAAACCTGCATGTGCAATTCACAATCAGAAGTATGAGGCAGAGAGATGTGCCGATGGAGTGTCTAGCACCGCTGCTATTTGAATCCATCCCTGCTAGTTGAATCCAGCCCTGCTAGTTGAAGCCATTTAGCACTGGTAATTGAATTAATGATCAATGGGAGTGCTACTCACCTTGCAAAAGCAAAATGGACATTCCTCCTCTGTACCATAAGGACATAAGGAGAGCTCGTGATAAAGCCTGCAAAATTGATGGGATATGATAGCTCATGGGCGGTTCAGAGCACAAGCTTGCTCCATCAGCATTCGATTAGTGTCAGAATGACGAAGGGAGAGAGAGCGAGCGAGGGAGGTCCGAAAAAATGGGGCAGTAGTTTGTACCTGGTGGGTGTAAGGCAGAAATGAGGGATGGCAAACGGGAAGGAGAAGAATAGAAAGACAAGCAAGGCAGCGACAGAGGAGTGAGGGAGGTGCAAGGAAGTGACAGCGTGCTGACTAAGCACCTGGTGCGTGTGAAACCAGAAATGTAACCCTGGCAGACCGAAACATCCCAAACACTGACTGAGGTCTTGAGCAGAGAAAACGACACTCCTGCCACCTCCTCAGCTCGAGAAGAGTCATCAGCAGAGAGGAAACGGCCAACCTGCATGTAACCGCCAGCTGGAATGCCAGAGGCAGCACAAACACTCAACCGGTTTGGCCGAAAGAGCTGTTTTACGTCGAGCCTAACAGAACGACGAGGGACTTCGTCTAGCTTGTCGATCAGCCTTAGAAACTGCCAGTCTTGGTTATGAAATGCCATTACTTCCTTCACCGCTGCCCGCCCTTCTGCCCGCAAAAACCATGCGTTACCAGTAGCAGCCACCCCTGTAGCCAGATTTAGCTTGTGTGCAGGTTCCATCTTGCCATTCTCCATGATTCCTTCTGTACACTTAGCTGCTGCTTTTGCCGCTGCTGTTTCTCCTGCTGCTGCTGCTGCTGCTGCTGCTGCTGATTCTGCTGTTTCTGCTGCTGCTGATTCTGCTGCTTCTGCTGCTGCTGTTTCTCCTGCTTCTGCTGCTGCTGTTTCTGCTGCTTCTGCTGCTGCTGTTTCTGCTGCTTCTTCTGCAGCTGCAGCTGCTGTTTCCTCTGCTGCTGTGACCAGCTCTTGAAGCGTATTTACACTCCCTAGAGAATGTCTTGGAGTTGCGGGTCTCAGGTTCGCTCCAACTCCTGCTGCTTTGAGCGCCCTTGCGTGAATTCGTGCTCGCCTGAACGCTGCTGCCGCTGCTTCTGCTGCCACTGCTTCTGCTGCTGCTGCTTCTGCTGCTGCTACTGCCGCCACTTCTGCTTCTGCTGCCTCTGCTGCTGCTGCTTCTCTGCTTTGCATGAACCTATGAGCAACGCGCCGCCCTTCCTTGACAGCCTTATTAGCAGCACGAAAAGCAGACCGGCCCCCTTCCCATGCAGCATAGAAAGCACAGCGAGACCCCACGACCCCCAGGTACAGTGGGAGCACGAGAGCAAAGAGCGCTCCAGTTGCAACCTTTGTCACAGCACGGTAACTCCCTCTTTTAGCCGCCTTAAAAGCACGTCCCACCTTGGTAACTACACGCTTGCACATACTTGACAAGAGCATGCGGTGTGACATTGTCAGCAGCAGCACCGGGTGCACCTTGAGTTTCATCTCCGGTGACATTGTCTGGCGGCAGGGGGGGCCGTGTACTGAACATGGGCCTACGACACAGATCCATGATGTCTGGAGTGCGCAGGCTGAAGGGCACCTCGAGAATACTGGGAGCGTAACTGAGAAGCCGAGGAGAAACCGCCTCAACGGGACCAACCAGTGTGTCACGGACCACAACACAGTTCAGCGGGTATTTCTTTCTACATGAAGCGCACAGATCAGAGAAGCAGCACCGGCGGTCCTCATCTGCATCATAGGATCGCTCCTCTTGAGGGTTCTGAAATACTGGTTTCAATTGATAGCGTCTGAGTTTGTGGTGTGCTTTTATGCGGTTGTGACAGTAGAGAGGCCAGAGGTGGGAAGTTGATATCTGGTGCAGGTGCTTGCACGCGAGGGCTAGGTTGGCGATGGTGATTCGAAGCTGATAGCATGTCATACTCGCTATAGACACAAAGATTTCGGGACTCAGATCCAGCAAATTGGTCAGCCGCTCTTCGTTAGCAGCCGTGTTCGTCATTCTAGCACCCTTGGAAAACCGTATTACTTCAGGACTGTACAGAAGCAAGTCTCCTTGCAGTTTTGCGCGATCTTGGTCAGAGATGAAGTATAAATCGCCCAAAACCGCACATCACAAGCAAAAATTGAACTAAAAAAGGGAGTTACTTTCAGAATCAATCGGAAATACTCAAACTAGTCACAGACTTGGGTCTTGCTGCGATGGATTGGACTACAGCCTAGTTGACAGTTCCGACTGTAGCTGGGCTAGACTCGTTAGCCTTATAGAATGCTTGGTCTGTAGCTTAGACTGCACGAATGATTCGCGTAAAAATGATCTATAGCGTTGGAGTGGTAACCGCTAGACTGTACCTGGACTGCACAAATCATGCTAGGTAACCTTTTTCGTCAGCTCAAAAGTCACTCAGTAACCTGGACTGTACACCCGCGTAGCAACCAGCGATTAACTCTGGAATAGCGGGGGACGGACTGTTTGAAAGTGGATTCATTCTTAAAAGGAGTCCGAATGGGCTGTATAAAGATGACGGGTGACAGGGGTATAACTGTCTGAGATTAACAAACTGTCAGACGCCATTAAACAAACGCCATTAAACACTGTATCCGGCTTTGAGAAAACTGGTGTTTGATGAGCGGGTAGTGAGCCTGGAGTCAGTATCTGGATTTCGCCTATCGCGATCATGCTTTAGAATGGTTCGCTGCGATTTTCTAGTTCGAAAACGTCTAGGTCTACGACAGTTTAGAGACCTTCTGGCTCCAGCAAAACCAAATATATAATATTGCAGTTCCGAGAGACTCTCGCTGATACCTATGAAAGCATTCAGCACATCGACAGAACCCATCGACCGTCGCTGACGTAATCGTTGTGACGCAGAGGCGAAGCTAGGGGGATTCCTGAGTCCTGACTCCTGAGAAACGCGCAATCTCGTGGTACAAAGCTCTTTGATCGACAGCATGTGGCACCCCGTGGACTGAGCATGACTGTAGGTAGAGCACAGGTGAAAACAAGAGACTTGCACGACTAGTTAGTGACTACCAGTAGTACGTGAGTTTAGCTAGTTTTCCAGGGAAGCTGGTCTTCCGGAACGGAACTGACTGGGGGGGAACGGACTGGAAATACTCGCTATAGGCGCAATCAGAATCAGCTCGTCAAAAGTGTAGACTGATTACAAAGGTAACGCGACCCATACCAGCTGCCACCCTCCACCAATTTATACCACTCTTAGGAAGGATACCAGGAAAGATGTTTCCAGTCGTGGAAAAAATAATGGAATACATTACAGAGCTTGCTTCCATGTTGGTGTACTGTTCATGCCTGGGCTGGTTATTTCATCCCCTTGCGGGTAGTACCTACCTCCTTTTGAGGATTTTGGGGCATCGCAAACGAATTTGCTGACGGTTCAAACAGCATGGTTTACCACTATACACATTCAGACGCAATCAGCAACCTACTCTAGTACTGGCAAATCCTCTACATTCTAACACTAGAATTGAAGCTATAGCACACCACATTCTAAGAACCCATGAACTTTCTCAACCCCGCAGAGGCATCAGCCCCATCATATGTACAGCACACTTCTGAACCAACTTCGCACACTATTCCTCAGCAATTCCTCCCTACCCACCTTGCACATTATTCCTCAGACTGCCTAGACCCATCATCCTCGCAGCAAGACTCTGTTCCAAAGACAGGCTCTGCAGATTCCTTTTCTGGAGTCCGTGTTCCTGGTGAGCAGACCACACAAGCCGGGATGTCCCGGCACTTGCACGAATCAACACTCACGCTTGCAGGCTCGCCTGGGGACACGCCATAGCCGGATAGCGACGCCGGATTGGATGAGAGATTCGGCGCATGGATAGCACAGGTGCACTGATGATGATGATGATGCTGATTCTGTGTTGCAATGATGGCCTTTGCTTCCTCCATGGTTGGACTGTTACGGGTAAAAAACACAAGGATGGTTCACTATGAGACGTATATTATTGGCAAGAAAACGACACATCTGCTTGTTGCTGGAGGGATTCGACAGGATGTTAACGTACAGGAAGTGGATACTCCAAGAGATGTATTTATTACTCAGTGAGCGCAGCGCGAGAGGTGCATGATGCGCGCCAGCTCGTCCGAATTGAATGAAAAAACGGCGGGGGAACAAGGGCTTACCTTTGACTTTGAACAATGACGGCGGAAAATACGACGAATAACGAATCACGGCGGTGACCTGAAGTTGAACGAATCGCGGTCGTAAGTTGAACTGCGCGGTCGTAACTTGAACTACATACACGAAGTGTGTCGCTGAAGTATCGTGCTACGTACTACTTATTCGAGTACCTTGACCAACTAAGATTCTTGATTGTCTTCAAGGCGTCCGAAAGCTATCTTTGTCATAGTGACCCAGCGAACAGCCAAATGCCAAGCCAACTTCAGTACAGGGAGGCGCATCGCACGCAATCTCAAACCACTGAGTTGAGGGGGATGTGGTGGTGGTTTCTGCGTGGAACGCATGCTGACGTGTGACTGAGGATGCTGGATGAAGCTTGAGATGACGATGGAATGGATGCCACCTTCTTCAGCAGACGTGGCTTTCACAAATCATGAGTCACCACTCATACTCTTTAAACGCCTCTTCGGGATTACTGATGCTAGGTGCAAAGCGACGAGGTACGTAACGTTTCTGTGATACCATATTCAATTGGAGCAGCCGTCGGTCTTTGGTTCAGCGGTTTGACAACGGTTCCACTTCCGTTCCAGCCAATCTGAGCTGGCGGTTTTGCCTGTCGCGTTGAAACCAAACGGGCTTGATGCTGGCACATTTTGTCTGCCCCTGCACTTGCAAGTGCTCTGTTTCTCCAAACCGAGTCAACGAGCAGTGCTACACTAGCTGGTCAAAGGTACAAGAGATTCGTCGTGGAGGGTTTCGGGGTTTGCGATTGTTGTACAGTGCACGTATGGAACTTCAAATTTTCACAATCCAGTGATATCAGGGCTTGCAGATGAAGGAAAGCTGAAACAAGGAGTGACATCAGTACACAAAGTCACCTGACTAGGACTTCGAAACCTGGTCGAAACTCCAACTCAATGCTGAGAGCTGGGTTCAGCAGAAATGGAATCACCGACTCGGCTCGGCTCCACCGTCAGAGGCGCAGCACTTCACCTTAAAGCCGGCGGCCCAAATTGTTCATGCTTTTAAAAGCTGACCAGAGGGAGTTTTTCTGGTGTGGGCTTTGGCGAGAGTTTCCGATTTCGTCTAGGTTCGTTTTTTTCGCGAGACCCAGCCAGCCCTCGGTTTTCCCCCTGGTGAGTGAATTTGTCTTCAATAGTCCCAAATTGCAAGTGCGTGACTTTCAAAAGCTTGGACACTCAACTTCGTCAAGCTTTAAAAACTTGACCCTCGCGGCCCGCAATTTGGGACGCGGGTCTTAACTGACCTGACACCTGAACGGTGATGCACCCAGATTCTTTGCAACTTGAGGTCATTTGAATCGGGCCAAGATGTTGATTGCAGCGCCAATCATCTCATTGGGCATTTTTGTGCGGTAGACCGGCCCAGGCAGAAGTGTCTTGGGAGGTACAGGATGGTATGAAACCGTTTTCCATTGGCATGGGCAAAACGAACTGATTAGCCTTGCCAACCATGGCTGAGCTCAAACCGTCTCTCAAACCTCCACAAACTGGTACCAAGCTTGATCGCCAGACCACTGGGTTCAGTCGAATACAGTACGCACCTGTTGCAGTGGTCCGGCACGGCAGCTTTGGTCTAGGGAGTCTACTCCAGTGTTTCGTAGCTGCGTGCCCTCGTTCCCCTATGTTCGGAAATTCGACGAACGAGTCAACGGCAGCAACTGCTGCAGGATTTGTTTTGATCTTGCTGTTGTGCCAACCTCCACTCTGCAGCGCCGCAACTTCTCTGCCATCGCTCCTCATGCCAGCCGGTTGCCCCACCCACCCTCAAAGCTCACATATCTGAGCTGAATGTTTGTTGATGTGGGGCAAGAAACGCTTCGGTTGAGCGCCTTCTTGTGTAGGTCGACTGTCATCATCTTCTGTGCCCTCAGCTTCTTCGGGTTTCCGATTGCCTAAGGCGCTTGCTTTTGCAGTGCATTTCCACCTCATTCGAACCTTTGTTACACGGAGTTCATTGAGCGTTTTTTATAATTCACGCATCCTAGCGTCATCTTGCACGCAGCACAGACAGCTTTCTCTCGCGATTAAAGATTGTTGAGAAACAGCATGGGTCCAAGGCATCAAATCACGCAACCTTCATCCGCACAGCCAAAGCCGCGGTCCTTCATTCAAGCTGACTCCCCAGCAGCGTTCCGCTCGTATACAGAATCTGCGGATCCTATGACCTCTTCTGAAACATCTACCCGTTCGTCTGATTACTCCCCAATGGGTTTCTCGTCTCGTCGCAACACGCTGGACGTGCTGAGTCGACGGGCCATGTCGGGACCGATCGAGAGATCTCCGCCGTGCATCCCTTTCTCTTTCTCCCGCAGCAACGGTCTTCCCAGCCCGCTGGAGCCTTCCGCGTCGCTTCCGGCATCGTTCCGCACAACGAGCGCACATCCTGCAGCAGCGATCCCCCCCGCGACTGCGTCGCGCGATACCTGCGCTGATTCTGTTGCGCATGCGACTGTCAGTCGTCGTCCAGCGACTCAGCGGAGCGGTCCTATTTCGCAGCCGTTTAACGAAGCCCACAGATCGCTATACCGCATATCGCCAGTCGCGGTTTCAAACCCTATTGACGGCGATTTTGACCAATCCCGTAAATCCATGTCAGGTCCCATCAAACCCTCAGCATCAGCGTCGATTTCGCGATCCTTTCTCCCTGCCAATTCCACTCAATCTGGGCCCATAAGTTTCTCTTCGCATCTTGCCAACTCGAGGAACGGATCCCGACCGTCCGGATATTCTGACACGGCATCGTATGCTTCGGAGCAGCCATTGGGCCGTTCACAAGGACGGCGTGTCCGTTTCGCTGACGAAGAGCTGTCAGAGGGGGTCAGGGCTGATGGAAACGGAAACCGGGGGATTGATACAAGAAAGCAATTTCGTTTGAGTCATGCTTCTCCTCGCAAAACGTTTTCCGGGCAGCACCTAAATGTAAATATTCCGAGAAGGTGGTCCAGTATAAGCCAGTCAACAGCCGCCTTTGCTCTCCCCCCTCCTCCTCTTTCTGCCGTGGGAGCTCCGTCAACTCCTCCTGCCATAGTCACCTGATGTATTCTTGGAGGACAAAAGATAGGGAAAATATCGCTACGTATCTGAGGCCTATTTTTGGGGAAGTGCTATTTCTGGATACGTCAATATATAGGTGAATATAATGTTCGTACTTTTTTATGAAACAGTGAAGCTTATAGCGAGAAACTACGTTCTGGAAGGGTCGCTTGCCTGTTTGCTTTACCTCGCGTCTTTCGCGTCGGTGAAACTTTTTTTCGCGTTTACATGGCTTGCCACGCCATCGCCTTACAACCGTCAGATCACATCGTCAGGAAGCTTCACGAAATATCTGTCGGTAGAATTCTCGCTCCTAACCTAGGCGCAAAATCGTCGGCCGTGGGATCTTCGCGAAGCTTGATACATTTCACGGAGTACATTCCAGTATGATGCGGTTCGTGCTCCGCGTTTCGAGAATGTTCCGCGCTTCGCAATATTGTTCCACGCTCCGCAATCCAATGTCGATTGCTAGGGCCATTTCTGGTCCTCGAGCTAATCAGCCAGACCTAATGGTTTCAGTATAAAAAGCATCGCTCACCATTCCACTCGACAATTAAGAATCGCTCAACGCGCTCTCCAAAGCTCTCATATCGTGCTATTGAACACCTAGTGAATTCCCGTGCGATCACGTCAGAAAGCTAGTTCTACATAATGGCAGTGACGGAGGTTGTTAATGCCACCGCTGCGACTGGCGCTCCGATGGATGTGCCAGCTTCAACCCAAGCAGTCAACGCAAAGGCCGCGGCAGCTGAAGACAAGGAAACCTTTGCCTTTCAGGCGGAAATCAACCAGGTTAGTGAAAACGCACGATAACCTGACGCATGCGAAGATTTTGACGCGTTTTTCCATGAGTTGCCGTTTTCTCTTTACCAGTGGCTGAGTCCCTAGCTTCATTATTGATAAAGAGTTTTTTTCTTCACGAATCTCAACTCATTTATTTCTTTCCACTACCTCCCATGCCTGTGCGTGCAGCTGTTGAGTCTCATCATCAACACATTCTACAGCAACAAGGAGATCTTCCTTCGCGAGCTCATCAGCAACTCCTCCGACGCGCTCGACAAGATCCGATTTGCCTCTCTAACCGACAAATCCGCGCTCGAGTCGCAGCCGGAACTGTTCATCCGCATCGTGCCGGACAAGGCAAAGAAGACCCTCAGCATCATCGACAGCGGCGTCGGGATGACGAAAGCGGATTTGGTGAATAACCTCGGGACGATCGCGCGCTCCGGGACGAAGGAGTTTATGGAAGCGTTGGAGTCCGGCAGTGGCGACGTCAGCATGATTGGGCAGTTCGGCGTGGGTTTCTACGCGGCGTATCTGGTTTCGGATAAGGTAGTGGTAACCAGCAAGCACAACGACGACGAGCAGTACGTTTGGGAGTCGCACGCTGGCGGGTCGTTCACGATTCGTCGCGACACGGACGGAGAGAGGCTGGGGCGCGGCACGAAGATCACGCTGCATTTAAAGGACGACCAGCAGGAGTATTTGGAGGAGCGACGGATTAAAGACGTAGTTAAGAGGCACTCGGAGTTTATTAACTACCCCATCAACCTGTGGACGGTGAAAACCGTGAACAGGGAGATCGAGGAGGACGAGGAGGAAGAGGAGGAGGGACCTCACGGAGCTTCTAAGGAAGAACTTCTTGAAGAAGCAGAGGGAAATATGGAGGAGGTTGAGGACGAGGAGGGGAGCAGCAAGGGCGACAAGAACAAGAAGACGAAAAAGACGAAGAAGGTGAAGGAAGTGACGCACGAATGGCAGCAGCTGAACAAGCAAAAGCCGATTTGGCTGCGCAACCCTGATGAGGTCACTAAGGAGGAATACGCCGCGTTTTACAAGAGCTTCACAAACGACTGGGAGGAGCATCTGGCCGTGAAGCACTTCTCCGTGGAGGGTCAGCTGGAGTTTAAAGCCCTGCTCTTCGTGCCGAAGCGCGCGCCGTTCGACCTGTTTGAAGGGCGGCAGAAGAAGCTGCGAAACGTGAAGCTGTACGTGCGGCGCGTGTTCATCTCGGATGATTGCGAAGAGCTCATGCCGGAATACCTCTCCTTTGTGAAGGGCGTGGTTGACTCGGAAGACCTGCCTCTCAATGTCTCGCGGGAGATGCTCCAGCAGAACAAGATTCTCAAAGTCATCCGGAAGAACCTCGTTAAGAAGTGCCTCGAGATGTTCACAGAGATCGCGGAGAACAAGGACGACTACAGTAAGTTCTACGAGGCATTCAGCAAGAGCATCAAGCTGGGAGTGTACGAGGACTCTCAGAACCGCGCGAAACTCTCAGAGCTTCTCCGATTCCACTCCACCAAATCGGGCGAGGAAGCAACCAATCTAAAGGACTACGTTACCCGGATGAAAGAGGGGCAGAGCAGCATCTACTACATCACGGGCGAGAGCAGGCGAGCCGTGGAGAACTCTCCGTTCCTGGAGAAGCTGAAGAAGAGGGGCCTGGAGGTGCTGTTCATGGTGGATCCAATCGATGAGTATGTGGTGCAGCAGCTCAAGGAGTTTGATGGAAAGAAGCTGGTCTCGGCCACCAAGGAAGGGTAAGAGCACCACTCACCTCCTTTCCCATCCTTGCGCTTTCATTCTGTACCTTTCTGCTTCTCTCTGCACCTTCGGTCCATCCGTCCTTGATCCTTTGCCTCTCAAAGCTCTCGTTCTCTGAGACGCTGGTATGCTCTGGTGTGTGTACTTTGGGTGGTCTGTCTCTGAATTTTTCCTGACTTTCACTTCGTATCCTGTGCGTGCAGGTTGAAGCTGGATGAGCCCGAAGAGGAGAAGAAGAGATTCGAGGAGCTGAAGAAGGAATTCACCGACACATGCAAGGCAATGAAAGACATGCTGGGGGACAAGGTCGAGAAGGTAACTGTAGGCGAGCGCATCGTGGAGTCCCCCTGCGTTTTGGTCACAGGGGAGTACGGCTGGACCGCCAACATGGAACGCATCATGCGAGCCCAGGCTTTAAGGGACAACTCCATGTCTCAGTACATGACCAGCCAGAAAACCATGGAGATTAACCCTCATAACAGCGTTATCAAGGAGCTCAGGAGGCGGATCGAGGCGGATAAAACCGACAAGACTGTCCGAGACTTAGTGTTCCTGCTGTTTGAGACTGCTCTGCTGACCTCGGGATTCTCTCTGGATGAGCCTCAGGCGCTGGCGGGACGGGTGCATAGGATGATTAGCCTTGGACTAAGCATTGATGAGAATTTGGAGGAGGTTGGGGAGGAGGAGGCAGGAGAGATGGATGGGGAGAGCAAGATGGAGGAGGTGGATTAGGCTTGGAGAATACAGAAGCATGCGTGGTGTGGAAGAGTCGATGATTACGGTTCATAAGGGACAATACGGTAGTTGACTGCTGGATTACTTATGTCCATGGGATGGAGCAGCTGGGATAGTGGTGATTGGTGGGGACTCTGGGTGATCTAGTTGGAGAATCTCCAATGGAAATTGCTTGCTTTGGGGTTTGCGGGAGGGTGTGTGTGTGGCAATGTGCTACTGTGTACAAATAGGTGTGTCTATGTGTATCAGTGAAAAGTGAATGGCCAGCTTTCTATATGTGAGACTAGCACACTAAATCCTGTACAGCTTCAGCAACTAAGATCTAAATAATCATGGAGAAAGTAAAGGAAGTGGAGTTCAAATCATCTAACTCAAACAAAAGGCAGCTATATTTACCACGACATACAGTATCGATATGCAAAGTCGCATCAATGATTGCCAATGTAGTCTACATATCAGCCTTCTGCTGCTTCCATAGATGAAGCCTGACTTAAGCTGTGCATAAGATGGTTCCAAGGCTGGAAGAAATGGCCTAAGGTACTGTTTGAAAAAGAACCCCTGCCCACACTAGGGTACTTGTGCGAGACTTGTGCGTATGTGTTCAGAAGAAAGGAGGGAGCATGATCCACCGCCGAGGGTACTTGGGGCGACCCTCCTTGCCATCAAAGAGCTGAAGGTTTCAGGTTGAAGCGGAGAAGGGAAGGTTGAGGGGAACACAACACACACAAGGGAGCGCTTCATGAGCAGAGAAATTCGAAGGGGCTGGAGTAAGGAGGAAACATGATGCACATAGCATAGCCTAAGCCTCAAGGAGCTATTTGCCAGCGCTGCAACTGGTGCTGACTTGGAAGGTGATGGCTGCATGTCAGTGACATAAAGAGGTTGGCTTCACTCTGACCAACGGGTGACACCCGCGGCAGATTCAGGACAAAGCATTGCATTGTCAAAGCATCATCCATGCAGCCCTTAGTAAGTCCACCAGCCGGTTTCCCCATCTTAAGCAACCAAGCCGCTCATACGAGCATGGATGGCATTTGGTCGTCGAGAGTTCATATAAAGCATAGACACCCTTCAAACCATGGAAAGACTGAGTACATGTAACAGGGCAGAGATCCCCGGCCAAATGCCACCAATGTATGTGTTTTAACAACGAGAACGATAGAAACAAGAATCACCTCAAAAAAGGCACCTGCAATGAAGCCAGGGAAGAGCTCTCCATGCAGACAATGACGAGATCAAACCAAGCTCTTAATCTATGTTCCCCTAAAAAACCGCATGTCAGGGACATTGGTAGGATGGCTTCACTCTGACCAACAGGTGGTACCCGTGACAGACTCAGGACAAAGCATTGCATTGTCTGACATCATCCATGCAACCCCGAGGGGGGCCCAGTCAACTTTCCCCCTTCGACTTCCAAACATCACCTCAGACGGCGTCTTAGAAGATGGCAGGAAAAAACAAAGCATCCAGAGAAACAGAAACGTAGGCAAAGCTCCCAGTCTATTGCCCTCCCTTAAGGAACTGCATGTCAGTGACATTAAGAAGATGGCTTCACTCTGACCAACAGGTGGTACCCGTGGCAGATTCAGGACAAAGCATTGCATTGTCAAAGCATCATCCATGCAGCCTTGAAAGGGTCATCTACCAGTCCCCCCCTCCCCCCTCAACCAGTAAGCCCACTAGAGAGAGCATGCACGTCGAATACAGGAGCAGATACCTCACCTCAGAAGGTGTCTACGAAAAGAAGAAGCAGACAGACAAAACAGAACAGTAATCAAAGCTCCCACAAAAGGACTGCATGTCAGGGACATTAATAGGACGGCTTCACTCTGACCAACAGGTGTTACCCGTGGCAGACTCAGGACAAAGCATTGCATTGTCTGACATCATTCATACAGTCTATCCCTGGGTTGTGCCTGCCCAATCTCTTCCCTAGACCCGTAAATGCATCAAGCCCTTTCCGTTTCCTGCCCAGTCTCGAATCGCAACCCGTGAGTGCATGAAGCCGATCCGGGTTACTGAGAGTCCGTAGGTCAACGAAAAGCGAGTAAAGGAGGCGACTGTGCTACAGTTGCTCACTCCATCTGGTGAAGGAAGAGCGGTACAGTGCTACATCCCCACCATGCAACACTGGGGCAGAGAGCATCTTCATTTAGAATCTGCTTTTTGAGAATTCTAAAAAAAAGCGGAACTGGTGAAGGAAGAGCGGAACTGTGCTACATCCCCACCATGCAATAACGCGGTAAAGAGCGACTTCATAAAGTGCATGTCAGCGACAACATATGTGATGACTTTCACCCAACCAGGAAAAAACTCCAGAGGGACGGTTCAGGACAAAGCATTGCGCTTGTCTGCCATCATCCACACTAACTCGTCTGTGCCGTTAGCCTGTTTCGGCTTAGCTTAGCCGATAGAAGGGTGTGTCTGCTATGGCTTGATTATAAGCAACGCAGTTAGTCGAAAACGGGTGGATGCGGAACTGCAGGAAAAGGGAGCGAAGGACCTTAGTCATGCTCTCCTACTCTCTCCCTCCGCCCCCCATCCTGCGCTACGAGGTCGAAGAGGGCGAGGATGAAAGGGTACGGGCCTAGCTTGACAGCAGGCTTGATGATATTGGGGATACGAGAACATCGTTTTACTGCGTGAGGATTCCTACCTTCCTGTGGCATTCAAGCCAAGCGCGGCCTTAAGAGGCCAGATGAGCATTCGCTTGGCGTGCGCGTGCTTGGCAAAGGCCTTAAACCCCGAACCCTGATGTCGACTCAGTATTGTGATTGCTTATGACAAGGAGAAAACGACGCGGAGAGGCGGAACGGCAGTGGGAAAGATGGAGGGAAAGTTTGGTGGGGAGAATCATGGATAGAGAGAGAGAGATGTCTGCCCTCACCTTGACGAGGCGCTGGTGCTCGGCGAGGTCTCCCACAGGCATCTGCATGGTTCCTTCTGAGACGCCTCAAAAGTCAGCCCGGTGGGGTGACTTTCGAGTTGACTCAAACTCAAGTGTCTGCTCTCACCTTGACGAGGCGCTTGTGCTTGGCGAGCGCCCACTCGGCCATCTGCATAGCGCCGGCGAGGCGACGACTGAGATAAATCGAAAACAGATCTCTGCTCTCACCTTGACGAGGCGCTTATGCTTGGCGAGCGCCCACTCGGCCATCTGCATGGCGCCGGCGAGCATGAAGAGGTAGCCGGCGACGGACTGGGTGGCGATGTTGAATCCCAGCCACGCCGTGATCTCCGTCGTGTAGTTGGCGCACGTGATGAAGTTGAACAGGAAGCCCGACGGAATCTGGTACCCCGAGCTCGAGCCGGACCTGCAGGGCGGGGAGATGTACCAGAGTTACAAACTGTTCCTGAGGCGCCTTCATCATTGCAATTACCGCACGTGATGAAGTTGAACAGGAAGCCCGACGGAATCTGGTACCCCGAGCTCGAGCCGGACCTGCAGGGCGGGGAGATGTACCAGAGTTACAAACTGTTCCTGAGGCGCCTTCATCATTGCAATTACCGCACGTGATGAAGTTGAACAGGAAGCCCGACGGAATCTGGTACCCCGAGCTCGAGCCGGACCTGCAGGGCGGGGAGATGTACCAGAGTTACAAACTGTTCCTGAGGCGCCTTCATCATTGCAATTACCGCACGTGATGAAGTTGAACAGGAAGCCTGACGGAATCTGGTACCCCGAGCTCGAGCCACACCTGCAGGGCGGAGAAATGCAAGAGAGTTACGAAGGTGGAAGGGAGGGGAAGGGGATAATCATGCTGTTTCTCGGTGAAAACGACTCTACGCAGATATGCTTGACGGTACAGCGGAATACGGTTTGTACGACTCATGCTACACTATAATAATGGTGTAACATGTAGTCCATGTGAGGTTCAGAGCGAGCCGAAAGGACTGAGGCTCGCAGAATTGATCCCCGCACGCTGTGCCGATTTACTCCGAAGTACCCACCTTAGGTTCCTCAAAATGATGTGACAGTAGAGGTTGGAGAGCTGGTTGACTATAGCAATGCCGAATCCGATCATCATCTGGGTCTCGCTGACTGGGGTGTACAGCGGGTGGTTCACGAAGAACGATACGAAAGCTGCGAAGGTCCAGTAGTAACCGCAGTTACGGAACAGGTTCTGAAGCGGCATCGTGCCGTGGCTGAAACGGTGGACGAAGAACGTCTCGAAGATGCGCTTCGTGTAGTGGAATGACCAGTAGATGAGTGCGTAGGTCTGGACATCTTTAAGCTTCTGCAGGAAGACATGGCGGTAAGTAAAAAGAATGGAGAATGTCAGGAGAACAGCACGAAATGAGCGCTACTGTGAAATCAGCGAGGCTCGGGAAATTAAGGTGATCTAAGCGCGGGAGGATCAGGAAGCTTGAAAAACAGAACCCAGGAATTAGTAATACGAGGAGGCGCTTACCCTCTTGGCACCGTCCACATAGAACACTTGCGGGAAGAAGTAGAAGAGCGAGTAGAGGACCAGAGGACCGAAGTACTCCCAGAAGAAGACCGTCTTAAAGCCGATCTGAGGGCCGAGATCCTTAAAGACGACGTCCAATGTGGTTCCTGTAGAGTACTCCGCGAGTCGCTTTTTGGCGTCCAGAACGACGGGTTTGGCTCCTGACGCTGGCGCTGGGAGAGTGAATCTCTGCCTTGCAGGGTACCATTTTTTATCTGCATGAAGAGGTAACCCCGAAGATAAAGGTTAGAATGGATTGTTATAAGGGGTACGGCTTGTCATGGTCTGTAAACTCCAAATGCTGCGACTTACTCGTTTTGTGAAGGACTTTTTGGAGATCTGCTACGGAGGCCTGCACAGAGACGACACGGATAGTAACCAGTTAAGCTTATACGGCATTTACACGACTGGAGAAAAGGATCGAGAGAGTGTTTGTGAGGATCAGAAGGCCTGTGAAAAGCCACGCAAACAGATGCTTGAGTAAGCGTAGAATGCAATGGGGAAGGTACCTCATCGGGAAGTTGGAGGCCGCCTTTGACGATCTCTTTTCCAGATCGCGAAAAGACGTTGACCTTCATGCTGAGGGGGTGCCGATCTACCGTATCCAAAATGATACGAAAGTAGACCCTTCTCGCACTCCTCAGAGTACGGCAACGAATTGCGTGGAAACTAAAAAAGGGAGGACACGCCTAGGGACAGGAAGGACAATGACTGGAACTAGAATATCGTATGACGAGATTCATTTGGCGTAGTTGTGAGTAGAAGGCGGAGAGGGAGTTCAGAACAAGATGAGAGAGGATAGCGAGGATTCGAACGAGATCGAGAGTGGTTAAGAAGGATATATCGGGACGGCGAGGGAGTTCTGGTCTTGGTTGGATGTCGAGTCGAGCTGGTGTGAGATGTGGTTTCTGGCAGGTTCGGCTCGGCTTTCTCGAGGTGAGATCTTCGCCCTGGGTTTCCGAGATTGGAAGCTGGCGCTTTTGGCGCCAAAATGGGCTGACAGGAATTGATTCGATTGTGACAAATGGTGCGAAGGGTCACGCCGAACACAATTCGAAAAAATACACAGCTTTTCATTTCAGTATGTGTGCAATTCTGTTATATTAATTATTCCCAAGCAGGGTGATCCTCAGATGAGTTTCTAGGGGGCCTTGGCTTCCAGTTTGGCACTTCATCCCAGAAGAAGTTGTAGTAAATATGGCCTGAAATTAAATCAACGCAAGATAATATGCAAACACATGAACCAAAACGTTGTGAGAAACCCTTCGTTATACATGATTGCAAGCAACTCCATATGCCGTTATCAAATCTTACCTGGATGAGCATGCACGCAGCACCAGATGCCTGTATAATGTCGCAATCTCCATCTAAATTTCTTCTCAAGCTCCTGCACGGACAAAATGCAGGGGAGAGAAGATATAATGGTGCGAGCTGCTTTAATGTCATGCTCTCATCCACTCCTGCAGGATCATTAAGTCCATCTCATCACAACGCTCTTCCCAAAGCCTCTCTTCCCCCCCAACCCCCCCCCTCCCCCCCCCCCTTCCCTTCACTCCCCCCACCGAGTCCCCGCCCCCTGCCAATCTACCAGCACTCACTCTATCGTCCCATCCACGAAACACATCGTGCAAACTGCTTTCACATCTGAAAACTGCGATAATGCCTCCTTTCACTGGAACTCATATAGCCCGTCCCATCCCAATGCTTGCCCACCTCTGCCCCACGTCCTTCCACCAGCACTCACCTTGTCATCCCACCCGCCAAACACATCGTGCAGAAAACTGAACTCGATCCACTTCACATCAGAAAACCGAGATAATGCTTCCCGCAACTGGAACTCAAGAAAGGAGGGATCAGGAGGCCACGGGCACAGGAACAGGTAACAGAAGAGAAACGAGAATGATACCGGCATGATACAGCAAGGAGAAGGGAAGGAGCACAGACCATGAAGGCAACAGGCTGCTGTAAGAGCAGCAGGGGCTTGTTAGAGTAAAAGGTACCAAAAAACACAGTGACATATTTTGTGTGCAATGTCGCATCTAGCAGTACAGCGCACCTGCTTCTCTCGTACGCCTTTCCTGAGCACCAGATCGAGTGTGTGAGCTCTGGGAAGATCCTGAGCGTCCGTTTCTACGGGGCAATCGGGAGCAGTGTCGTTGCAGATACGCACAGAGAGCTTGGAGGCTCGGAGCTAGGGGGGACAGGAAGCGAGGGGGAAGGGTGAGGGGGGAGAAGGGCAGACAGTTTCAGCGGGACAGTCATGAGGGAATTCAGGAGGGAAATCAGGAGCAGTGTCGTTGCAGATACGCACAGAGAGCTTGGAGGCTCAAAGCTGGGGGACAGGAAGCGAGGGGGGGAGGGGTGGAGGAGAGGGTGGAGAAGAGGGCGGAGGGTGGGCATGCACTCAATAAAGTAGAGTGCCATTACACAGCTTACCTCTTTCAGGACATGAGGGTTGTCAAGGAAAGAGTACTCCAAAAAGATAAGTGAAATTTGAATCTACCCAACATTCCGACACTATACAGCTCACCTCCTTTGGGACACGAGGGTTGTCAAGAAAAGAATATTCCCGAAAGGGTATTGCTGGCCCGAACTCCTCTTCTGGAAGCTTCCCTGGAAGCATCCTGTCTACCTGAATGGAAGGAAGTAGGAGGACAGTTAAGGGGTGGGAGGGTGTTGGTGACGTAGATATTGGAGGTGTGGAATTGTGTAGGGTATGGTGGAGTACAATATGGCACGGTTATGGAACGGTTTAGAATGGTGTGGTATGAGCTAGAAGGAACGGTAGAGACTTTACAGTTGAATTTCTGACAAAGAGATTTCAGATTGCTTGAGCATGAAGACAACTGTAGAGACTGTCAATACTGTACATTTTAACACAAGTATAGAGAGCCTGTACATTGAGGATATGGTCGAGTGGGCAGAGAAACGGCTGTGGCGTTGCAGTGTTATCGAGGATGCCTTTATGAGGGTACCAGATGCGGTCGAATCGAGCCCACGTGCTTGGCATGACCTGATGGTGGGTGGGGGGGGGGGGGGGGAGCACATGCACGAACACTCATCAAGACCATCAGGTGCTCGTGCTATAAGCAGCTCGGATGCTCTTCAGCTGGTGGTTGACCAGGTGGAAGTGCGTTGAGAGAGTGTGATTGCCCCAGTGCCCCAGACAGACCGTTGACTTGCATTGACCTTGCCATTGACTTGGGTTGACTTGAGTTGACTCACGAGGGTCCGGTTTAAAATGAGGGCGATAGCTAGAGCAGAACGAATGCTCTTCAGCTGGTGGTTGACCAGGTGGAAGTGCGTTGAGAGAGTGTGCTCGCCGCCCGTCAGCAGCTCCTCGGGAATGTCGTTGACGAATGAGACGATGCCACCTGGCGGGTCGTAGTACTCTGGAGGGTCGTAAAAAGCCATGGCCTCTCGGAAGCGATGGCGCTTGCCTGGCGAGGATAGTACATGATGCATGATGGATGGAGAATGGGGGATAAGGGGATCGGGATGGGGAAAGGGGACAGGTAAATGGTGGGGATGATTCCCGTTCACCCTCATAGGTCGTAGTACTCTGGAGGGTCGCAAAAAGCCATGGCCTCTCGGAAGCGATGGCGCTTGCCTGGTGGGGGTTGGGGGGGTAAGGGTTGGGGAGGGTGGAGGGTGGAGGGTGGATAACCTTAGAGCAGGCAGTAATCACTTGCATCTGGTTAGACTGGAAGCTAGAAAGTATAGTTGAACTCCCTTTGCTACTGAAATATACAGCCCCAGCAGCAACATATAGAGTCAACCCCCCACTTGACCATTGTACCTCCAAAATGTAAGTCTCAGTTCACGATGAACATGCTTGCATTGGATTGAATGCATACCTGGAGTGCCAGCAAACTGGAAGGTGGCGTGCAAAGCATACGGTTCAAGACCCAGAGCAAGTAAAGAAAGAGAGTAAAAAACTCCCTAGCTAAGAAAACTCTGATCGCAAGAACTGTATTCACTCAATCAGAACAGGTCGCATACCTGGAGTGCCAGCAAACTGGAAAGTGGCGTGCAGAACATAAAGCTCTAGATCGACCATCTTGTGCAAATGCAAATGTAGCTGTAAAAGATTCAAGTTGAACATGCTTGCATTGAGTGTAATGCATACCTGGAGTGCCAGCAAACTGGAAAGTGGCGTGCAGAGCATACGGTTCGAGACCCACCACCTTGTGCAGATGCTGCGGGGAAGATAGCAGATGGAGTACGAGATATGAGGAGGTGAGGGATGAAGGCCGGACAGCAGGGAGAGAGAGAGGGAAAGTGCTGAAAAGCTGAGTACGGTGCGTGCAGAGAGAAAGCATGGAACCAACGAGGAAAAGAGATGAAGGGGAGAATGAAGGGAAAACAGGCAGAATCCCCAGCTTGCGGGGTGCATCGAGCAGGCATCGAACGCCCAGAACAGATGGTCGTCAGCAGCAGCAGGGTGCATGCCTGGCGGCATGTGCTTCCTATGTGCTTCCTCATTCTCTAGTTTGAGAGACAGAGAGACAAGAGACAACGCACCTGAACAAAGAAAGTGTGGCCTGAGCGGAAGACAGACACGGGGAGGATTTGGCAGCAGCAGGGTCAATATCGGGGCCCATGTGCTTGCCTTGGACATGAGCTTGTTGAACCCGTTCTGGTCCCATATCATATCTTGACTTTTGAGGCGTCTCAAGAGACGTCTCAAGAGACGTCTCAAAGCTTGTTGAACCCGTTCTGGTCCCATATCTTGACGCCCGTGGCTTAGGAGTTCCACTCACACACCTGGACGAAGTAAGTGTGGCCTGAACAGAAGACGGAGACTGGCAGAATCCCCAGCTTCAGACTGCCATCAAACGCCCAGAACACATGGTCGGCAGCAGCAGGATCCACGTCGGGCCCCATGTGTTTCCTCATGAGCTCGTTGAACCCGTTCTGGTCCCATATCTTAGCGTCAGAAGCGAGGAGTTCTGCCCATGCTCGAGCTAGTCGCTTGGCCGGGTCGGTGGGGCGGAAGTGCAGAATGCCTATGTTGTACGCGCTCTGTGCTGGGGGGTGGGGAAGGAGGGGATGTGGGAAGGAGAAGGGAGGAGAGAGGGCGCATAGGAGGACAGATGACAAGGAAGAGAAGGTGCTTGGCCAGGTCGGTGGGGCGGAAGTGCAGAATGCCTATGTTGTACGCGCTCTGTGCTGGGGGGGGTGAGTCTCGGGAGAGGAGGGGAGGAGGAGGGAGAATGAGACAGGGTAGGGGAGAGGGATGGGGAGGAGGGAGGGAGCAGACGATGGCACTTGAAACAGCCGTGTTTCTCGCCTCCTCATGAACTCGTTGAACCCGTTCTGGTGCGTGTTTTTTGAGAATTCTCAAAAAACCCGTTCTGGTCCCAACTCTTGGCATCAGATGCGAGGAGCTCTGCCCGGAAGGGAGGGGAGAGGGCAGATAGGGGAATAGCAGAAGATGAAGACAGAAAGGCGCTTGGCCGGGTCAGTGGGGCGGAAGTGCAGAATGCCTACGTTGTACGTGCTCTGTGCTGGGGGGTGGGGAAGAGGAAGGGGGAGATGTTGGGAGGGGAAGGGAGGGAGATGACTTATTGGGGGATAGATGAAGAGGAGGCGTTTGGCCGGGTTGGTGGGGCGGAATTCAGAATGCCTATGCAGGAAGGGGAGGCCGTTGGCATGCCTGTTCACACCTCCTCACACCTTTTCACGCCTCCTCACGCCTCCTCACGCCTGCTCACGCCTGATCACGCCCGCTCACACCTGCTCGCCCTTTCTCACCTCGCTACAATTTCTCCAGAGACACATCATCAACTGAACGGACTAGGTGGTCGCTGGATGTGAGGAGATTCGCTAGCACGCCTGCTCACACCTCTTAACACCTGTTAACGCCTGCTCATGTCTACTCTACCCTTTCTCACCTCGCTGCCATTTCTCCAGAGACTCATCATCAACTGAACGGACAAGATAGTCACTGGATGTGAGGACGCATGCAGGCACGTCTACTCACACCTTTTCAGACCTCCTCACATTTACTGCCACCTCTTCACGCCTGCTCACTCCTTGTCACTCATACCTTCTCACGCCTACTCACACCTACTCGCCCCTCTCTCACCTTGCTGCCACTTCTCCAGGGACTCATCATCAACTGAGCGGACAAGGTGGTCACTGGATGTGAGGACGTCTGCTGTTGGGTAGCGAGCGATGAAGGGCAGAGGGTTCTGCAATGCAAACGGAGGGGATTGGGGAGAGAGTGAACGAGAAAAGGAAGGAAGAAGGAGGTCAGGTTGAATACGGAAGGGAAGTCAGCAAGGGCTGGACGCATAAAGTGATTGCTGGATGTGAGGAATCGGCTGAAGGAGAGCGAGCAATGAAGGGTGGACGGTTCTGCAAAGAAAAGAGTGACCTCCTCCCGCCCCATGGCATGGAACACCGGCATGCATGCCCCACCAGACCCCACTCGTTCTTTGGCCTACCACCTGCTGACTGACTGACTGACTGACTGACTGACTGACTGACTGACTGACTGACTGACTGACTGACTGACTGACTGACTGACTGACTGACTGACTGACTGACTGACTGACTGACTGACTGACTGACTGACCGACTGACTGACTGACTGACTGACTGGCTGGCTGAGTGCTCTTGCAGCCAGCACAGCACTTCCTGTCTGACAGCCTACCCTTAGCCGTTGACAGACAGGGTGGGTTTCGGTGTCAAGATTGTTTTGAGACGTCTCAAAACCTACCCATATCCATCGACAGACAGGGTGGGTTTCGGTGTCAAGATTGTTTTGAGACGTCTCAAAACCTACCCATATCCATCGACAGACAGGGTGGGTTTCGGTGTCAAGATTGTTTTGAGACGTCTCAAAACCTACCCATATCCATCGACAGACAGGGTGGGTTTCGGTGTCAAGATTGTTTTGAGACGTCTCAAAACCTACCCGTATCCATCGACAGACAGGGTGGGTTTCGGTGTCAAGATTGAACAGCTCCACGCCCATCGACGGGAACACATTCGACCCACCCCGCCCGCCCACCCTACTCGTTCCACCTACAACCTACTGACTGAACGCTCTTACTACAGCTACTCTCACCTTAAGCCACACAGTGTCGGTGTCGCATATAAGACGCTCCACGCCCATGGATAGGAACACGTTGACCAGAGTGACCTTCTCCCGCCCCATGGCATGGCACACTGGCGTGCCCCACCCCTTCCTTCCCACCATGCCACCCACCCCACTCGCACCACCCACTACCCACTGACTGATTGCTCTTACTACAGCTATTCTTACCCGCAGCCGAACAGTATCCGTGTCACAGATAAGAAGCTCCACCCCCATGGAGAGGAACACGTTGACCAGAGTGACTTTCTCCCGCCCCATGGCATGGCACACTGGCGTGCCCCACCCTCCCCACCCTCCCACCTCACTCACCCCACTCACCCCACTCACCCCACTCAACCCACTCACTACCTGATGATGGACTGATCTGACAACATACCTTGAGCCACACAGTGTCCGTGTCACAGATAAGCAATTCCACCCCCATGGAGAGGAACACGTTGACCAGAGTCACTTTCTCCCGCCCCATGGCATGGAACACTGGCGTGCCCCACCCGCTGTCCTCCGGGCTCATGCCACTCTCCAGGTCGAACACAGGCACGCCCTCCTGGTAGAGTGCTTTCAGAATGGTGGGGTCCATGGCGCCTAGGCAAAGGAAGGGAAGCAGGGGATACACAGACTGTTGCGAACATGCGTGCCCCACCTGCTGTCCCCCGGGCTCATGCCACTCTCCAGGTCGAACACAGGCACGCCCTCCTGGTAGAGTGCTTTCAGAATGGTGGGGTCCATGGCGCCTAGGCAAAGGAAGGGAAGCAGGGGATACACAGACTGTTGCGAACATGCGTGCCCCACCTGCTGTCCCCCGGGCTCATGCCACTCTCCAGGTCGAACACAGGCACGCCCTCCTGGTAGAGTGCGGTGAGAATTTCATTGTCCATGGCACCTGGGGCGAAGGAAGGGAAGCAGGGGGCACACACACACGGAACAGTCCGCTGCATTGCATACACGCGTGCTCCACCCGCTGTCGTCTGGGGTTCATTCCACTCTCCAGGCCGAACACAGGCACGCCCTCACGGCAGGCACCATGGGTCCGTGGCGCCTGGGGTAGGAATCAACAGGGGAAGACGGAGAGGAGGAACAAACAGCCTACGCATTGCCCCACCAGCTATCCTCGGGAAAATTGCCTTGTAGATAGCGGGTGGGGCAATGCGGAGTCAATGCCCTGTAGACTCTACAGACGCAAGGTTGGCTAAGTCACCACCACCACCACCACATCTTACCACTGCCTTTAAGTCTCCTCGAAACCCATGAACCCTGAGACCTGCGTGACTAGGTATCATCAGAATCTCTTCTCACCTATGAGGATGTTGGTAACCCCCAGATCTGTGAGGTGCTTCACCCAGTTTAGCACGAAATCCATAAAAGCGTGGTTGGCGAAAGTCACTACCACCACGTTCTTTTCTGCTCTGAATTCCACCATCTCCCTCCGCAGCGCAAACTCCTCATTTCCAGGAACCTTCCCGCCGGGCGGCGGTTTCTCCCAGATGGGTCGCTTCAGCTCCGGAATCAACGGCCGTCCCTCGTGTATGATTGGCCGAACTCCCCGAGCGAAAGTTTCACCTGCCTCTTCAGTGCTCCGGCCCTTCAAACCCAATGCCGAAGCAGCTTTAATCACATAGTCAGAAGCAGCGGCAAGAGCAGCGGAGGCGTCATTTACCACTCCCTTCCTGCTGCTGCTGAAATCCCCATCTGTAGTAACACCCGTGCTGTTCTTGCTTAGGGCTTTGCTGCTTCCCCCCAGGTTCTGCGCTGCAAGAAAATTGTTCCTCTCTCCATCCTCCTCGCTCTGAACCCCTCCGCCCTCCTCTCCAGTTCCCATTTGAGGCTGCGCCTCAGCGTTCCCTTCCCCTGCTTCTCCCTCTGATGCTGCTGCTGATGGTTCTGAAGATCCTGACGATTCGGATGCAGAGTTGCTGCGAAAAGGCAGCAGCTTGTTAGAAGCAAAGACTGCATTGCTGCCGCTCCTTGCAGCTGGCGTCAATTCTGGTGTACGAAAAGGGGACATGCAATAGCGCTTTTGGATAAAGGGGAGGTAAGATATTCATTGGCAGAACAAGATTTGGAGGGGTAGAAAATGAAGGCAAAATCATCAGGTGGTCGAAAGAACAGGAAATGCTGCAGCCTGCTCGTGTTTCTCGATGCGACATAGAAATTCGACACACGGACAAGTCAATGCAGCAACAAAGTAACAATGCGCAGGTATTCACAAAATTAGTCAGGACCAAGCTTAAACTGGACGGATGCACACTCTATACCTTGCTCGTCAACGTTCGTCGCTTCCTCGACCTGCGATTCGAGGAGGTCATTCCAGTGGCTTTCTAAGCTCCAGTATACCGGCCGGCCGAGAATGTAACCGACTATCATGACGGCTAGCAGGCCGGCGACGCCAAGGACTCTACGAAGCCGCGACATATCGGATGCGGAACCAGACGCGGACGGACAGGAATAATTCAGTGGTAACGAGATGACTATGATAAACGGACCGGTTGGTTTACTAGCTAGATTCTCTGCGCGTCCCCACTCGTCTGTCAGGGATCGGCACAGAGCCTGCTTCAAAGAGATCGGAAGCAGGAATGATCTGTCTGTAGAAATGAACATTGGGATTGCCGACCACTGAAAGTGATCAGACTGGGCGGCAGGATGTGATCTGTACGCGCTGTTGTTACAAAGATCTTACTTCCACCGTTATGTTTTACAATCGCATATACATACAGCATCTACTTTGCATCACAATCTAGATACTCATGCGCTATTAGCTCAAACCTTCCCCTTCACCTCTTGCCTCGCCACCACCATTCTCAACACATCACCAGGACTTAGTCTCGAGCCGTTCGCATTGGCCTGACACTCCTGCAATTGCCGAGCCAGTTCCGACCACGACAGAGTCCTTAGGGGACCCGGGGGAGGGGAATCATCATCATCATCAAGAATTCCCTGGCTCCACTGCTGCAAAAGCGTCAAGTCTACACCATCGTATCCTTTATTAGCTGATTGTTCTTTTGGCGGTTCTACACCCTGCAAGTGGTAGCTCAACCAGAAATCCTCCCCCTCAGTCACACTCCCAAGATTCTTCTCCTTCTGACCCGCCCTCGCACCAGCTCCACTCATTACAACTCTTCCCTTATGTAACGGCGTTGCACTGTAGGGAATCGCACTATAAGGGATCGCACTGTACGGGAGGCTGTAGCTCAGCTGTAGCCGCGGAGCCGGCGAATCAGAGGCGTCCGTCCAAACCGAAGGGGACTTGGGGAAGAAAAAGGAACCGGGACTAGCAGCCGCACTGTAGCTGCTGCCGCTGCTGGTTACCACGCTCGGCTGCTCTGATTGGCTGCTGAGGGACGTGGGAAAGAGAGCTGATTGGAGGAAGGCATCTGAAGGGACACTGTGGGTTCTCTCCAGTGGGAGGGGTGCAGGGTGTGACTGTAGCGAGTGTGATTGGATAGTTTGGGTGTGTGACAAGGACCGAGGGGGGAACGGGTGGTGGTGGTGCTGCTGATGCTGCTGGGAATGAAGCTCCTTTCGGTCTGTCTGACTTCCTCCTCCTCCTCCTGCTGCTGCTCCTCCCCCCTCCATGGTGTTCCACCAGGCAGAGTGGTGTGTGAGAGGATGGAACACCAGCTGCTGCTGCTTCCCCTGCTGGCACTGCTGCTGCTGCTGCTGCTGCTGGTGCCACTGCCGTAGCCGCGACAGCTGCTGCTGCTGCTGGAGCTGCAGTTGCTGCTGCTGCTTCTCCAAGTGCGAGAGCCACTGCTGGTGCTGCTGGTGCTGCTGATTGGAAACCCCTTCCGCACCAGCAGGCAGCCCATGCTTCTGCCTGAGCTCCAGGTACCTAGCCCGCATGTCCGCCCCATGCCCACCCGACTTAGACACACCATACTGACCTCTCATATCCACCCAATACTCGCCTGACTTGGACACAAGGCCATACTGCGCCCTCAGATCCGCCCCGTAGCCCGCGGATTTCGATACACGGGATCTGGACCCCACCGTGTGCGACCGGGGAAGCTTCCAGGAATGGATGGTGGCCGCCCCGAGCTCGGAATGAGCCCATCCGTCCTCTTCTTTGCCTTCCCCATCCATTTTAAGTCCGCCCCCAGGGGGAACCCACACCCCGGATACCCCCGCACCTGCTGCAGCCACCATAGACTGCTTGCCTCCTCTTCCCTCCCTCACTCCTCCGTCGTTGCTTCTCCTTCCCACTCCCAGCCTCCTCTCACCCGTTTCTTCGTCTTCAGCAGCCGCCAGGGCGTGAAGGGACAGCGCACTCGCTGCTCGCTTGTGTGCTGCTGCAGCAGCACGACCAGCAGGGCTGGCCTCAGAGGCAGGATCTTTACGGCCAACAGCAGGAGCGGCAGCGGCAGCAGCAGCAGCAGCAACAGCAGCAGCAGCGGGACTGGTACGAACAGCAACAGGAGTGGAAGCCGCAGAAGAAGCCCAGCCACCATCAGCAGTACCAGAAGGGGGGCTAGCAGCAGGTAAGGTAGAGGCAGCAGGGGAGATAGCAGCAGCAGGGGAGATAGCAGCAGCAGGGGAGATAGCAGCAGCAGGGGAGGTGCCAGCATGCCAGCCCACGCCCCACCCACCCGACCCCTGTCGCCACAGCTGCTGCAGAGCCGACGCCAGCCGACTGCTCTCACTCGACTCGTGCCGTCTCAACCGCCCCCTCTCCGCACCCCCTCCCCTCTCTGCACCCACTCCTCCCCTCTCTCCCCCTCGTCCCCTCTCTCCACCCGCTCCTCCCCTCTCCCCGCAGGCTCTCCCCCTTTCTGATTCCCTGCCGCAGCCTTCGTGCAGGTCAGGAAACGGCAGGTTAGGGGATTGCTGATTCTCAGCAGTGGGAGACTGCTGGGTTTTGAAGATCCCCGGCCTTGATCTGGGCAGTCCGCCTCTCTTCCACTCGAGCAAGGTGCCGCTTGGAGACTTCTCCTCCCGCTGCCAGTGCGAGAGGGTCGGCCCTCTGGGCGTGTTGTGGGTGCTCACGCTCTGTCGGATTCGAGTTGACCGCGTTGACCATGTTGACTGCGTTGACTGAATTGACTGCGAGGACTGTAGGGAGAGCATCGATTGAATTGACAGAGTTGACTGCGTTGACTGGATCGTCTGGGTTGACTCGGTTGACCGGGTTGACTCGCAGGTCGTGGAGCCCACTGACGCATGCCGCTCGAATCGCGGCGGCCGGCCGGCGGAGGGCGGTGGCCGCTTCTTGGAAGCTTCCCTCCTGGGAGTAGAGACACACGAGCCGCCCGTGCACCCGGTTGTAGCGAAGGAATCCGCGTCGGATTCAGCATCGGATCCCGCTTCAAAAGCACTGCTGGTGAAGCCATAGAAATTATCACCATTATGAAAATCATAATCATCGTCGTTCCCGTTCTCGTCGTTGTCTGAAGCGTCGCTGGTGATGTCAAGAGTGAGAATCCCCTTCACCATATGCATCCCTCTCCGCTGGTTCGGGTGCTGCTGCTGATTCTGCCTGGCACAATCCTTTGGGTGTGGAAAATTCTCAGGCTGGGAATTCCCGAGGATATCAACCAGCAGGCCGTGATCTGCTCCCCCCGGATCTTCATCCGCCTGTGCGTCTCCCCCTCCCTCCACCAGCCCGTCACGCGCAGGGCCGGCGCTTGATGAAGCTGTTGTTCCTCCTACTTGAAGTCCGCGCCCCGCGGGTTCGTTAGCTGCTTGCGCGCCCCGCTGATTCGGGCTCTGCTGCTTCCCGCGCTGCCCCTCCGCGCCCTCCGTTTCCGCGCTCTCCCCTCCCGCGCCCTTCCCTTCCGCGCTCTGCGTTTCCAGCGCGCCCTGCGCCGCGAGGGCCGGTTTAGAGAGGTAATACGTCCCTCCCGGGTGCAGCACCTTATCCCGCGGCAGCACGGCGCGCTTCGAAGACATGGATCCCACGGAATACCCAGGATGCTCGCGCATGACGTCAGCCACCGTCAGCTGCCGCGCCGAAGCCCTTCCGCCGCCTCCGCGGGGCCTGCGCGGAACCCGACTTCGCGTGTGGTGGCGCGCGGAACGGGAGAGGTGCGCGGAGTCAAGGACGCGCGGAAGCCCGGCGATGACCGGCGCGGGCACGTCTCCGCCGCTGGCGGGATTTTTTCCGCCGCGGAGATCCTCGTTAGCGGCGGAATGCGCGGGCGTCTTTCCGCCGAAGAGATCCCCGCTGGAGGCGGAATGCGCGGGAGTCTTTCCGCCCGGCGCATACATCTTCATAGAGCCGTCGGGGAGGAGAAGCAGCACGAGGCGCGGCCCGAAGATGCGCTTCCACCGCTGCAGGCGTTCCATCAGTGGGCGCGACGGGCTCAGGAAAGGGGCCGGCTGCGCGGAAGGAGGCGCAGCGGGAGGAGGGGTGGGATCGGCGGCGGGACCGGCGGAGGGATCGGCGGCGGGATGTGTAGCAGCCGTAGTAGAAGGCGGCAAAGTCGAATCCACGCGGGTTGGTTTCATTCTGAAGGTTCCGCTCGGCGCTACTCCGCGTAGAATGGCGAGATATGGATGAGAGATATCTCCAGTCAGTGGAGGGGTGACTTTTGAGTCGACTCAAAGTATATTCCGCGTTGAACGGCGAGATATGGTTGAGAGATATCTCCAATCACTGGAAGGGTGACTCGAAGCCGACTCGTCCCTATCACTTTCCAATCTTTCCGTCGTTTTTTTCTGGTACGCAATGAATCAGAGGCCGCGGAGAGGTGTAGGAAAAACGGATGTGTATTTCGGAACGGTCTAAGCTTATTGTGGCGACATCAAGATGCGAAGGGGGTCAGGCTTCTCTGGATGGGCCTATGCTCCTTCTGGTAGCGACATCTAACCGAGGAGGAAATCGGCCTTAAGCTAGGAATGGACTCCAAACGAGGAAAGTAAATAAGCTCCCCTGTGCTGCGTGCAGATGTCACCAACAATTGACTGCACCGGAACGCACCCGGTCGCTCTGCTGCTGGTGGAAAGAAGAGGAGAGGTTTGTAACGACCCTCAAGCACGATCCTTTCACTCGCCGCTCAGTGAGCTGTTGCTGTTGCCACCCTTGACTTGAAAAATAAATGCGAGAGCAGGAGAGGAGTTTAAATAGTCGTGAAGGTCCGCTGGCAGTCACGAGGCGGTCCGGGCCCTGAATGTCGGTCGTCTGGGATCGCCGAAAGCGCATCTGGTCGGTCGTGTATTGGTCCGTCAACGATGGCCGAGTCGCCTATTATAAGGAGAAACGTCTGGTCGCGAGACATGATGTGATTGGACGGACGACTTCGCGAGTAAGAGCTTATGGTCACAAGAGGGGGATGCTGCTGCTGCTCCATCCGTGGCTTAGGCTTTTCTAGGGATAACCGTTGTTCGTCGAAGCGCAACACCCTTGGAGTTTGCATGCAGCTGTTGACTGGAGGTTTGTGGTGGAGCTATCGACGCTCATCAGAATAATTGGTTGGCAGCGAAAATAGTAAAAGCGCATCAGCGTGGAAGTTGTTTTGTTATAACCGAGATTGTAAAAAGCATTTCGCTAAAAGATTGGGCAGGGTCGTGTTTGCAAATGTGGTCTGATATGTCGTACAAACGGATCATCTCGAGTAGAGTTCAAGTCTAGGCATGGTCTGCCTGACTGTGTGGTGTATGATTCTGCTCCCTGGCAAGTCACTGGCTGGAGTCAACCCGAATGACGGGGATATGACTCGTCGAGTGGGGTAATCCACGTCAGCCGAATTCGACGTGTCCCAAGTTTACTGCCCTGCACAAACATCTCCCGATGAGCTGGCTCTTGGAGGGAGTGAAAGGCGAAGCGCCAGACGGTGAACAAAACTTGACCTGGGCAGCTGTAAAACATTTGCCTCACATGTCATCAACCCAGAATGCACTCTCTTCTCTTTCCACTAGGGACCATCATGTGAGAATTACAGTGCCGTTGCGAAAACCTGAATTCAAGAATCATATGTATAGAACAAGCAAATTAAAAGAAATATTTCAGACCTGCCCATATCCTTGCACAGTCTCCCTCCTCCTGGCCTGCTTTGTGTTGCTGTTTGCTTTGTTTGCTGCGAAGTGCTAAGCTAAGAATGGCATTCACATGCTGTTACTGAAATTTGTGCGCCTCCCACCAGCTCGCTCCCATTCACATGCTGTTAGGGCTTGTCCGCCTGAGCCGTGCTGTAGGCCTGCAGCATTAATCTCGCTGCGAGTTTTTTGCTCCGCTTCTGGTCACCTTGCCGTTGCCTCTCGTCAGTAACGACGACTGTCGCGTTCGTTGCTCCCCTCGCGAATCTCGCCAAACCCGCTCGCCTCCCATCGCCATTCGCTCCTGCTCACCGTCTCCTCCGCTCATGACCGTCGCCATCTTCCATTCGCCGTAACCTTTCGCATAACCAGCTGTATATTTTCCGTGAACGCATTCTCAGTACTTCAGCCGTCGCTCGCCAATCTCGCGCTTGGATTCGCCTGGAGTCCACACGTCGCGACGCGCGTTGCGAAGCCCAATTTTCACCTAGCCTTCGCTCGACGCATTTCCGTCCGTGTACTTCCGATTCTGTTATTCCGCGCCTGGTGCGTGCTGCTCGCCGTGACTGTTACGAATGGCGGCGCTGCTCCGCGCTGCTGCGCGATGCGCGCGGGAGGGCATCAAGAGGCGCGGAGCGGAGCGAGTCCCCGCGCGCGCCGGCTGGCTCGTGGACGGCTGGACGATTGAGGCCCGAGCATTGCTAGTAGGGCGCCTCGGAGGGAGCCGCGAGGTGCATAGCGGGCCGGCAGTTTCCGAGGCGCCCCAGAGACAGAGCCCTCCGCCGCTAACGCGCCTCGGAGGGTGCCGCGAGGTGCATAGCGGGCAGCCGATAATCATGGCGAAGCGCGGTGCGGACCTGCTGCACGACCCGTGGTACAACAAGGTGTGTGACTGTAACCGAAGGAGGCGTGCAACAAGGTGTGAGGCTGTAAGCGATGTGCGAGACTGTACGAGAGGGTGGTATAGCTAGGTGTGTGGCTGTTAGCGGGGGTGGTACAGGAAGGTGGTGTGACTGTAAGCGAGCGCTTGAAGTTTCCGAGAGGGACCGGCTAGGATTGAGCTGATGTCCCGTTTCTCCTATTCCCCAGTCCCCTCCAACGCCCCCCGTCCCTCCAACGCCCCCCGTCCCTCCCTCGCCATCGTCCTGGTCCTCGTGCTCCTCTTATCCCCAATCCCCCTCAACGATCCCCTTCACTCTCTCACCCCCTCTCCCTTTTCCCTCTTCCTATACCCCACACCAGCACACTGCGTTTGAAGCGCCTGAGAGGGACCGGCTGGGACTGAGGGGGCTGCTGCCGCCAGGGTACCAGACAATGGACGACCAAGTGGCGCAATTCAGTAAGTGCTCTTTTTTTTATATTATTCAGACGAGGCAGCTCATAGCGAGCAATGGGTTATTATCGGGTTGAGGGGGCTGCTGCTGCAGCCAGAGATTACAACGAAGCAGGTTATAGCGAGTGAGGTTTTACTGGATAGAGAGGGCTGCTGCCGCCAGGGTACCAGACATTGGACGATCAGGTGGTGCAATTCAGTAAGAGGTCTTTTGTGCTTACAACGAGGCAGCAAGCGAGCTGCTTCTACAAGGATGGACAATTGACTCTCCCAAGTATACGCCGGAACTAGCGGTACCGATCCATCCTCCTATCGAACCTAGACCCCCCATCAAGACGAAGGAAGCCTCTATCATCGTGCAAATACACACACCCATTAACATTCAAAACATCTAGCAGTTTCAGCTTTTTTTTTTAATCTTCAGGAAGGAACTCAAGCTGCTCGCAACCCTGCAGGGAGTTTTTGAGAATTCTCAAAAGCACCCGGAAGGAACTCAAGCTGCTCGCAACCCTGCAAATTTAGGGTATGCAGCCTGCTCAGCTGCACATTGTTGGAAGGAAGAGAGTTGATGCGGCTGTTGTGAACCCGTAGCATGCGGAGGAAAGGCAGCTGAGTGAGGGGAGTAGGGAGACGTGCCCCGCTTGCACACGCTGATTCTGCCCTGCTTCCCACGTCCCGCTTGCGCACGCTCTCACACGTCTCCCTTACTTCCCTCACTCAGCTGTCCTTCCTCCGTGTGCTACGGATTCGCCATCGCTTTGCTCCTTTAGCCCACCGTTGTTCAGATCCATCATGCCCCTCATGACCCTCATGCAACGTTCTTGCAAACCCAAACAGGAAGGTGACATGATCATCATGCTCGTGCAATGTCTCCATCCCCATCCGTCTCCCCTCTCCTCCCCCCTTCCCTGCTGTCACTCCCCCACCTCCAACCCCCCCTCCCTTTCCTTTTCCCCCTTCCCCGCCCCCCTCCCCCACTCCAGTGGCGGAGTACAGGAAGCTGGACCACAAGCCCGTCATGCCTCTAGCCCTGCCACTCACCTTCCGCTCATGCTCTCCCAACCCCCTCCCACCACCAGTGGCGGAGTATAGGAAGCTGGATCAGAAGTTCCTCATGCCCCTCATGCCTCTGCAATGTGCACCCCTCGCCTTGTTCTCTCTCCCCCCTCCCTTCCCCCTCCGCCCTCTCCCCTCCCACCACCAGTGGCTGAGTACAGGAAGATGGAGCAGAAGCCCGTCATGCCGGACGACCCGGTTGACCTGCAGAAGTGGCGCATTCTCAACCGCCTGCACGACCGCAACGAGACGCTCTACTACCGGGTATGATGTGACTGCACCGCACTGTACCGCACTGCACTATCACCATGTTGGATGACCCGGTTTACGGGTTGACCCGGAAGCCCCTCATGCTGGACGATCCGGTTGACCTGCAGAAGTGGCGCATTCTCAACCGCCTGCACGACCGCAATGAGACACTGTACTATCGGGTGAGAGAGAGGAGATACGGACGTGTAGTGGTGGGTGTGTGGTGACCCAGTTGACCCGGTTGACCTGATTGACCTGCAGAAGTGGCGCATTCTCAACCGCCTGCACGACCGCAATGAGACACTGTACTATCGGGTGAGAGAGAGGAGATACGGACGCGTAGTGGTGGGTGTGTGGTGACCCAGTTGACCCGGTTGACCTGGTTGACCTGCAGAAGTGGCGCATTCTCAACCGCCTGCACGACCGCAACGAGACGCTCTACTATCGGGTGAGAGAGAGGAGATACGGACGCGTAGTGGTGGGTGTGTGGTGACCCAGTTGACCCGGTTGACCCGGTCGACCTGCAGAAGTGGCGCATTCTCAACCGCCTGCACGACCGCAACGAGACGCTCTACTACCGGGTATGATGTGACTGCACCGCACTGTACCGCACTGCACTATCACCATGTTGGATGACCCGGTTTACGGGTTGACCCGGAAGCCCCTCATGCTGGACGATCCGGTTGACCTGCAGAAGTGGCGCATTCTCAACCGCCTGCATGACCGCAATGAGACACTGTACTATCGGGTGAGAGAGAGGAGATACGGACGCGTAGTGGTGGGTGTGTGGTGACCCAGTTGACCCGGTTGACCTGGTTGACCTGCAGAAGTGGCGCATTCTCAACCGCCTGCACGACCGCAACGAGACGCTCTACTATCGGGTGAGAGAGAGGAGATACGGACGCGTAGTGGTGGGTGTGTGGTGACCCAGTTGACCCGGTTGACCCGGTCGACCTGCAGAAGTGGCGCATTCTCAACCGCCTGCACGACCGCAACGAGACGCTCTACTACCGGGTATGATGTGACTGCACCGCACTGTACCGCACTGCACTATCACCATGTTGGATGACCCGGTTTACGGGTTGACCCGGAAGCCCCTCATGCTGGACGATCCGGTTGACCTGCAGAAGTGGCGCATTCTCAACCGCCTGCACGACCGCAATGAGACACTGTACTATCGGGTGAGAGAGAGGAGATACGGACGTGTAGTGGTGGGTGTGTGGTGACCCAGTTGACCCGGTTGACCTGATTGACCTGCAGAAGTGGCGCATTCTCAACCGCCTGCACGACCGCAATGAGACACTGTACTATCGGGTGAGAGAGAGGAGATACGGACGCGTAGTGGTGGGTGTGTGGTGACCCAGTTGACCCGGTTGACCTGGTTGACCTGCAGAAGTGGCGCATTCTCAACCGCCTGCACGACCGCAACGAGACGCTCTACTATCGGGTGAGAGAGAGGAGATACGGACGCGTAGTGGTGGGTGTGTGGTGACCCAGTTGACCCGGTTGACCCGGTCGACCTGCAGAAGTGGCGCATTCTCAACCGCCTGCACGACCGCAACGAGACGCTCTACTACCGGGTATGATGTGACTGCACCGCACTGTACCGCACTGCACTATCACCATGTTGGATGACCCGGTTTACGGGTTGACCCGGAAGCCCCTCATGCTGGACGATCCGGTTGACCTGCAGAAGTGGCGCATTCTCAACCGCCTGCATGACCGCAATGAGACACTGTACTATCGGGTGAGAGAGAGGAGATACGGACGCGTAGTGGTGGGTGTGTGGTGACCCAGTTGACCCGGTTGACCTGGTTGACCTGCAGAAGTGGCGCATTCTCAACCGCCTTCACGACCGCAACGAGACGCTCTACTACCGGGTATGACGTGACTGTAATGAACTCTCTACTACAAGGTGTGACGAGTGCGCGTGTGACTGTAACGGGCTGAGGAGTGACTGGGACAGGCAGGGTGAGGACCCGGTTGACCTGCAGAAGTGGCGCAGCCCCAACCGCCCGCACGACCGCAACAGACGCCTCCCCTCGCCTCCCCTCGCCTCCCATCAGCAGCAGCTCATTGCTCTGTTCGTCTCCTCCTCCCCTCCTCCCCTCGCCTCCCATCAGGTCCTGATCGACTACATTCAGGAAATGAGTCGCACTTTCCACGTCTCCACGGCCGGCACCGTGTGCCAGAAATGCAGCAGCAGCTTATTCCTCTCTGTTCTCTCCCCCTTCCTCCACTTCCCCCCTCTCCCTCCTCCCCTATCCCCTGCTCCCCATCTACGTTTCCCCCATCAGGTCTTGATAGACCACATTCAGGAGATGAGTCGCATCCTCTACGTCCCAACAGTCGGCACCGTGTGTCAAAAGTACAGCAGTCTGTTCACTGCTCTTCCCCCCTCCCCTCCTCCCCTGCTCCCTTGCTCCCTTGCTTGGCCACCTCCCCAACCTACTACCCTCCTCTCCCCCCCCCCATCAGGTCCTGATAGACCACATTCAGGAGATGAGTCGCATCCTCTACGTCCCAACAGTCGGCACCGTGTGTCAAAAGTACAGCAGTCTGTTCCGGCGGCCCCGAGGCATGTACTTCAGTGCGGCTGACCGCGGCGAGATGGCGAGTATGGTGCACAACTGGCCGGCAGACAAGGTGGGTGCTGCCGCTGTCTGTTGTGACTGAATGTGGTGACTGTATGTGGTGACTATATGTGTGTGACTGTATGTGTGTGAATGGAGACGAAGGGTGTTAGAATCACACTAGTCTGTTCAGGCGCCCCCGAGGCATGTACTTCAGTGCGGCTGACAGGGGCGAGATGGCGAGCATGGTGCGCAACTGGCCGGCTGGCAAGGTGGGGTGGCGAGAGATAAGGTGTGCTGGTTCCATGCTGTGAGTGCGTGCTGGAGTTATGTGCTGGGACTGTATGTGTGGGAAGACAGGATAGTAGTAGCAGTTTTTTCTTTTTTTTCTTTCCTTTTTTGGTTTGTGCAATGTTTTCTCTTCCATTCCTTCCTCCCTCCCTTCTCCACCCATCCAGGTGGATGTGATAGTCATGACAGACGGCAGCAAGGTGCTGGGCCTGGGAGACCTGAGAGTGCAGGCCATTCCCATCCCGTGCTGGGAGGCTGGCCGACCCGTGACTGATGGTCTGCCTACTGCTCTCTCTTCTCTCACTCTACTCTCTTCTCTCCCCTGTCCTCTTTCCCATTCTTCAGGTGGATGTGATAGTCATGACGGACGGCAGCAAGGTGCTGGGACTAGGAGACCTGGGAGTGGTGGTGCGGCTCACTGCTCTCTCTCCTCTCCCTGCTCCCCCCCTTCTCTCCATTCCCCCTTTCCCCTCTCCCTACCCTCTCCACCCATCCAGGTGGATGTGATAGTGATGACGGATGGCAGCAAGGTGCTGGGGTTGGGAGACCTCGGAGTGCAGGCCATAGCCATTCCGGTGGGCAAGCTCGACATGTATGTCGCTGCAGCCGGCATCCCCCCCAACCGGGTGAGTGTGAAAAGAGGGTGAGTGCTGGTACTGCCGCCCCTCTTGCGCTGTCTAGGCCCGGTGAGCTAGGGGGTACAGAAGGCCTGGTGAGTGGTGCACCTGGTGAGTGGTGCACCTGGTGAGAGTGGTGTGACGGACTGGTTCAGGAAGATCGACCTGGGAGTGCAGGCAGGCCATAGCTATCCCGGTGGGCAAGCTCGACATGTACGTCGCTGCTACGGGCATTCCACCCAACAGAGTGAGTGTTGCTACAGCATGCGGCACACATGCTCCTCCCCTCCCACTATAGAGCGAGTGACCTGGTAGTGCAGGCCATGGCCATCCCGGTGGGCAAGCTCCACATGTACGTCGCTGCTGCTCTCATTCCTCCCAACAGGGTGAGTGGTGGTGCGGCTAATATTAGCGTCAATGAATGTTGTGAGTGCTGCCACTGAACAGGGCGGTATAGCAGCTCCAGCTTTTCTTACTCTTCAAGCCCCAAATTAAAACTGTCTCTGCGGCTGCGGGCGTAACGCCAGGGGTTGTCTATGTGGCTGCGGGCGTAATGCCAGGGGTTACACCTGCGGCTGTGGCAGGGATGCCCCTTTTGAAATTCTCAAATGGATGCTGGTCACTTTTGAGTCGACTCGAAAGTGACCTCAGCTGCAGTGCAGGCAGACATAACGCCAAACAGGGTGGTGAATCCATTGGTCCACTGGGTACCCATCTTCCCAGTTAGTTATTTACACGTTTGGCGTGTAAATAACTAACGTGTAATGGGGTAACGTGTTGAAGTATATTTCCTTCCTTTTTTGGGTCATTTTCTTTCCGTTCTTGCAGGTGCTTCCAGTGATGTTTGATGTCGGCACCAACAACGAGGCTCTCATAAAGAATCCCCTCTGTAAGCAGACTCGCGTTAGCCTTAAGAACACATCCCAATTCCCCATTACACAATTACATCATACGTTCGCTTGCGTGCGTTTTATTTAACCCCCCACCCATCCGAACACATTTCGACCAATTCTTACCCGTTTCCACCTACGCCAACCCATTTCAACCCATGCAGACCTGGGGTTGCGCCACCCTCGCCTGGATGGGGAGCACTACCTCTCTCTCATGGACGAATTCATGGAAGCTGTATTCGTTGAGCCCTCCACCCATCCAAGCACATCTCAACCAATTCCTGCCCATTCTCACCCATTCTCACCCATTCTTACCCATTCAGACCTGGGCTTGCGCCACCCTCGACTGGATGGGGAGCACTACCTCTCTCTCATGGACGAGTTTATGGAAGCCGTCTTCTCACGCTGGCCCAACGTGATCGTGCAGGTAGGTAGCACTCGTTCAGGTAGCATCTTCTGGTGCGTGCAGGTATCACCTGGCCTGGGAGCACTACCTCTCTCTCATGGACGAGTTCATGGAAGCCGTCTTCTCTCGCTGGCCCAACGTGATCGTGCAGGTGATATTCAAAGCATGTGGGCTGCATCTGGTGCAGGTTGTTTCTCCGTCTATCACTCCACTTTATTCAATGACTCGCCCCCTGTGGGGCGCCTCAAAAGTTGTGTTCCGCTGTGCTCTTGTGTGTGGTGGTGTGTTCCCGTGTTCTTGTGTGTGTGGTTGTGTGTCTCTTTATGTGTTTGTTCACGCGTCTGTCTGTGTGTGCGTTTTTGTGTCTGTCTGTGTGTGCGTTTTTGTGTGTGTGTGTATGTACACAACCATTGCCTTGCAGTTTGAGGACTTTGAAATGCGGTGGGCCAACACCCTCATGGATCGCTACAAATCCCAGTATCGAATCTTCAACGATGATATCGAGGTGAGATCGGGAGTGAACGTATAGACGTAATGTATGGCGGGTGGGTTGATGGGGATGTATGTGGTTATGGGAAGGTGGTTGGGAGGGCCAACACCCTCATGGATCGCTACAAGTCACAGTACCGCATCTTCAACGGTGATATCGCGGTGAGATGAGATGGGTGATTGTGTGTGGGGTGTGGTTGTGTCTGATGATACCAAGGAATGGGTGGGTGTGGGCCAACAGCCTCATGGATCGCTACAAGTCAGAGTACCACATCTGTAATTATGATATCAAGGTGAGATGAGAGGGTAGGAGGGACAGAGGGGATGGATGTATGTGCATGTGGGTGGGTGGGCGACTTTTGAGACGTCTCAAAAGATGAGAGGGTAGGAGGGACAGAGGGGATGGATGTATGTGCATGTGGGTGGGTGGGCGACTTTTGAGACGTCTCAAAAGATGAGAGGGTAGGAGGGACAGAGGGGATGGATGCATGTGCATGTGGGTGTGTGGGCCAACACTCTCATGGATCACTACAAGTCACGTGAAAGAAGGAGTGTTTTGAGACGTCTCAAAAGTACCGCATCTTCAATGATGATATCGAGGTGCGCACTCCTACCAGTGGTACAGGCGGTGGGAGGGAGGGCACTGAAGGGGGGAAGTGAGTGCATATGGGCAGCAAGGGCTAACACTCTCATGGATCACTACAAGTCACAGTACCGCATCTTCAATGATGATATCGAGGTGCGCACTCCTACCAGTGGTACAGGCGGTGGGAGGGAGGGCACTGAAGGGGGGATGTGAGTGCATATGGGCAGCAAGGGCTAACACTCTCATGGATCACTACAAGTCACAGTACCGCATCTTCAATGATGATATCGAGGTGCGCACTCCTACCAGTGGTACAGGCGGTGGGAGGGAGGGCACTGAAGGGGGGATGTGAGTGCATATGGGCAGCAAGGGCTAACACTCTCATGGATCACTACAAGTCACAGTACCGCATCTTCAATGATGATATCGAGGTGCGCACTCCTACCAGTGGTACAGGCGGTGGGAGGGAGGGCACTGAAGGGGGGATGAGAGTGCATGTGGGCAGCAAGGGCTAACACTCTCATGGATCACTACAAGTCACAGTACCGCATCTTCAATGATGATATCGAGGTGCGCACTCCTACCAGGGGTACAGGCGGTGGGAGGGAGGGCACTGAAGGGGGGATGTGAGTGCATATGGGCAGCAAGGGCTAATACTCTCATGGATCACTACAAGTCACAGTACCGCATCTTCAATGATGATATCGAGGTGCGCACTCCTACCAGTGGTACAGGCGGTGGGAGGGAGGGCACTGAAGGGGGGATGTGAGTGCATATGGGCAGCAAGGGCTAACACTCTCATGGATCACTACAAGTCACAGTACCGCATCTTCAATGATGATATCGAGGTGCGCACTCCTACCAGTGGTACAGGCGGTGGGAGGGAGGGCACTGAAGGGGGGATGTGAGTGCATATGGGCAGCAAGGGCTAACACTCTCATGGATCACTACAAGTCACAGTACCGCATCTTCAATGATGATATCGAGGTGCGCACTCCTACCAGTGGTACAGGCGGTGGGAGGGAGGGCACTGAAGGGGGGATGTGAGTGCATATGGGCAGCAAGGGCTAACACTCTCATGGATCACTACAAGTCACAGTACCGCATCTTCAATGATGATATCGAGGTGCGCACTCCTACCAGTGGTACAGGCGGTGGGAGGGAGGGCACTGAAGGGGGGATGTGAGTGCATATGGGCAGCAAGGGCTAAATCTCTCATGGATCACTACAAGTCACAGTACCGCATCTTCAATGATGATATCGAGGTGCGCACTCCTACCAGTGGTACAGGCGGTGGGAGGGAGGGCACTGAAGGGGGGATGTGAGTGCATGTGGGCAGCAAGGGCTAACACTCTCATGGATCACTACAAGTCACAGTACCGCATCTTCAATGATGATATCGAGGTGCGCACTCCTACCAGGGGTACAGGCGGTGGGAGGGAGGGCACTGAAGGGGGGATGTGAGTGAGTGCATATGGGCAGCAAGGGCTAACACTCTCATGGATCACTACAAGTCACAGTACCGCATCTTCAATGATGATATCGAGGTGCGCACTCCTACCAGTGGTACAGGCGGTGGGAGGGAGGGCACTGAAGGGGGGATGTGAGTGCATATGGGCAGCAAGGGCTAACACTCTCATGGATCACTACAAGTCACAGTACCGCATCTTCAATGATGATATCGAGGTGCGCACTCCTACCAGGGGTACAGGCGGTGGGAGGGAGGGCACTGAAGGGGGGATGTGAGTGAGTGCATATGGGCAGCAAGGGCTAACACTCTCATGGATCACTACAAGTCACAGTACCGCATCTTCAATGATGATATCGAGGTGCGCACTCCTACCAGGGGTACAGGCGGTGGGAGGGAGGGCACTGAAGGGGGGATGTGAGTGCATATGGGCAGCAAGGGCTAACACTCTCATGGATCACTACAAGTCACAGTACCGCATCTTCAATGATGATATCGAGGTGCGCACTCCTACCAGTGGTACAGGCGGTGGGAGGGAGGGCACTGAAGGGGGGATGTGAGTGCATATGGGCAGCAAGGGCTAACACTCTCATGGATCACTACAAGTCACAGTACCGCATCTTCAATGATGATATCGAGGTGCGCACTCCTACCAGGGGTACAGGCGGTGGGAGGGAGGGCACTGAAGGGGGGATGTGAGTGCATGTGGGCAGCAAGGGCTAACACTCTCATGGATCACTACAAGTCACAGTACCGCATCTTCAATGATGATATCGAGGTGCGCACTCCTACCAGGGGTACAGGCGGTGGGAGGGAGGGCACTGAAGGGGGGATGTGAGTGCATGTGGGCAGCAAGGGCTAACACTCTCATGGATCACTACAAGTCACAGTACCGCATCTTCAATGATGATATCGAGGTGCGCACTCCTACCAGGGGTACAGGCGGTGGGAGGGAGGGCACTGAAGGGGGGATGTGAGTGCATATGGGCAGCAAGGGCTAACACTCTCATGGATCACTACAAGTCACAGTACCGCATCTTCAATGATGATATCGAGGTGCGCACTCCTACCAGGGGTACAGGCGGTGGGAGGGAGGGCACTGAAGGGGGGATGTGAGTGCATATGGGCAGCAAGGGCTAACACTCTCATGGATCACTACAAGTCACAGTACCGCATCTTCAATGATGATATCGAGGTGCGCACTCCTACCAGTGGTACAGGCGGTGGGAGGGAGGGCACTGAAGGGGGGATGTGAGTGCATATGGGCAGCAAGGGCTAACACTCTCATGGATCACTACAAGTCACAGTACCGCATCTTCAATGATGATATCGAGGTGCGCACTCCTACCAGTGGTACAGGCGGTGGGAGGGAGGGCACTGAAGGGGGGATGTGAGTGCATATGGGCAGCAAGGGCTAACACTCTCATGGATCACTACAAGTCACAGTACCGCATCTTCAATGATGATATCGAGGTGCGCACTCCTACCAGGGGTACAGGCGGTGGGAGGGAGGGCACTGAAGGGGGGATGTGAGTGCATGTGGGCAGCAAGGGCTAACACTCTCATGGATCACTACAAGTCACAGTACCGCATCTTCAATGATGATATCGAGGTGCGCACTCCTACCAGGGGTACAGGCGGTGGGAGGGAGGGCACTGAAGGGGGGATGTGAGTGCATATGGGCAGCAAGGGCTAACACTCTCATGGATCACTACAAGTCACAGTACCGCATCTTCAATGATGATATCGAGGTGCGCACTCCTACCAGGGGTACAGGCGGTGGGAGGGAGGGCACTGAAGGGGGGATGTGAGTGCATATGGGCAGCAAGGGCTAACACTCTCATGGATCACTACAAGTCACAGTACCGCATCTTCAATGATGATATCGAGGTGCGCACTCCTACCAGTGGTACAGGCGGTGGGAGGGAGGGCACTGAAGGGGGGATGTGAGTGCATATGGGCAGCAAGGGCTAACACTCTCATGGATCACTACAAGTCACAGTACCGCATCTTCAATGATGATATCGAGGTGCGCACTCCTACCAGGGGTACAGGTGGTGGGAGGGAGGGCACTGAAGGGGGGATGTGAGTGAGTGCATATGGGCAGCAAGGGCTAACACTCTCATGGATCACTACAAGTCACAGTACCGCATCTTCAATGATGATATCGAGGTGCGCACTCCTACCAGTGGTACAGGCGGTGGGAGGGAGGGCACTGAAGGGGGGATGTGAGTGCATATGGGCAGCAAGGGCTAACACTCTCATGGATCACTACAAGTCACAGTACCGCATCTTCAATGATGATATCGAGGTGCGCACTCCTACCAGTGGTACAGGCGGTGGGAGGGAGGGCACTGAAGGGGGGATGTGAGTGCATGTGGGCAGCAAGGGCTAAATCTCTCATGGATCACTACAAGTCACAGTACCGCATCTTCAATGATGATATCGAGGTGCGCACTCCTACCAGTGGTACAGGCGGTGGGAGGGAGGGCACTGAAGGGGGGATGTGAGTGCATGTGGGCAGCAAGGGCTAACACTCTCATGGATCACTACAAGTCACAGTACCGCATCTTCAATGATGATATCGAGGTGCGCACTCCTACCAGGGGTACAGGCGGTGGGAGGGAGGGCACTGAAGGGGGGATGTGAGTGAGTGCATATGGGCAGCAAGGGCTAACACTCTCATGGATCACTACAAGTCACAGTACCGCATCTTCAATGATGATATCGAGGTGCGCACTCCTACCAGTGGTACAGGCGGTGGGAGGGAGGGCACTGAAGGGGGGATGTGAGTGCATATGGGCAGCAAGGGCTAACACTCTCATGGATCACTACAAGTCACAGTACCGCATCTTCAATGATGATATCGAGGTGCGCACTCCTACCAGTGGTACAGGCGGTGGGAGGGAGGGCACTGAAGGGGGGATGTGAGTGCATATGGGCAGCAAGGGCTAACACTCTCATGGATCACTACAAGTCACAGTACCGCATCTTCAATGATGATATCGAGGTGCGCACTCCTACCAGTGGTACAGGCGGTGGGAGGGAGGGCACTGAAGGGGGGATGTGAGTGCATGTGGGCAGCAAGGGCTAACACTCTCATGGATCACTACAAGTCACAGTACCGCATCTTCAATGATGATATCGAGGTGCGCACTCCTACCAGGGGTACAGGCGGTGGGAGGGAGGGCACTGAAGGGGGGATGTGAGTGCATATGGGCAGCAAGGGCTAACACTCTCATGGATCACTACAAGTCACAGTACCGCATCTTCAATGATGATATCGAGGTGCGCACTCCTACCAGTGGTACAGGCGGTGGGAGGGAGGGCACTGAAGGGGGGATGTGAGTGCATGTGGGCAGCAAGGGCTAACACTCTCATGGATCACTACAAGTCACAGTACCGCATCTTCAATGATGATATCGAGGTGCGCACTCCTACCAGGGGTACAGGCGGTGGGAGGGAGGGCACTGAAGGGGGGATGTGAGTGCATATGGGCAGCAAGGGCTAACACTCTCATGGATCACTACAAGTCACAGTACCGCATCTTCAATGATGATATCGAGGTGCGCACTCCTACCAGGGGTACAGGCGGTGGGAGGGAGGGCACTGAAGGGGGGATGTGAGTGAGTGCATATGGGCAGCAAGGGCTAACACTCTCATGGATCACTACAAGTCACAGTACCGCATCTTCAATGATGATATCGAGGTGCGCACTCCTACCAGTGGTACAGGCGGTGGGAGGGAGGGCACTGAAGGGGGGATGTGAGTGCATATGGGCAGCAAGGGCTAACACTCTCATGGATCACTACAAGTCACAGTACCGCATCTTCAATGATGATATCGAGGTGCGCACTCCTACCAGTGGTACAGGCGGTGGGAGGGAGGGCACTGAAGGGGGGATGTGAGTGCATGTGGGCAGCAAGGGCTAAATCTCTCATGGATCACTACAAGTCACAGTACCGCATCTTCAATGATGATATCGAGGTGCGCACTCCTACCAGTGGTACAGGCGGTGGGAGGGAGGGCACTGAAGGGGGGATGTGAGTGCATGTGGGCAGCAAGGGCTAACACTCTCATGGATCACTACAAGTCACAGTACCGCATCTTCAATGATGATATCGAGGTGCGCACTCCTACCAGGGGTACAGGCGGTGGGAGGGAGGGCACTGAAGGGGGGATGTGAGTGCATATGGGCAGCAAGGGCTAACACTCTCATGGATCACTACAAGTCACAGTACCGCATCTTCAATGATGATATCGAGGTGCGCACTCCTACCAGTGGTACAGGCGGTGGGAGGGAGGGCACTGAAGGGGGGATGTGAGTGCATATGGGCAGCAAGGGCTAACACTCTCATGGATCACTACAAGTCACAGTACCGCATCTTCAATGATGATATCGAGGTGCGCACTCCTACCAGGGGTACAGGCGGTGGGAGGGAGGGCACTGAAGGGGGGATGTGAGTGCATGTGGGCAGCAAGGGCTAACACTCTCATGGATCACTACAAGTCACAGTACCGCATCTTCAATGATGATATCGAGGTGCGCACTCCTACCAGTGGTACAGGCGGTGGGAGGGAGGGCACTGAAGGGGGGATGTGAGTGCATATGGGCAGCAAGGGCTAACACTCTCATGGATCACTACAAGTCACAGTACCGCATCTTCAATGATGATATCGAGGTGCGCACTCCTACCAGTGGTACAGGCGGTGGGAGGGAGGGCACTGAAGGGGGGATGTGAGTGCATATGGGCAGCAAGGGCTAACACTCTCATGGATCACTACAAGTCACAGTACCGCATCTTCAATGATGATATCGAGGTGCGCACTCCTACCAGTGGTACAGGCGGTGGGAGGGAGGGCACTGAAGGGGGGATGTGAGTGCATATGGGCAGCAAGGGCTAACACTCTCATGGATCACTACAAGTCACAGTACCGCATCTTCAATGATGATATCGAGGTGCGCACTCCTACCAGTGGTACAGGCGGTGGGAGGGAGGGCACTGAAGGGGGGATGTGAGTGCATGTGGGCAGCAAGGGCTAAATCTCTCATGGATCACTACAAGTCACAGTACCGCATCTTCAATGATGATATCGAGGTGCGCACTCCTACCAGTGGTACAGGCGGTGGGAGGGAGGGCACTGAAGGGGGGATGTGAGTGCATGTGGGCAGCAAGGGCTAACACTCTCATGGATCACTACAAGTCACAGTACCGCATCTTCAATGATGATATCGAGGTGCGCACTCCTACCAGTGGTACAGGCGGTGGGAGGGAGGGCACTGAAGGGGGGATGTGAGTGCATGTGGGCAGCAAGGGCTAAATCTCTCATGGATCACTACAAGTCACAGTACCGCATCTTCAGTGATGATATCGAGGTGCGGTGCTGCTGGGAGGGAGGATGCGATGGGAGCGAGGATGTAAACGTATGCGAGGGTATTAAACGTAACCACCCACCCTTACCAATGGTTCTGAGGTATTATTTGCCTGGATAATATGGTACCAATCTCCCTTCCCCCCTTTTTCCCTGCATCAGGGCACAGGCGGAGTGGCAGTAGCAGGCATTCTCAATGTCCTACGAGCACAGCACCTCCCGCTTTCCGCCCCTCCCCTGTGCATAATCTCCTTGCCCTCCCGTTAACCAACTTTTTCTAGTTCACAGGGCAGAGGCGGAGTGGCAGTGGCGGGCATTCTGAACGTGCCCCGGGCGCAGCACCTCGCCTTCTCCTTCTTTGTACCCAACCCATTTTCGCCCCCCCCCCCCTTCCTTCCTCCTTCCCCTGCATCAGGGCACAGGCGGAGTGGCAGTGGCGGGCATTCTCAACGTGCTGCGGGCGCAGCACCTCCCCTTCCTCCTCTCCTCCTCTCTAACCAACCAAGTCCCTCTTTCCCTAACCCCCCCTTCCACCCCTTTCCCCCACGCCACAGGGCACAGGCGGAGTGGCAGTGGCGGGCATTCTCAACGTGCTGAGAGCGCAGCACCTCCCCCCTAAAGCTCTCGCCGACACCAGAGTGGTGGTTGCCGGCACTGGCAGGTATGAGGTGGGAAGGGACGGGAAGGCGGGGGGGGAAGGGCAGGGGGAAGAGCAGGGGCAACTGACTGGCAGGTACATGCTGAGAGTGCAGCACCTCTCCCCTAAAGCTTTTGCGGACACCAGAGTGGTGGTTGCTGGCACTGGCAGGTGCGGGGTGGTTGGGGGAAGGGACGAGAAGGGTGCGCTAACAGGCACGGACTGGTAAAGGGAAGGGTGGGATGGGGAAAGGGTATTCTGAACGTGCTGAGAGCACAACACCTCCCGCCTAAAGCTCTCGCCGACACCAGAGTGGTGGTTGCTTGCTGGCACTGGCAGGTGCGGCAAAGCGAGCGGGTAGGAGGGAAGCAAGGTTGTAAATTTCGCTACGCAAAACTTTCTTGAAGAAAGTTTGCTCGAGATTAAACAAGTAAAATCAACACAGGAACTGAAAGACCTGCCGCCTGAAGGAACTGAAAGACCTGCCGCCTGAAGGAACTGAAAGACCTGCCGCCTGAAGGAACTGAAAGACCTGCCGCCTGAAGGAACTGAAACACCTGCCGAAAATCCAAGCTGCCATATGGGGGAGATTAACTTTTGAGGCGCCTCCGAAATCCAAGCTGCCATATGGGGGAGATTAACTTTTGAGGCGCCTCCAAAATCCAAGCTGCCATATGGGGGAGATTCACTTTTGAGGCGCCTCCAAAATCCAAGCTGCCATATGGGGGAGATTAACTTTTGAGGCGCCTCCAAAATCCAAGCTGCCATATGGGGGAGATTAACTTTTGAGGCGCCTCCAAAATCCAAGCTGCCATATGGGGGGGATTAATGGTGTGTCGAAAAAAAAAAAATTTGAATGCAGACAGCAGCAGCACTCATCCAGCACCTAACACTCCCCTCAAGGTCCCTGCTCTCTTTTGTTTCCCTTCCTCCTAACCTCACCTCGAACCCCCTCCCCTCTTTCTTGCTCCCACCACAGGGAAGCAGAGGGTGTGCTGACAGCAGTGCGGAGGGCAATGGCAGTGCAGATCGGGCAGGGTAAAGGCGCCATGGATCGGGCAGCTGAAAACTTCTGGCTCGTGGATGACCAGGTGAGGCGTTGACTGGGATTTGACCTGCGTTGACTTGGATTGAAACATGCTGACTTGGGTTGACTTGGGGCTGACCAGGTCTGACTCCTTCTGACCTTCGTTGACTTGCATTGACCCTGTGTTTACCTCCAGGGTCTCATGACCGACGCCAGGGTGAGCTGTGCCCTGGAGTTTGAAGACTTCTTGAGGCGGTCGAACGAGGATGAGAGGGTCTGACTTGCATTGACTTGCGTTGACCTGTGTTGACCCTCTGTTTTTTCCAGGGCCTGATGACAGGTGCGAGGGTGAGCTGTGTGCCCCCGAGTTTGAAGACTTCTTGAGGCAGGCAGATGAGGATGAGAGGCTCAAGGAGGGCACGAGGTAGTCTAACCTGCCTTGACATTCATTGATCTCCGTTGACCCTGTCCTCCCTCCAGGGTCTCATGACAGACGCCAGGGTGAGCTGTGCCCTGGAGTTTGAAGACTTCTTGAGGCGGTCGAACGAGGATGAGAGGCTCAAGGAGGGAACGAGTCTGGCGCACGTGGTGAAGCGGGTGAAGCCGCATGTCCTGGTGGGGCTGACCGGATCGGGCCATCTGTTTGACGACGACGTGCTCAAGGCCATGAAGAATGCTGATGTGTCGCGCCCGGCCGTCTTCGCGCTCTCCCAACCTGTCAAGCAAGGTGAGTGCCAAACGGGTTGCTGTCTGGGCAGGTGGGCACAGCTGGGTAAAGTCGAATCACATGGGCCCAGCTGCACGTGGTGAAGCCGGGGGGTGAAGCCGCATGTGCTTGTGGGGCTGACGGGGTCGGGCCATCTGTTTGACGACGACGTTCTAAAAGCCATGAAGAATGCTGACGTGTCGCGCCTGGCTGTCTTTGCGCTCTCCCAGCCTGTCAAGCAAGGTGAGTGCCAAACGGGTTGCTGTCTGGGCAGGTGGGCACAGCTGGGTAAAGTCGAATCACATGGGCCCAACCGCACGTGGTGAAGCCGGGGGGTGAAGCCGCATGTGCTTGTGGGGCTGACGGGGTCGGGCCATCTGTTTGACGACGACGTTCTAAAAGCCATGAAGAATGCTGACGTGTCGCGCCTGGCTGTCTTTGCGCTCTCCCAGCCTGTCAAGCAAGGTGAGTGCCGAACGGGTTGCTGTCTGGGCAGGTGGGCACAGCGGGGTAAAGTCGAATCACATGGGCCCAACCGCACGTGGTGAAGCCGGGGGGTGAAGCCGCATGTGCTTGTGGGGCTGACGGGGTCGGGCCATCTGTTTGACGACGACGTCCTCGAGGCTATGAAGAACGCCAACGTGTCTCGCCCGGCTGTGTTTGCGCTTTCTCAACCTGTGAAACAAGGTGAAGTGCGGTTAGGAAAGGTAAAGGGAGGTGGATAGAGGGAATGGATTGGGGTGGGGCTGACGGGGTCGGGCCATCTGTTTGACGACGACGTGCTCAAGGCCATGAAGAATGGTGACGTGTCTCGGCCTGCTGTATTTGCCCTGTCGCAACCAGTCAAGCAAGGTAAGGCCCGAGGTCTGGTCTGGCGCACATGGTGAAGCCGGGGGGTGAAGCCGCATGTCCTGGTGGGGCTGACCGGGTCGGGCCATCTGTTTGACGACGACGTTCTCAAGGCCATGAAGAATGCCGATGTGTCGCGCCCGGCCGTCTTCACGCTCTCCCAACCTGTCAAGCAAGGTGAGTGCCGAACGGGTTGCTGTCTGGGCAGGTGGGCACAGCTGGGTAAAGTCGAATCACATGGGCCCAGCTGCACGTGGTGAAGCCGGGGGGTGAAGCCGCATGTGCTGGTGGGGCTGACCGGGTCGGGCCATCTGTTTGACGACGACGTTCTCAAGGCTATGAAGAATGCTGACGTCTTTCGCCTGGCCGTCTCTGCGCTCTCTTAACCAGTGAAACAAGGTGAGGCGCTAGGGGATTGCTGGTTGGCCAAGGGAAGGAAGTTGAGTGGGGTGGGGCTGACGGGATCATCTGTTTGGGCCCATCTGTTTGACGACGGCGTTCTCAAGGCCATGAAGAACGCGGATGTGTCTCGGCCTGCTGTCTTTGTGTCTCGGCCTGCTGTCTTTGTGTCTCGGCCTGCTGTCTTTGTGTCTCGGCCTGCTGTCTTTGTGTCTCGGCCTGCTGTCTTTGCTCTGTCGCAGCCAGTGAAACAAGGTGAGGTGTTTGAGGGGTTGCTGGTCTAAAATGATGAAACAAGGTGAAGTGTGGTCAGCCATGGTGAAGTGCGGTGAAGCAAGGTGGAGCAGGGCAGGTCGCGGCATCTGTTTGACGACGGCGTGCTGAAAGCCATGAAGAATCAAGGTTCAAACGTGAAGGAATCACTTAAGCAAAAGGATCAAGACTTTCGTTAAGATTTGCGCTCCCTCCTTCCCTCCCCCGGTACTCTCTTCCCTCTTTCTCCCCCCCCCCACGCGCTCTCTCCTTCCTCCCCTCCCCCAGCGGAGTGCACGGCACAGGACGCATTCAAGCTGCTGGGCCCCAACGCGCTCTTTGCCAGTGGCTGCACCTTCCCGGACGTCCGATTCCGTGAGTCCTGCTCCCCATGCAATCCCCCTGCTACCCTCTTGTTGAAGCACCATACAAAGTATCTCCTCTCGCCTCTCCCCTCTTCACCAACTGCTGCACCTTCCTGGACGTCCGATTCCGTGAGTCTTGCTCCTGCCTGCAACCCCCCTGCTACCCTCCTCTCCCCTCTTCACCAACTGCTGCACCTTCCTGGACGTCCGATTCCGTGAGTCTTGCTCCTGCCTGCAACCCCCCTGCTACCCTCCTCTCCCCTCTTCACCAACTGCTGCACCTTCCTGGACGTCCGATTCCGTGAGTCTTGCTCCTGCCTGCAACCCCCCTGCTACCCTCCTCTCCCCTCTTCACCGACTGCTGCACCTTCCCGGACGTCCGATGCCGTGAGTCCTGCTCCTGCATGCAGCCCCTCTGGTATGCCCCTCTGGTATGCCCCTCTGGTATGCCCCTCTGGTATGCCCCTCTGGTATGCCCCTCTGGTATGCCCCTCTGGTATGCCCCTCTGGTATGCCCCTCTGGTATGCCCCTCTGGTATGCCCCTCTGGTATGCCCCTCTGGTATGCCCCTTCTATCCTCTGCCTCCCCTCACCACCTCCTCTCATACGGTCCTTCCTTCTATCCTCTCCCTCCACACGAGCCAAGCCAGCAACGTGTTCCTGTCTCTAGGATAGGCTGGTTTGGGTATGGGATGTCTTCCAGGCAGGCAAATTTATGACTTTTGAGTCGACTCAAAAGTCAAGCCACCAACGTGTTCCTGTCTCTAGGATAGGCTGGTTTGGGCATTCGATGTCTTCCAGGCAGGCAAATCTACCCCCCTCTTCAACCTTCTCTGCTCGCACCCGCACCCTCCTCCCGCCCTCCGCCCTTCCCTTCCTTTCTCAGCAAACGGCAAGGTGGGGCACACGAGCCAAGCCAACAACGTGTTTCTGTCGCCAGGGTAGGCCGGGTTGGCATGCAGAATGGCATGGGGTGACACATGGGTAATGGCATGCGTGAGGGTGTAAGTGATGGCATGAGATGACACATGGGTAATGGCATGCGTGAGGGTGTTAGTGATGGCATGGGATGACACATGGGTAATGGCATGCGTGAGGGTGTACGTGATGGCATGGGATGACACATGGTTAATGGCATGCGTGAGGGTGTAAGTGATGGCATGGGGTGACACATGGGTAATGGCATGCGTGAGGGTGTAAGCGATGGCATGGGATGACTCATGGGTAATGGCATGCGTGAGGGTGTTAGTGATGGCATGGGATGACACATGGGTAATGGCATGCGTGAGGGTGTACGTGATGGCATGGGATGAAACATGGGTAATGGCATGCGTGAGGGTGTAGGTGATGGCATGGGATGACTCATGGGTAATGGGATGCGTGAGGGTGTACGTGATGGCATGGGTGACGGACGGGTGGCTGACATTCATTGACTTTGGTTTACTTGACTCCATGAATGAATTTCCGCCGTTGGATTTCGACCTTATGACAACCTCATATGGACGTGAGGGTGAGCTTATGAACACTCGTCTCAATATTGTTTTTCCAACGCCTCATAAATCTCAACCTTATGACACTCGCCTCGTTAAAATTTGATTTTGTGACCTCCCTTCCCCGCTCCGCCTTCGGCCCCTCCGTCCTGAGTCGAGTTTTGAGTCGACTCAAAACTTGCCATCGGCCCCTCCGCTTTTGAGTGGACTCAAAGCCTTCCCTGCACCGCCTTGGGCCCCTCCCTCCGTCCGCCCCTCTCACCATCAGCATTGTGTCAGGGTCGCTCCTCCTGGGCGAATGTGAGGTCCCACGGGTCCTCACTCATCGGGGAAGAGCAGCAAGATAGAGATCCTTTTAGCAGTAGGATCAAAGCCTTGTAAAAATCCGTCCCCTCCGTCCGTCCCCTCTCACCATCAGCATTGTGTCAGGGTCTCTTCTCTCGGGCGCTCGCATGATTTCAGACGGCATGCTGCAGGCTGCAGCACACCAGTGAGTGCTGATTACATGGCATAGCATGGCATGGTATGGCATGGCATGGCATGGCATGAAGAGTGGTGCGGTTTGAGTGATTTCAGACGCCATGCTGCAGGCTGCGGCACACCAGTGAGTTGATAAGTACACGGCGTATGGTGAGTTCTGGCTGCAAGGGAGGCGGGGGGCAGGGAGGGTGTATGACAGGTCTGTTGTAAATCAGATTGGTTGGTTTCAAACGGCACGCTGCAGTCTGCAGCGCACCAGTGAGTGCTGAGTGCATCACACATAGCATGGTGCATCACACATAGCATGGTGCATCACACATAGCATGGTGCATCACACATAGCATGGTGCATCACACATAGCATGGTGCATCACACATAGCATGGTGCATCGCACATAGCATGGTGCATCGCACATAGCATGGAGCATCGCACATAGCATGGTGCATCGCACATAGCATGGTGCATCGCACATAGCATGGTGCATCGCACATAGCATGGTGCATCGCGCATAGCATGGTGCATCACACATAGCATGGTGCATCACACATAGCATGGTGCATCACACATAGCATGGTGCATCACACATAGCATGGTGCATCACACATAGCATGGTGCATCGCACATAGTATGGTGCATCGCACATAGCATGGAGCATCGCACATAGCATGGTGCATCGCACATAGCATGGTGCATCGCACATAGCATGGTGCATCGCACATAGCATGGTGCATCGCGCATAGCATGGTGCATCACACATAGCATGGTGCATCACACATAGCATGGTGCATCACACATAGCATGGTGCATCACACATAGCATGGTGCATCACACATAGCATGGTGCATCACACATAGCATGGTGCATCACACATAGCATGGTGCATCACACATAGCATGGTGCATCGCACATAGCATGGTGCATCACACATAGCATGGTGCATCACACATAGCATGGTGCATCCCACATAGCATGGTGCATCACACATAGCATGGTGCATCACACATAGCATGGTGCATCACACATAGCATGGTGCATCACACATAGCATGGTGCATCACACATAGCATGGAGCATCGCACATAGCATGGTGCATCGCACATAGCATGGTGCATCACACATAGCATGGTGCATCGCACATAGCATGGTGCATCACACATAGCATGGTGCATCACACATGGCATGGTGCATCACACATGGCATGGTGCATCGCACATAGCATGGTGCATCGCACATAGCATGGTGCATCGCACATAGCATGGTGCATCGCACATAGCATGGTTCATCGCACATAGCATGGTGCATCGCACATAGCATGGTGCATCGCACATAGCATGGTGCATCGCACATAGCATGGTGCATCCCACATAGCATGGTGCATCGCACATAGCATGGTGCATCGCACATAGCATGGTGCATCCCACATAGCATGGTGCATCCCACATAGCATGGTGCATCGCACATAGCATGGTGCATCACACATAGCATGGTGCATCACACATAGCATGGTGCATCACACATAGCATGGTGCATCGCACATAGCATGGTGCATCACACATAGCATGGTGCATCGCACATAGCATGGTGCATCGCACATAGCATGGTGCATCGCACATAGCATGGTGCATCGCACATAGCATGGTGCATCGCACATAGCATGGTGCATCGCACATAGCATGGTGCATCGCACATAGCATGGTGCATCGCACATAGCATGGTGCATCGCACATAGCATGGTGCATCGCACATAGCATGGTGCATCGCACATAGCATGGTGCATCGCACATAGCATGGTGCATCACACATAGCATGGTGCATCACACATAGCATGGTGCATCACGCATGGTAAATCCGGGGCCAGTTTCGCTAGCCGATAGCTGGGGTAAAGAGTGCATGGCATGTCATGTGCATGACAAAAAGCTAGCCGAGTACATGACAGATGACCAGGTGCACAGGGGCATGCTGTACCCATGCATGAGTGCAATCTATGACATCGCATCCCATGGTTAATTCACAACTCCATCCCTCTATATCCACTCTCCCTCTATCCCCGTCCCTCACCCCAACCAGGCTAGCAGAGTACATGACAGATGACCAGGTGCACAGGGGCATGCTGTACCCATGCATGAGCCACATCCGTGACATCACATCCAATGTGGCGGTGGCGGTGGCCAGGCGGGCGGCGGAGGAGGATCTAGCGGACGGCATTTCCAACTTGCGCGCCGACCAACTTCTTTCCATGTCCAAGGTACTGAGTTAGTGTTGTGCGAAATATTGTGCCTAGTGCCACATTATTGCCTTGCCATATACATGTTTTACTTCACAAATTGTTGCATAATGTGAATCAATTGTATGGCTTCCCATCCTTGTCGTTTCCAGGCACAATTGCAAAAGGAAGTAGAGAAGCGGATGTGGGTGCCTAATTACTCCCCCTTAATATTCGGAGGGGACGTGTAATCTTGAAAATATCTTGAAACCCTGTAGGGCGCTTGCTCCCTTGTATATCTGTACCGGTATGTCAATAACCCGTTTACTTTTATGGTGTATTTTAGGAATTTGGTGCTTACAAGTGCTAAATATAAAGTTAGATAACAGCAGTGATGGGCAATTGCTGTTTGCTGTAGGCCCAGACTTTGCAACCCTTTTCCCGCGACATTTGCGAGCGCGTACGACTCTTCGTACGGGTAACAGAAATCCATTGAGCCGTTCCTCCGCCGTCCCGAACTGAACGTGGAGGAGCTTTGATTCGTGCGCGGCTCGACCAAATGGCGAAGCAACTTGGTCCGTCCGAACCGAATACGACCGATGTTTCCCCGCCAGGTAAAAGTGGCACTTCCTAGCGGCCATGTCATGTCATGCATCAGTTTTGATATTTAACATTTCGTGCAAATTCGTACCTGAGACTACCCTAGGAAACTGCTCACAAACCATCAACTACCCCCAACATCCGCCCCCCGTGATACAACCAGCCAATCCCCATCATTCCAAGTGCCTGACAGCCCTAGGCCAAACCTAAAGCCGAAGCTTGGGTAGAGTAACACAGTTCTAGTTTCCGAAATGGACCTTTTCTCACTAGGACCAAGATTGGTGCCCACTCCACAGCAGTGGCAGACACAGGAAGCAGCAGAGAGACGAGACTCGAGCACGGCACAGCCAAGCTTGCAGTTCTGTTTTTGTTCCTCACTTCTCCAGCGAGGCGCCTCTGTTGCTGACAGCGCATCGACAACACTCTCTTCGTGGCTGTGCATACACGGCCTCTGTTCCTGATCCTGTACTCGTTCAGTAGTGGAGTGCATTCATAGCTCAGTCCAAAGCATTCTCGGCTTCTTCAAGTCGAAGGTGTCACTGTTCGCGCAAGAGGCTTTACAAGACGCGCACACCTAGTAGGCTAAGGAAATGCGCATTTGTAGCGTTTTATGATCATCAGTACCAACGGACTGCGCTTTCTTGAACCAAATCGTAGTAGGCGTTCTCGTCGATTGCGTTCCCAGGAAAGAGGGCTAAAAGAAAGCTAGAAATAAAACATATCTTGCGGCGCTCACGGTCCCGTCTCGTCAGTTTTGGTACTCTCGGCGACCAGACTAGGCCTCTCTAATGGCTCGAATCGCCTTCTTAGCCTTAACTTATGCAACCCTCAGCTTGTTGGTTTTAACACCTTTCAATGCCGCAAATGCGGCGCTAGCACCGTCATCCGCACCGGAGGAATATGCAGCAGGACTCGCCGTGACGGGACTCGCCGCGGGGGCAGCGCCAGCGGCTGCGGCGTTCCCGATCTGCCCGCGGACGGGCGCACGGCCCGTGAAGCCGACAGTGCCGCCCATTCGGTGCCTGTCTGCCGCCCAGTACACGTGCTGTAGCTCGTGCGAGGACTTCGTCATTTCGCTACAGCAGGTAGACCATATTTTCGCCTCAGCAGGTAGGCCGTCATTTCGCTACAGCAGATAGGCCGGCTTCTCGCTACAGCAGGTGGCCGTGAAGTCGACACAATCAGGAGAAAAGTCTAAAGCGATTACCATGCCGTATCACGTACAAGATGGTAGCTAGTCTCTAAGGCATTATCATCTCATACACGCCACCATCATAATGCCCGAAGTATTCGTTTTTTGAGGCGCCTCAAAGATCGATTACCGTGTCGAATCACGTACGATGCGTTATTTTTGTTCACATTTTCATCTCATCGTACCGAAGTGTTCGCTTTTCGAGGCGCCTCAAAGATCGTCTCGGTAGTCTCCAAAGTCCTACATTCATCTCCCACTATCATAACTCCCAGTTTAAAGACGTCGAGAAACTCCCACTATCGAAATCTCCCAAGTTGTAGTAGTCAGTATCGTTCCTCGCGACACCCTAGCGCTTCAGCCTCGTACTATGCTGACTGTTCCGTATTCTCCCATCAACCCCCCATACTCCCTCCGTAGAACGCGGTGGTTAACCCGACGGCGCGTCCCCGGGCTGTAGCGCGACCGCCTCGCGCTACAGCTGGCGGCATTGTGTTACTCAACCCCGTCCCCCTTTCCATTCGTTTTCGATGTAATGAACGCCCCGCACCTGCTCCTGGCTGTATCGCCGCCGCTTCGCGCTACAGCTTGCGATTTTCCATCCTCATCCCCTATCCCCCTTTTTCCCTCCCCCCATCCGCGCCTCCTTCCCCTCTTCCCCGTCCCTCCAATCTTTCCCCGCAGAACGCCGTGAACGCGACGGCTCTTCTCTTGGCTGTAGCGCCGAGCCTCGTGCTACAGTTGGCGGACTCCACTCTCACCAACTCACCCCCCTTTTTGTCCCCGCACTCTCCCCCTTTCCCCGCAACCCCGCAGAACGCGGTGAACGCGACGGCGCTGCTGCTGGCTGTAGCGCCGGCCTCGTTCCACAGCTGGCGGACTCCACGCTTACCCCCTCCTGCCTTTCCCCCGTCTCCACTTCCCCCGATCGTTTCCCTGCAGAACGCGGTCAATGCCACGGCGCTTCTGCTGGCTGTAGCGCCGAGCCTCGTGCTACAGCTGGCGGATTCCACGCTGGGCTCCGACTATATCAGTCGTGTGACGTCACCCCTCTGACCCCCCTGTCCCCCTTATATGTCACCCGCAGAACGCGGTCAATGCCACGGTGCTTCTGCTGGCTACAGCTGGCGGACTCCACGCTGGGCTCCAACTATATCAGTCGTGCGACGTCACCACTCTCACCCCCCTGTCCCCCTTATATGTCACCCCAGAACGCGGTCAACGCGACGGCGCTTCTCCTGGCCGTAGCGCCCAGCTTGGTGCTGCAGCTGGCGGACTCCACCCTGGGCTCCGACTACCAGTCGTGCGACGTCACGGGGCCTTATACCGAGGGGCAGTTCATACTGGAGCAGTTTATATGCGGGATCACGTGTAACCCGGGTGAGCGCGCGAGAGTGTGTGTCGTCCGGGTTTGTATGTAAGAACGAAAGTGCAATAAGTATTTGATTAGCAGTTTACATGCGGGATCACTTGTACCCCGAATGAGTGCGCGAGAGAGAGAGAGAGAGAGAGAGAGAGAGAGAGAGAGAGAGAGAGAGAGAGAGAGAGAGAGAGAGAGAGAGAGAGAGAGAGAGAGAGAGAGAGAGAGAGAGAGAGAGAGAGAGAGAGGCTCCCCCTAATGGACCCCACCTCCGGCTCCGCGCACGCCCTGCCTGCACGCCTTGCAGCAGCGGAAGCAGCCCTCCCCTCCGAGGCTCTAGAAGCTCTCCAGGCCGGGAAAGCAGACCCACAGGGCCTCAAGCTGCAGCAGTCTCTAGCGCTGGCGGTTCAGACACGCCGCTTCCTGAGGGTCATGAACGAGGCAAGGCGGATGCGCCCCAACCCCCTCTCTGGCCATGCCCAGAGATTGCAGTCGGTGCTCGGCCCTGGTGCGGGAGATTGGCTGCTGGCACTACCCATCATACCCTCGCTTAGGATGGGACCCTCCTAGCTCTCCTCCGCTGCTGCGTTCCGCCTGGGCCTCCCCCTACCTAAGTTGGATCTTACGTTTTCGGTTCCTTACGTTTTCGGACGATTACGACAATTTTTACGTTTACGAACGGTCGCCCAGATTCGGCCTTACGTTTACGGTCACCTAAAAACTTTTCTGAGCTGCCCGAGGGAAAAAAACGACCAGAGCATCAAGAAGATTCCCTCCAACCTAGTTCCGTAGTTTGATATCTTGTCGACGTCAACCTAGCAGCTCGTTCGCAACCTATCGTGTTTCTCTCTTACTAACCTGGTCAATGCTGAATTTGAAACTTTCACGGCCTTGAAAGGCGTTCCATACGTAGTAAAGTCGCTATTCTAGAAAGGCACATGACAAATAAGTGGTACGATCTGGTACCCGTACACAATCCAATAAAAAGTATCACATTAGTTTTTTTTTCCTGCTCGCCTCATACTTACGTGTAATTTTACGCTTTCGCTTACGTTTACGCTAAATTTCGCGAAATTTACGTTTACGAGACCTCAAAAAACGTAAGAGACCAACTTAGCCCCCTACCTATCCCCAGGCGCTGCGACTGCCACTACCGCACCAAATTCCCTGATGACCGCCTCCCAAACCATCTCATGCGCTGCGAGAAAGGGGGGGGAAGGATTGCGACTCACCATGCGCTCAGGGACGAGATTGCTTTGAATGCGGCAGAGGCGGGATTCACGGTGCACAAAGAAACCTATGTATACTCTCTCGTTGAAAACCTGAAGGCGGACGTCGCAATCCGCCATCCCCGGACGGGAGAGGTTTGGATGTGCGACGTGGCAGTGACGGACCCCGTTTCTCACCAAGATGAGAACTGCAATAGAGCACCGGGGTGGGCGGCTAGGGCAGCTGCGGACAAGAAGGAGCAGAAATACGCGCGCCGGAATGCGTGGGTGGGCTTTCATGCCCTAGCGGTAGAGACATATGGGTACCCCTCGCCCGGGGTGTTGGCATTCTTGCGGCAGTGCGCGGAGCTGGCGGCCAAGTTGCGATTCAGCGCAGCCCCCAACTCCTACGAGGCCGCCAAGCTGCTGACGGAATACCGCCAGCGTTGGAGCGTGTGCCTCCAAAAAGCACAAGCCTACGCCCTCCGCTGCAAGACCAACGAGGCGATAGCAGCGGACGAGCTCGGCATGCGGGGCCCCTTTGCCCCCCTTAGCGAAGGCCAGCTCTACCAGCTAATAGAGCCCTCGTTCGACCTTTAGGGTCGGACGGAGGGGGCGGGAGGGAGTAAGGGAATGAGGTAGTTAGGTAGACCGAGTGTTATGTCTGGGTTTGCATGTGTTTGCATCTTCCCATGTATCTCCCATCAATCAATACGAGGACCATTCGAGAGAGAGAGAGAGAGAGAGAGAGAGAGAGAGAGAGAGAGAGAGAGAGAGAGAGAGAGAGAGAGAGAGAGAGAGAGAGAGAGAGAGAGTCACGCCTGTGTCCGTTTGCACTCACGGAGACGTTATCTGAGGAGGCTCAAACCGCTCCCCACCGCACAGACGTGCCGGTGTGAACACGCTAATCACCCCACCCGCCCCCTCACCCTTCCCAACCCCTCCTCACCTGAGCAGACAGTGGATCGTACTTCGCGCTTCTCCCCAAGCCCACTGTATCGGTGTGCAAGAACACTCTTGGAGTCGATTGCACAGGCGTGTAAACTGCTCCCAACCCGTCCTCCCCCTGCCGCACCGCTCCCCCTTTCCACAACAGACAGCGGATCGTACTTTGCGCTGCTCCCCAAGCCCACTGTATCGGTATGCAAGAACGTGTCGCAGCAGTTTTACGGCGCCGTGAAGGACGTCACCTGTGAGTGTTGAGGGGAAGGGAGGGGGGGGATGTGAGCGTGCGAGCATATGCGTGTAAGGTGTCTGGCTGGCTCAGTCAAGTGAACGAGCCCCACAGGTGTCGGTGTGCAAGAGCGTATCGCAGCAGTTCTATGGCGCCGTGAAGGACGTCACCTGTGAGTGTAACGAGGGTTTGAGCGTGCAAGCATATGACTGTAAAGTGTCTGAGAATTGCAGTCAAGGAGCCCAGATCCCTACCACAGTGAAAGAGTCGGTGTGCAAGAACGTGTCGCAGCAGTTTTACGGCGCCGTGAAGGATGGAGCCCCAGGTTGGAGCCATCTCTTTACGTGGCAGCGACTTGTTTAGTTAAAAAGTAGAAAAGTTGTTTGCTTGAACAGACTTTGTGAAAAAGTTGATGGTAACCGGTTTCGGCTTATTAGCCTTCTTCAGACCACTTGTGAGTGTGAGAGTGTGAGTGTGTGAGTGTGTGGGTGTGTGAGTGTGTGGGTGTGTGGGTGTGTGGGTGTGTGGGTGTGTGAGTGTGTGGGTGTGTGGGCGTGTGGGTGTGTGAGAGTGTGAGTGTGTGAGAGTGTGAGTGTGTGGGTGTGTGGGTGTGTGGGTGCGTGGGTGTGTGGGTGTGTGGGTGTGTGAGTGTGTGGGTGTGTGGGTGTGTGGGTGTGTGAGTGTGTGGGTGTGTGGGTGTGTGGGTGTGTGAGTGTGTGGGTGTGTGGGTGTGTGAGAGTGTGAGTGTGTGAGAGTGTGAGTGTGTGGGTGTGTGGGTGTGTGGGTGTGTGGGTGTGTGAGTGTGTGGGTGTGTGGGTGTGTGGGTGTGTGGGTGTGTGGGTGTGTGAGTGTGTGGGTGTGTGGGTGTGTGGGTGTGAGAGTGTGTGAGTGTGTGGGTGTGTGGGTGTGTGGGTGTGTGAGTGTGTGGGTGTGGGGGCGTGTGGGCGTGTGAGAGTGTGAGTGTGTGAGAGTGTGAGTGTGTGGGTGTGTGGGTGCGTGGGTGTGTGGGTGTGTGGGTGTGTGAGTGTGTGGGTGTGTGGGTGTGTGGGTGTGTGAGTGTGTGGGTGTGTGGGTGTGTGGGTGTGTGGGTGTGTGGGTGTGTGGGTGTGTGGGTGTGGGGGCGTGTGGGCGTGTGAGAGTGTGAGTGTGTGAGAGTGTGAGTGTGTGGGTGTGTGGGTGCGTGGGTGTGTGGGTGTGTGAGTGTGTGGGTGTGTGGGTGTGTGGGTGTGTGAGTGTGTGGGTGTGTGAGTGTGTGAGTGTGTGGGTGTGTGGGTGTGTGGGTGTGTGAGTGTGTGGGTGTGGGGGCGTGTGGGCGTGTGAGAGTGTGAGTGTGTGAGAGTGTGAGTGTGTGGGTGTGTGGGTGCGTGGGTGTGTGGGTGTGTGGGTGTGTGAGTGTGTGGGTGTGTGGGTGTGTGGGTGTGTGAGTGTGTGGGTGTGTGAGTGTGTGGGTGTGTGAGTGTGTGGGTGTGTGGGTGTGTGGGTGTGTGGGTGTGTGAGTGTGTGGGTGTGGTGTGGGTGTGTGAGTGTGTGGGTGTGTGGGTGTGTGAGTGTGTGGGTGTGTGGGTGTGTGGGTGTGTGAGTGTGTGGGTGTGTGAGTGTGTGGGTGTGTGAGTGTGTGGGTGTGTGGGTGTGTGGGTGTGTGGGTGTGTGAGTGTGTGGGTGTGTGGGTGTGTGAGTGTGTGGGTGTGTGAGTGTGTGGGTGTGTGGGTGTGTGGGTGTGTGAGTGTGGGGGTGTGTGGGTGTGTGGGTGTGTGTGGGTGTGTGGGCGTGTGGGTGTGTGAGAGTGTGAGTGTGTGAGTGTGTGGGTGTGTGGGTGTGTGGGTGTGTGGGTGTGTGGGTGTGTGGGTGTGTGGGTGTGTGAGTGTGTGGGTGTGTGAGTGTGTGGGTGTGTGGGTGTGTGGGTGTGTGGGTGTGTGAGTGTGTGGGTGTGTGGGTGTGTGGGTGTGTGGGTGTGTGAGTGTGTGGGTGTGTGGGTGTGTGGGTGTGTGAGTGTGTGGGTGTGTGGGTGTAAGGTGCCTAGCACACTGAAAGAGCCCCACGGTGTGCACGGTGTGGGTGTGCAAGAATGTATCGCAGCAGTTCTACGGGGCGGTGAAGGACGTCACCTGTGACTGTAACGAGGGTGTTCTTGTGAGGGTGGTTGCCCGAGCATGTGAGTGTGAGGTGTGTCAGAGTGCAAGAACGTGTCGCAGCAGTTCTTGTGAGTGTTGGGGATGGGGAAGAAGGGGGAAAGTGTGTTGGGGGGGGGGGGGGGGGGCGAGGGGTGCTGGCTCGTTTTAGTGAATGTGTGTGTGTGTGTGTGTGCACTCGTAGGGGCGATGCACCTGGTCTGCAAGAACTTGTCGCAGCAGTTGTTGAGAGTGTTGGGGATGGGGGAGAAGGGGCAAAGGGTGTGTGTGTGTGGGGAGGGGAGTGCTTGCTCGTTTGAGTGAATGTGTGTGTGTGTGTGCACACTCGTAGGGACGATGCATCTGGTGTGCAAGAACGTGTCCCAGCAACTCTTGAAATGACCAGCTCCTCACCTCCTCGTTTCCCTTGGCGCCCTCCTCTCCTCACTCTCTTCTCTCGCCCACCTTGCAGTCCCCGGGTTCCCCAGCACGCTAGGCTCGTTTCTCAACAGCCCACTCAGCGGCATCTCTCCAACAGACACATTCACGCGGCATCTCTCCAACAGACCATCTCCGCATGTCCTGTTTTCCCTTCGTCCCCCCCTTTCCTCTTGTTTTGAGGCGCCTCAAAACTAGATCTCCTCATGTCCTGTTTTGTTTCCCTTCGTCCCCCCCTTTCCTCTTGTTTTGAGGCGCCTCAAAACTATATCTCCTCATGTCCTGTTTTGTTTCCCTTCGTCCTCCTCTTTCCTCTCCCCCCTTCACCCCCTCCCATCCCCAGTCCCCGGGTTCCCCGGCACGCTCGGCTCGTTTGTGAACAGCCCGGACACGTTCACGCGGCAGCTCTTTCAGGGGTTCGCCAACACAGTGGGCATCAAGGACTTGCAAGTCAACTTCGTGGATGTGAGTTGATGGTTTGGTGCGTGCAGTGCAGCTCAATCACATGCACCTGCACTTTGTGAACAGCCCGGACACATTCACCCGGCAGCTCTTCCAGGGGTTTGCTACCGCGGAGGGCATCAAGGACTTGCAAGTCAACTTCGTGGATGTGAGTGGGATAAACCCTTGGTTGGTAGCTAGTTTGTAATAATTGAAAATAAATAACTTTTTTAAACCCTTTTCAACTCTTGATCGCCCTTTTCAACCCTTTATTACCCCTTTCAACTCTTCATCGCCCTTTTCAACCCTTTATTACCCCTTTCAACTCTTCATTGCCCTTTTCAACCCTTTATTACCCCTTTCAACTCTTTCATCGCGCCCTCCCCTCCTCCAGCCCATCCTCAAGGCCTGCTGGAACATGACAGGAAGGCCCCTCCCTGCTGCTCATGGCCACTGCGTGACCCATTCATCCTCCCCACTACCCTCACACTTACAGTCCCCTCCGTTCTCTTCCCCCTCCATATATGTCTCTTCCCTCTCTTCCCCCATCCAGCCCCTTCTCAAGGCCTGTTGGAACATGACAGGAAGGCCCCTTCCTGCTGCTGCCGGCTGCTGCGACCCATTCATCCTCCCCGCCACCTGTCCCCGCAATCTCCTCGACACCACTGCCCACCCCGAATACCTCAAAGTGCTCAACCGCACTGTTCCGGACTTTTGCAGCAACCAGACAAACGCCGCCGCCCCTCCGTCCGCCTCCTCCCCGCCTGCACCTCCACCGCCGCCGCCCGGCAAAGCAGCAGGCTCGGCAGGGTTTTTTGGTCCGGGTTCGATGCTTACTGTGCTGGTTGCTGGTGTGCTTGCGTTGTTGGTGTGATTCAGGAAACCGACTCCCTCCGCTGAGTTTTGATGTGGCGAGTATGTTTACATAGAGCAAGCTACTAATATATTTTAGGCAGGGTTGGTGTATCTTTGTTGGCAGCAAAGAAGTCGGAGATAGTGGACTTTCAAGGGCGCAGGCTTAAACGAAGCAGAATCCTCGCACGAAGTTGCAAACCAAGTTGGATATCCCTAATCTGCTTTACCGAACGAGATCCATGATGTGGCAAGTGAGGTCTCACGGTCTCTGATTCGGCTCCGAGTAGCAGCGACGCGTGGTTTCGCTTCAGCCGAATGTCGCCACACCGAAGGTACCCATAAAGTGGCAAGATCACAGCCAATCACCTTGCCTCATACCGAAACGCTCGGTTCGGCAAAGTTTCGCCCCCAGCACGTAAGCTTTGCCAAACCATTTCGAGGCGCTAACGGTGCCGCGTTACACGTCTGAACAAGCTCAGGTCTGGCTTCGACCGCGGGCCAGTGGTGGTTGGGGGAAGCCGAAAAGCACAATTTGCATTCGACGAAACAAATATCGTCCGTTGGTGGGAAAAAGGGGGCGATTTTGCTGTTTTCCACGAGGAAAATCGCCCCTTTATACTACTGTACTTGCTTCTTATCTTTGCTCTTCTTGTTCACCCTTTTGCGCTTGCCCCGTGAATGCAACCTTCATTTGGCGTTGACAAACAATTTGGTTGGTACAGTACGAGTGCTGTATCCATCTCGTCCCAGCACTCTCCTCCCACCCAAACCGGCTCATCTCATCTCATCCCATCTCCTTCCATGTGGTTGTTGTTTGGATGTTCATTTCAGCCGTACGAAACCATTCCCCTCTCCCCATTCTCTCCCCATACGTGGTCCGTGGAACACCGAAGGTAGTTTCTCGCGTTTTGCTAGTCATTCCCTCACAAGAAACGCCTTATGTGACACCTCGCGGAAGGCCGCATTGCTGGTCATTCCGCCAAGACAGTGCCTTCATCTAGTTGAGAGAGAGCCGCTAGGAGCCGATTTTTGAGTCGCCTCGCCAGTCGCTTGGAGCTGCTGCAGCCTCCAATGGCCGCCTGTTTTTTAGTGGACAAAAATATAGAGAGCCGCTAGGAGCCAATTTTTGAGTCGCCTCGCAAGTCGCTTGGAGCTGCTCCAGCCTCCAATGGCCGTTTGCCAGTACGGTGTAACGGCAGCGGTGTTGTTGCTGGCGCGATTACCGGCCGTACGCCAGATTAGCCGTTAGTGCATTCCTTGCATGGACCACAGTTCGCCTAAACGTCGCACATCTGAACATCAACAGTCGCTTAGTTCTTTAGCGTGATTCATTTCAAGGCCTAACTCTTAGCGGATTGCATATTCCTCACGCTACTCAGACTGCTAACATTCGAGTTTTTTAAACCGCATACAACTATCTAGGGCTCAGCTTTTGGCGTGCCGCGTATTGCCACCACGAGCCCGCTACTGGATTCCTTTGCATACGCGCTAAGAAGTTAGCCGTTTTCTAATTCAACAATGTTTCGCGTGGGAGCACCCACTAACACAGGCAGCGGCTCGTTCGCGCAGTCAATTATGGGGCAGCGGCGCGTGTATGCCGGTCGCGGTTCGCCAATAACGACAGCGCACGCGGGAAGCAGCTCGCCCGTGGCGACAGCGTACTCAAGTAACGGCCTCGTCGCCGATTCGCCTGCCAGCGGCAATCGCGGCCGCCATGGCGATACCAAGGCGACTCGACATCTAGAAGAAAATAGCCTTCATGACCCGCCGCAAGTCGCGGAGAGCAAGCCCCTCAAGTCGGAGTCACAAGTCGATTCGCTGCAGCCGCCGCGAAGGAGTGTGGACTGTGACCTGGCGGCGTCGATTGATGACGTGGAAATGGAGGAGGATGACGCGCACTCGGCGGCAGAATCGTTTTTCACCGACGGAGGATCTACCGCGAGTCCTTATCATTACTTCCCGGCACGAACGGGCGGAACGGGAGGAGAGGGAGGAGCGTTTATTCTTAGCCCTTACCATTACTTTGCGGCAGGAGCGGGAGGAGATGGGGGAGAGGGAGGAGGAGAAGGAGGAAGTGGAGGGTTCACCATGAGTCCATGCCGTCGCCTTTCCAAAGAGACGGCAGGAGAGGGAGCAGCGTCGAGCAGTAACCGTTTCCGTTTGTCTGTTGACGGAAGGGGGGCGGAGGAAGACGAGAGGGAAGCGGGAAGAGTGGGGGGAGGGGGCGGAGAAGAAGACGAGGGAGGAGGAGGTGAGGGGAGGGGAGAGGTACTAACAGGAGGGCGCATGGATTTTGTAAGGGCAGGCGCAGAAATAGGAGGAGCAGCAGGGGCAACAGCAGCAGAACCAGCAGCGGCAGGGGCAGGGGCAGGGGCAGTAATGGGAGGTCTAGACCTTGCAGCTATAGCAATGGAGGGGGAGGGGGACGGGGAGGGGGAAAGGGAGAGGGAAGAAAAAGGGGGAGAGGAGGGAGAAAGGAAGGAGTTCGACAACGCGAGTGACGATATGACTCTAGACCTCGTGTCTATAGCCATGGATGGGGAAGGGGAGGGTGAGGGGGACACCTCGGACGAGGAGGACCAACGAGACGATTCGGGCGGCAAAGGCGAACACGATTGGGAAGGGAAAGGGGAGTTCCCGGAGTTAGGAGCGATGAGGGGCAGCAGCTTCCTGGAAAGTGCGTTTGTGAGCGGGCGGGCGAAGCAGCAGCTGAGTCTGTCGAGCATTCTGGCGAGTGGGTTTGGGAGCACTGCGGGCGGCAGTGTGGGCGGCAGTGTGGATGGTGCAGCGGTTGGAAACAGCTCTGCTGTTGCGAAGCTGACTCAGGAGCTTAAGGTGAGAAAACGAGGAGACTGTGTTTTTTTGCAGTACTTTTGACATTAAAAAAAAAAAAAAAAAAAAAATTGGATGCAATAACGAGTACACACTTCCATGCATTCTCCCCTCTACTGCCAAGCCTGCAGGACTCCCAGGCTCGGAATGCCAACGCTGAGGCTCGGATTCGCGAGGCCGAAGCACAGAACAGGGATCTGAAGGCAGACCTGAACAAGTATGATGCTCGGCAGCGGGAGCTGGAGGTTCGGCACGAGGCTGCGCAGGCTCGGATGCAGCAGATGAGAAAGCAGCTGGCGGAAACACAGGGGGAGCTTTTCCAGGCGCGGCTGGAAGCAGGGGGGAGGGGGAAAGGCGCGGAAGGGGGAGGCGGAGGGGAGAAGGGGGAAGGCGCAGGGGGAGGAGGAGGGGAAGGGGGAAAGCGGAAAAGCCCCTTAGGGGGAATAGGGCGCGCGCATGTGACAGGGGGATATGCTTCCGCCATGGCTAAGCTTATAGAGGAGATGCAGGAGTGTGAGGCTCGGCACGCCGAGGCTGAGGCTCGGTACAAGGACGCGGAGGCTCGGATCAAGGAGTCGGAGGCTCGGAATAGGCTCGGGGAGGTTCGGCACAAGGCGGCAGCGCAGTGGCTGGAGATGACGGAGCAGCGGCTGGTGCTGACTCAGCGCCAGCTCAGCGAGGCCCGGAGTGAGCTGGCAGCAGGGAAGAAACAGCTGGAAGGGTTACAGAGAGAGCTGGTGGGGGAGAGGGCGAGGGCGGGGGAAGTGGAGGGACAAGTGGGGAGGTTAAGGGGGGAGGTTGTGCGGATGCAGGGGGAATTGGAGAAGGAGAGAGGGGAGGTGGGGAGGGTGCGGGCGGAAGGGGAGGAGTTGCGGAGGAAGGTTGCTGCTGCAGAATCAGAGCTGAAACATACCATGGTAGGTTGGCAGGGCTGGTTGAATGGGGGTGTGGAGAGCGATCAAGAGGAAGGGCAGGAATTTTGTTGCTGCAGCAGTCAGCTCTGCAGCAGTCAGAATTTTGTTTCAGATTCCGTCCTTGCTCTGATCTGATCTTATCTTTCCTCCCTTCACACCCCACAGTCAGCTACAGCAGAACCAGCATTCAAAGTCTCCCCTCGCCCTCCCTTCTCCTCGGGATTGATGTTTAAGTGAACGCTCCCCTTTCTCTTTTCCACCTCCACCCTCGCCACAGGCGCAGGTGCAGCAGGAGCAGCAGCGCGCGGAGGAGGCAGCAGAGGCGATGGGGGAGATGAGCAGGCGAGTGGCGGAGAGGGTGGAGGAGGAGACAAATGGGGGAGGCTGACTGCTGTGCGCGGGAAACCCCCTTCCCCAGTGACCTTATCAACGCACCTGCCTTCTGCCTCATCCCTCACCTTTCCCTCCCCACAGGCGCAGGTGCAGCAGGAGCAGCAGCGGTCGGAGGAGGCAGCAGATGCGATGGGGGAGATGAGCAGGCGAGTGGCAAACCTGCCTCCCTCTCTCCCCCTCCCTTCCTCCCCATTCCCCTTTCCCCATCCCGCCCCCCCCACAGGCGCAGGTGCAGCAGGAGCAGCAGCGCGCGGAGGAGGCAGCAGAGGCGATGGGGGAGATGAGTAGGCGAGTGGCGGAGAGGGTGGAGGAGGAGAGGGTTCTGAGGGCTGAGATTGAAGCAGCTGCCGTGCGAAGGGTTGAGGAGCTAGAGAGGGAGGTAAGTGCAGCGGTGTGGATGGGAGGGGTATGGGTGGGTATGGATGAGTGTGGATGTTTATGGATGGGTATGTGGATGGGTGTGGGTGGTTGAGAAGTGGGCAGGCGAGTGGCGGAGAGGGTGGAGGAGGAGCGGGTGTTGCGGGCTGAGATTGAAGCAGCTGCCGTGAGAAGGGTGGAGGAGCTAGAAAACGAGATGAGTGCAGCAGTACGGATGGGTTTGGATGTGTGCTGATGGTTGAGAAGTGGGGTGACCGACAAGGCAAGGTGGAAGAGAGTGTGGAGAAGGAGAGGGTTCTGAGGGCGGAGATTGAAGCAGCTGCTGTGAGAAGGGTGGAGGAGCTCGAGAAAGAGGTGAGTGATGAATGCGGATGGGAGTGCATGGGTATGATTGAGTTTAGATGGGTGTGGATGGCTGAGAAGTGGACCGAGCCAGTGGAGGAGGGCGGGGATTGAAGCAGCTGTTGTGAGAAGGGTCGAGGAGCTAGAGAGAGAGGTGAATGGATGGGTGTGGATGCGTTTGGATGGGTTGGAATGGGTTTGTATGAGTGTGCATGGGTGTGAGTGTGAGTGGTTAAGAAGTGGAAAGGACGAGGGGGTGGGAAGAGAGGGTGAAAGATTTTTCTTTCCCCACCGACAATCCTGTCTTCATCGCTTGCTCTTAGAGAGAGTCTTGGGGAGATATCTCTCGCTCGAGATATCTCCAGAAAGACTCTTTCTTGCAACAAGAGAGAGTCTTGGAGAGAGACTCAAATGGTCCTTAATATCCCACTTTCGTTTCTCTCTCCAAGACTTTCTTGTTGCATCTCCAGTCTCACTTTCGTTCCCTTCAACCCCTTTTCTCCCCTTTTGCCCCCCTCTCTTCAGCTGGAATTGTTAAAAGCTGATTCGCTACAGCGTTTGAAGGCTTTGCAGTGTGAACTGGAAGGGAGGGCAGAGCAGCAGAGGGAGAGGGAGAGGGAAAGGGAAAGGGCGAGGGAGAAGGAGAGAGAGATGGCTGAGGAGAGGGAGAGAGAGGGGAGGCAGATGGAGGTGAAGTGGAGAGAGTCTGAGGAGGGAAGATGTCGGGCAGAAGAAAGGTTGCAGCGGGCAGAGGAGGAAAGGGCAGCGGCAGAAGATGCAAAGAAGCGGGCACAGGAGGAAAAAACAGCAGCAGAAGAGGCGAAAAAGCGGGCCGAGAGGGCGAAGAGGCGAGTAGAGTCAGAGCGAAAGGAAGCAGTGGAAGAGAGGGATAGGATCAGAGAGGATAAGGAGAGAGCTATAGAGGAGAGAGATCGAGCAGTGAAGGAGAGAGACAGAGCTGTAAAGGAAAGGGAGGAGGCCATAGGGCGAGAGAAGAGGGCTGAAGAAGGAAAGGAGGCGGCAGAGAGGAGGGTGACGGAGGGTGATGAACGGTTGAGACAGGTGGAGGGTAGAGTGAGGGAATTGCAAGTGAGGGAGAAGGAATTGGAGGAGGAGGGGAGGAGGTGGAGGGAGGTGGTTGGTGAGGTGGAGAGGGAGAGGGATGGAGTGGTGAGTGAGAAAGGGAGGTTGGAGGAGAGAGTGAGGGGGCTTGAGAGAGAGAAAAGGAAGACGGAAAGGTGGATAGAGGAGGTTCGGAGAGAGAGGGAGGAGATAGGAAGGAGGGTAGATGAGATGATGAAGAGTAAGGGGGAGCTAGAGAGGAGGTTGGATGAGGTAGTGAGGGAGAGAGGGGAGGGAGAGAGGGAGAGGGATAGTGTGATGGAAGGGAAATGGGCGGTTGAACAGAGACTGGCAATTGTGACTGCAGAGAGGGAAGAGGTTGAGAGGAAGTGTGCTTGTATCGAAAGGGAGAAGCGTGAGATTGAGGAAGCCAAGGGTGTGATTGAAACGAGGGCTGCTGGGGCTGAGACGGAGGTGCGTTTGTTGCAGTCACAGAAGGGAGAGATGGAACGGCAGGTGCTTCTGTTACAGTCACAAACAAGTGAGATGCAGAAGAAAGTACTTTCGTTAGAGTCACAAAAGAGTGAGTTGGAGGAGAGGGTGGGCGAGAAGGAGAGGCGAGTGAAGGACCTGGAGGGGACCCTGCAGCAGAGGGCTCAGGAGATTTCAACAAAAGCCCAGGAGATTCTGCAGAAGGCTCAGGTGATTTCTCAGGTGCAGCAGGAGATAGGGAAGCTGAAGAAAGGGATGAGGGAGAAGGAGAGAGATTTGGGAAGGATGGAGAGAGAAGGGAAGGAGAGAGAGAGGAGGGTGGTTGAGATGGAAAAGCAATTGGGAGAGAAGGAAAAGGAGATAGGGGAGATGAGGGAGAGGATGGAAGGGAGGGGGAAAGAGATTGCTGTTTTGGAAGGGAAACTGAAGGAGAAAGAGGAGGCGATTGAAGGGTTTGCAGCGCGGTTGAGAGGGAAGGAAGAGGAGATTAGTGAGTTGAAGAGCAGAGAGGAAGGGAGGGAGAGGGTGGTTGAAGGCCTTGAGGCCGATGTGAGGAGCAAGGGAGAGGAGATTAGAGAGTTGAAGGGAGGATTGGAAGGGAGGGAGAGGAAGGTGGGGGAGATGAAAGCAGTGGCGGCAGAGAGGGAAAGAGCAGTGGAGAATTTGAAAGAGCAGGTGCGGAAGGGGGGGAGGGAGGCGGATGGTTTAAAGACGGAGGTAAGGGAACGGGAGAGGGATATTGCCGGCTTGCAAATAGCTTTGAGTGAAGCGCAGGTGGCTTATACCGAGTCGCAGGATGCTTTAGAGAGGACAAGGGAGTCTCTGAGTGTGTCTGAGCAGGCGCTAAGTGACGCCAGGTTGGAATCCGCCGCCCTGAAGGAGCACCTGGCGGACCTGGAAAAACACCTGGCGGCAACAGAGAGGCAGGTGGGCGCGAAAGACGAGCACCTGAGCGGGATTGCGAGGCACCTGGCGGCCACAACAGAGGACCTGGCTGCTGTTCAGGCAGACCGGGCAGCAGCGCATGAGGAGGCGGAGAGGCTGAGGGGAGAGGTGGAGCGGTTAGGAGGAGAGGTGGAATGGCTGGGGGGAGAGGGAGAGCGGTTGAGGGAAGAGGGTGAGGGACTGAGGAAAGAGTTGAGGAATGTTCAAGGGCAGCTTGAGGAATCACAAGGAGAGGTGGAGCGTAGGAGAGGCGAGGGAGAGAGGTTGAGAGAAGAGAGGGATGAAGCTAGAAAGAAGGTAGGGGTTGTGCAAGGGGAGGTTGCAGCAGCACAGGAGGAGGTGGAGAGGTTACGAGGAGAGGTGGAGCGGTTGAGAGGAGAGGGGGAGGAGCTGAGAGGGAGGCTGGGTAGTGTTGTGGAAGAGAAGGAGACTATAACGAGGGAAGCTGGTGTGCTTAGAGAGGGGAAGGTGGCTGTAGAGAGGGAAAGGGAGGAGCTGAGAGGGGAGGTGGGGGCAGTAAGGGAGATGCTTGCAGCAGCAGAAGCAGAGAAGAGGGGTTTGGAAGGGAGGCTGAGAAGGGCTGAGGAGGAGAGAGAGGAGGCGAGGATGGGGATGGTTGTGGTGAGTGAAGAGGTGGAGAGGCAGTGTGGGTTGATAGCAGCAGGGGAAGAGGAGAGAAAGAGAATGAAAGAGGAGTTGGGAAGGGTGGAGGGAGAGAGGAAGAGGCTTGACGAAGAGGTGGGGGTGTTGAGAAGAGAGGAGGAGAAGCTTCAGGGGGAGGTTGCAAGGGTCTTAGAGGAGAAGGAGCAAGCGTTGGGAAAAGTGGAGAGGGTTTCTGGTGAGTTGGAGCAAGAGAGGTGTGAGATGGAACGAGTTTCAAAGGAGTTGAAGCGAGTATCAAAGGAGTTGCAAAAAGAGAGGAGCGAGGTGGGGAGAGTATCGAGTGATTTGCAGCAAGCTACGGTTGAGTTGGAGGGGTTGAGAGCGGCACTGGGTGGTGCGGAGGAGAGAGTGAGGAATGGGGAGGAGAGAGGGAGCGAGTTGGAGGAACGGTTGAATCAGGCCGAATCCGATGCAGAGCGGTTGAGAGAGCGGGTGGAGGGGCAGGAAAGGGAGAAAGTGGAGCTTCTGCAGCTGCTGGGGGAAGTGAGGGAGGGAGAGAGAGAGCTAGAAAAGCAGGTTGCACAGGTGAGGGAGGAGTTAGAGAGAGTGAGGGAGGAGTGTGGGAGAATAGAGGGGGAGAGGAAGAGAGAGGAGGAGCAGAGGGTGAGAGTGGAGAGAGAGAGGGATGGAACGAAGAGGGAAGGAGAGGAGAAGGAGAAGGAGCTAAAGCAGGAATTGGAAGAAAGGGAGCGAGATCTGGAGGTATCAAGAAAAGAAGCAGAGGTGTTGCAAGGTGAAATGAGCTGTGTTAGCGAGGAGTTGAGTGCGGTGAAAAGAGAGGTAGAGAAGAAGAGAAAAGAGTTAGAGAAGAAGAGAGGAGAGCTTGAGGGGGTGAGGGGTGAGCTAGAGGGCAGGATCAGAGCTCTAGAGACCACAAGAAGCCACCTGGAAACTGCAAGGAACGATCTGGAAAAGAGCGAAAGGGAACTGGAGGGAACCAGGGAGGAGTTGGAGAGGGTAAGGGGGGAGTTGGAGCTTGCGGGAAGGTATGGGAAGCAGCAAGAGGGGAGGGCTGCTGAGCTGGAGAGTCGATTGGGTGCAGCAGAGAAGAGCCTTAGAGAGAAAGAGAGTACTCTGAGAGAGAAGCAGGAGATTATTCAGGGGCTTCAGGATTTGGTGGTGAGCTTGCAGACAGCTAAGGAGGCACTGCAAGAGGAGATGGTGGGGCGATTGGCGGAAGTAAATGAGAATTTAAGTGCGAAAGAGAAGGTTTTATGTGAGAAGGGAGAAGAGATTTTGGGGCTTAAAGACCTGGTTTTGGGTTTGGAAGGGAGTAAGAAGGGGTTGGAGGAGGAAAAAGAGGTTTTGGAAGGGCGGATTGAGGGGTTGAGGGAGAGGATTGGAGAGGCGGTGAGGCGGGTTGATGAGGTGGAGAGGGAGAGGGATGACGTGGTGGCAAGGGCGGCTGCCAGGGTGGCGGAGGCCGAGGGCGACGTGGTGGAGAAGCGCGCTGAGCTGGCGCTGGCGAATCAGGAGCTGGCGGTGCGCGCGGGGCAGATTGCTGAGCTGTCGTCGCAACTGGACGAGGCCAAGGCGACTGTGAAGGTGAGGAGGAGAGAAGCCATACCCCCCTCTCCACAACCCCACTCTTGCCTTCCCTCTCAAACCCACGCCACTCTCTACAATTTCGCCTCTCTCCCCCTTCTGAGTCGACTCAAAAGTCTTCCCTCTCCAACTCACTCCACTCTTTACAATCCTGCCTCTCTCCCCCTTCTCCAACTCCCCTTTCTCTCCCCCTCCCCATTCTCCCATCCACAGCACCACGCGATTCGCATTTGAAAGCTTGACATGGTGTGTGCGGTGAGGGAGGACAGGAGTAACCCACCTATACCCCCTGCGTCGCTACATCTCCCCTCTCCCCACTCCTCCCATCTCCCTCCCGTTGTCCCTCCCTCTCTACCTATCCACAGCATCACTCGGACCGCATTCGGAAGCTTGACACGGTGTGTGCGGTGAGGGAGGAGGAGAACAAACTCATCTATACTCCCCCCTTTTCTCCTTTATCTCCCCTCCCCTTCCCCCCATCCACAGCACCATTCGGACCGCATTCGGATGCTAGACATGGTGTGTGCGGTGAGGGAGGAGGAGATGAAGAAGCTTGAGGAGCAGCAAGGGGCGGCAAGGCAAGAGGCATTGGAGAGAGTAATGGACCGCGACAAACAGGTGGGCTGGCTTACGGGCTTGGTGGGATAAGGAGAGGTGTATATGGCCTGTCGGGGCAGGGTGTTGGGGAGGGAGAGCAGCAAGGAGCAGCGAGGCAGGAGGCATTGGAGAGAGTAATGGACCGGGACAAACAGGTGGGCTGGCTTATGTGGGTTGCCTTACCTAGGTTGGCAGTCAAGGGGTTTTGTGTGTCGGGCGGGTGGGTACTGGGCGGGTGGGTACTGGGCGGGTGGGTACTAGGCGGGTGGGTACTGGGCGGGTGGGTACTGGGCGGGTGGGTACTGGGCGGGTGGGTACTGGGCGGGTGGGTACTGGGCGGGTGGGTACTGGGCGGGTGGGTGCTAGAGCCAGGAGGAGGAGCCAGGAGCAGGGGGCGGCGAGGCAGGAGGCATTAAAGTGAGTAATGGATCGGGACAAACAGGTGGGCTGGCTTGCGTGGGTTTTGCTGGAGTGAGTTTGGTGGTGTGCTGGTTTCTGTGGCGGGTGGGTGGGCGGGTGGTTGAGGACGGGAGGAGATGAAGAAGCTAGAGGAGCAGCAAGGGGCAGTGAGGCAGGAGGCGTTTGAGTGAGTTATGGACTGGGGCAAACAGGTGGGTTGACTTACGGGCTTGGTGGGATAAGGAGAGGTGTAGCAGCAAGGGGCGGCGAGGCAGGATGCATTAGAGAGAGAGAGTAATGGATTGGTGCAAACAGGTGGGTTGTCGTTCTTGGATTGACTTTCGTGGACTGGCTGTGAAAGGCTTGGTGTAGCAGCAAGGGGCGGCGAGGCAGGATACAATGGAACGCGAGGGGTGGAGAGGGTTGATTGGATCGGGGTGGGTGGAAAAGAAGCAGGTGAAGGTGATTCAGAGGGGGATGGAGTGAGGGGTGGAGAGGGATACAGAGGTGTGCTGGCTGTCAAGTATTTGTTCCTGTTTAAAACACGTCACTGCCATTTCATCCTAATCCAATCCCATCCCACTGCACCCCCCCCCACCCCTCTCATATCCACACCTCCCTGCTTCCCATTTCACTCCATCCAGGTCACTGATTTGGGGGCTCAACCCGAAATCCCGCCCACCGCATTGCACCCCCCGGCCCATCCCACACCTCCTCTCTCCACACCCCGTCCCATTTCCTCCCGTCCCTGCTTCCCAACTCACTCCATCAAGGTCGCTGAGACGAAAGCCAACCCGCAATCCCGTGACATCTCACCCCACCGTATCCCACCACTTCACACCCCGTTCCATCCCTCCCATCCCTACTTTCCATTTCAATCCATCCAGATCGCTGATTTGAGAGCCAAGCTGCAATCTGAGTCGTCCAATGTCTTTGAGGCACGAAACAGGTGAGAGCAGCAGCACCGAGTGGGAGCAACAGCAGTTAGTGAGGGAGGGAGGGAGTGAGTGAGTTAGTGAGAGCGGCATGTACATTTTCGAGTGTGCCTATTCCACCACAAGTGTTGTCTGTTATCGCCCCTACACTTGGATTCAAGCATTTGAGCGAGCAAAACAACAACGGGTGAAGATGATCCTTTCCCTCCTTCCATCCCAACTCCCCTTTTTTCCCCCACTTCGCCCCGCATTTCTACCTCCATTTTCTTCACCCTTTTCCAGGATTCAAGCTTTGGAGCGAGCAAAGCAGCGCATGCAAGCATCACTGACCGAGGCGCAGCAGCAAATAGGGGCAGCAATAAGGGAGAGAGATGAGGTGAAGGCGGAAATTGCAAAGCTGAGAGTGAAGTGGGCCGTGCCGTCGCCTGCAGGGAACAACATTAAGCCGTCGGCTATCAAAGCAAAGCAGTTGCAGTGAGCAGCATGGGGAGAGCTATGAGCAAGGGTAGTTGCAGTGAATAAGGGAGAGGGATGAGGTGAAGGCGGAAATTGCAAAGCTGAGAGTGAAGTGGGCTGTGCCGTCGCCTGCAGGGAACAACATTAAGCCGTCGGCTATTAAAGCAAAGTTGCAGTGAGCAGCGAAGGGGCGGGCTTGGGGTTGTGAAATGAGCTCTCCATGAGAGATATGGGATAGAGTTGAGGTGAAGGCAGAGATTTCGAAGCTGAGAGTGAAGTTGGCCGTGCCGTCGCCTGTTGGGAACAACATCAAGCCATCAGCCATCAAAGCAAAGCATTTGCAGTGAATGGCACGAGGAGAACTCTTGGGAACCTTAGGGTACCTGTTCTTTAGTATAGGGGCTGTCTCACTATTGTTTACATTCCTTTCAACATGAGCCATGTTAGGTACACGTGCACCCTCTGAATTGCTGATCATACAGTGAAGATGCTGTGCCACGGATTAGATTGTTTAAGATAGTCCTGTATATCTACAATGAAGTTTGTTTTGCATAAAAGTAGAGTAAGGGCGTATTCCTGCACTTCGGGTCATCAGCACTTCGGGTCATCCGATATTGTGGGACCCAATCGGAAAATCGGAATGTATCTCAATCTCTTGATTCCGAATTTCCGATTGGATCCCACAATTTCGGATGCCCCGAAGTGCTGATGACCCGAAGTGCAGGAATACGCCCTAAGCACGTACATATAAGCTTGTTACTGTGCGTCTTTGAGCAATTGATTCGCATTCGCATTTATATCGAGTGCTTCCCTACGCTTCTTCTCGAGTCAATTCCTCGCCTCACATACTACAGTGTCAAAGCCCCCTGAACCAGAATTCCGTACTCTTTGGAAGTCTAGTCCCTATGCAGTCCACCTAGTCACAACCAATAGTCGAAGTTTCACCAGTCGCTACTAGTCACGCAAGTTTCCAGGTTTCACCTGCAAGCATGCATCACGTACCAGAAGTCATGCTCTGTCCACGAGTTTCTGTGCACTGCATGTCAGTGAGTTTAAATGTTCGCTCGATTTCGCATTACTCCGGGGAGTCAATCCAGCTTCACGAGCCTCTGCTTTCACACTCTCTCGACTCAAACTCTCAACGGCTAGGTCAACAAGTCGTTGGGTTCTGTGTCGATCCGCTGAATACTCATTTCCGGAGATTCCTTTCTCAGCTACTAGCTGGAAAAGACAAGGGACAGAAGTGACGAAAATGTGACATTTTCGTCACATTTTCATATACGGTTTAGTTGTCTTTCGGTCGCAATGGTCAAATCTCCTATTTTTGGCCAAGGACAGATACTAATTAAAGGCAGACCAAAACAAATTACCCTCGAAAGGCACCATTGTCAGACATCTCGGAAGGATTTACATGTTGATTCGAGGCTGACTACTACCCATTCATACCGTATGTGACATCGCCCAGAAGCGTTAAAAAGCTATAGCCAATTATCCCTGAATCAGGATAGTCATCAGGAAGCCCTTCGCCGTTTTCGCCTACTTCATTTTCCGCGATGAATGGCGTATGATGCTTCTAGCACACGGACAGAGGAGTGTGACAATCACGTAACCCGCCCAGTTCTACTTCATCTCTCTGGCTTTCCAAAGAGTGCATGAATGGAGAACAACACGGCTGCTACTAAAGAGAGGCTCGGGTTGCTGGATCTGACTCCCGAAATCCTTGCGTCTATAACGAGTATGACATGCCATCATCTCCCGGTCACCATTGCCAACCTAGCCATCACCTGCAAGCACCTGCACCGGATATCAATTTCCCACCTCTGGCCTCGCTACTGCCACATCCGCATACGGGAACATCACAGGTCTAGTCACTTACAGATTGATCCAACCAATAAGATCTCGACACAGGAACGATCTTTTACTGCAACTAAGAGCGACAATTGCTGCTTTTCTCAAGTGTGTGCTGCCTGTAAGAGAGATCACCCACTGGTCCCGGGAATCGAAGCACTGGTAGGTCCTGTCGAGGCAATTTCTCCGCGGCTTCTCAGCTACTCTCCCGGTATTCTCGAGGTGCCCTTCAGCCTGGCCTCTCGAGACATCGTGGATCTGTATCTCTGGCCGTCAGGACGGCAACGGCACCTACTACGCCGACGTGCCCAGCCAGCCCCAGCGGTCCTACCAGAGAATGTCATCAAAGCTGAAACCCGACTCAAAATCGAAGCTGAATCGCGAGATGAAATCGAAGCTGAAACGCGAGATGAAACCGAAGCTGAAACGCGAGAAGAAATCGAAGCTGACACAGTTGCTGCTGCTGACGTGGGACCCCTCATGACGTTGGCAAACGTGTGCAAGCGTGTGGTGACTGCGGTGGGGTGGGCTTTCAAGGCATCTCACAAGTGGAGCTACCTCTCTGTGGCCAAGGCTGCATTGGTAGGGATCGTTCTGCTTTTGATCCCAATTTATCTAAGAGTCAAGGGCTCTCGGTTTCTTTGCCGCTGTGCCGGGAATGGCTGTCGTTGTGCTTGCCGTTCTGCCAGGAAAAAGATTCTCTGTGTTTCTCGTGCTGCTCGTGAAGCTTTCAAGGGAGGGCTGCGGATAGGTGGGGGTTTTATGCTAAGTACAGAAGCAACAGCAGTAGCAGCTGTAGCAGCAGCAATAGTAGCAACAGAAGAAGCAGAAGCAGAAGTAGAAGCAGCAGCAGCAGAGGCACAAGAGAGAGGTACGGTGTCTGAAGCAGCACGACAGACCACAGCACCGGTTGTAGCAGTAGCACGTGGAGGCATCAACCAGAGAGCCCTAGTTCCCAGGCATTATCTTCCGAATGTAGATACCGTTGGACAGTTGGTCACAGTAGCAGCAGCTGGATGTGCAGACAAACCCAGGGGCAATGGAGAGAGGGAACCTGTACGTCAGCTGCATGTAGCTGAGGGAGTCACCGCCACTGGCAACGCATGGTTTCTGCAGGGAGAAGGGCGGAAAGCAATGAAGAGAGTGAGGACGCATTACATGCTGAACAGGCGGTTTTTAGGTCTGTTCGGCCGTCTAGACGAAAGCTTCTCGAATAATGTTATACTCAGCGCAGACCAGCTCTTTCGGCCAAGCCAGATGAGAGCTTGTGCTGCCTCTGGTGCCCCAGCAGCTGATTATCACGCTCCAACTGACTGCCACTCCCAAACTCACTGTCGTCCCCCTGCTGACTGTCACTCTGAAACTGACTGTCGCCCCCCTGCTGACTGCTCCTCTCGATCTGCAGAGGTGGCAGGAGTGTCGTTTGTTCTGCTTAAGCCACCTGTCAATTGGTGGGGTCTGTCCGTTTGCCGGGGCTACATTTCTGCCTTCACATACACCAGGTGCTCAGTCAACACTCTCTTTCTTCTTTGCACCTCCCTCACCCCCTCTTTGCCTCTGCCTTGCTTGTCTTTCTATCCTTCCCTTTCCCCCTTTGCCGTCCCACATTTCTGCCTTAACGTTCACCAGGTGCAAACACATAGCTGCCTTGTTTCTTTGGGCAAGACCTTCTCCCTTCCTCACTTGTCAACAATTTACTTTTTACGAAGCAAGATTTTACCGATTTTGCAGGCTCTATCACGACCTCTCCGCACATCCTCATGATACGAAGGAGCAGTGTCCCTTCTGCTATTGCAAGGTAAGTAGCAATCCAATTATGCGCCACATTGTTCATTTTGTATAATGGACTAGATGGATACAGCTAGCAGCTTACTGCTTCATATTTCTCGTCGTGAATTGCACATGCAGGTTTGGAATGCATTGAATCAGGTTGCAAGCAGCTGCTTCAAGCCAATCTGCTTTGCCGTATGCACAAATGTGAGAAATTCTGCAGAGAGTTACGCAGATGTGAGAAACTCTGCGTAGACATTGTGTTGGTGTGATGAAGCGGGCGGAGCAATGACTCTAGCTAGAAAACCACTGTGCCTTCACGTTTTGAGTATTTTCGTGGTTGTTGTTTCTTTCTTTTGTGCAGGGACACTTCTGTGGAGTGTTAAAAATGCCGAGGCTCGACTAGATGCTCACAAGTTGTTAGCTATTTCTGTATTGCAAAGGTTCAGTCTGTTCGGAAGATGATATGTGTAGAGTACCGGTGATCAATAATATGAAGTTTTTTCCAAGTGTTTGAATCTGCAGTGTGCTGAATTTATAACAGTCCGTGATTTGCAGTTCCTGCTTACATACTACCCTCACAGGCCCTCAGATTCGTTTTTGGGCTGTCTGATTCATCAGACTTGGTACACGTTGGTACAAAAAAAAGGCTGAAATTTGAGGGTCAAACAAAAAAAAAAGTATGATCATTCAGAGTTTGCACCAGTGAGAACTCTGATTCAGGGTGTGTTGTTGGCCTTGGTTAATGCAGTACTGTAAGGCACAATACAATACATCCATGCGACGTGCATGATCTACTCTACTCATGCAAGTGGATCATCATTGCTATAAAATGCAGCATCTCCTACCACTACTGCATCTGCCACTTTCTTGCCATCGCCAGCTTGTGCTTCTGTGAGCCGGCGTGCTTACGGAAGGTCTGGTTCTTCACGTCAGTGGCTCCTTTCCCACGCTTCCCGCACTTGCATGTGTCTTGGAACAGTAGGTCTCCAACCGACCTCGCAGCCATGTCTGAGCTCATCCGCTGGACTGCTCTCTGCACCTCTGTAGTGACCAACTGTAACTGTATTCTTGGGCAGCTGAAGAGACAATGGTTGAGTGTTTCAAGCAGGGCTAACTTTAGTGCCAGAGCCTGTCTGACAGTAAGACCGGGTCCTGAGTCCTTGTCTGATGGTCAGACAAAAGTTGAAGCCTAGTCTTACGTTTCAGACGAATAAAAAGCACTTGTCAGAGCCTTCAGACGGAATTAGATAGTTAATCTTATTGCAAGCTGATTTCCTAGCCTACCTAGTTTCTATACTAAAGGTTATGTAACGACATCCTTTCCTAAGAAGAATCACTTGCACTACTGCTGTCACTGTCATCACTACCACTACCACTGTCACCACTACCACTGCCACTCTC